TAGACCTGTCAATATGGATGGTTACTAATCTGTAGACCTATCAATATGGATGGTTACTAATCCGTAGACCTGTCAATATGGATGGTTACTAATCCGTAGACCTGGCAATATGGATGGTTACTTGGTGTTCTATGAAGATGTCAGACATGTTACAATGGAAAAGATTAGCGAAGTCATGGGGGACAGACAGTAGGGATTTCCAGCACATTTTGGAGAATTTCGAGCTAAGTAATACAAAACCATGATTGATGCAGTCTACTTTGAGAAATCTTCAACTGATTTATACAAAATTAAATGTAAAGACACGAATAGCTAGGCCAGACAAGGCATCCAATCTTTAAAACCAAATTGTAAAATTTCTTACGTTTAAGCCTTGTGTTGTTGAATCGTAAAATATATATTACATGTTTAGCTGAAAACACTTCTACTTTACCACACACTACTTTACCACACACACACTACTTTACCACACACTACACACACTACTTTACCACACACTACACAAACTACTTTACCACACAGTACTTTACCATACACTACTTTACCACACACTACTTTACCACACACAAAGAATAATTAACAGAAGTTCAAGCCCTTCAGTATTAGGAAGCATATGAAAAAGTGCCACTGCATGTTTATGAATTTTCTGTTTTTACTATACATAGATACAAGAAATGCTTATCGTTGCTACTTAATGAATCTTAAAACAGTCTCAGTGCTGTTTAAAACATTAAGCATAATCCCTGCCTGACCCCACAAAAATGACCTGTCTGTAGTATTTGCTTTTTATAGTAATAAAACTGTACCACCACCTGAAGGATCTCTAGCTATTTTCTGCATCTTGATGGATTGGATATATATGCCATCCTACTAAAAGTTCCAAATAACCAATCTCTTTGTTTGATATTGCTTTGACTGCTTATTCCAAAGATAACTCAATCTTTTCCTGAGGGCTCGATTTTCCTGAATTTTACAGTGATCTAGCTGCACCTTGGGTCCACACAGCCCACTCTGATGGGTTTTACTTCTTAGTCCGATATTAACTCATTCACCCCCGAAATTTCATAATGAACTATTCAAACCTTTGAATTGGAAGAGTTCAAATGTGTCTTCAGGGGTGAACGAGTTAATGTGTGAAGTCATAAACCCAGACAGTCAAGTTTGCCTGCTGCTGTAGGCCAGTATATAATCAGTGTGGATAATGATAAATCAGCATCAATTGGCTATCGATTATTTCTAATGGTGTAGGGAATGAAGCAAACTTGATTTGATCTTACATCACAAATTGATCGATGCCACAAACTCGTGACTAATACATATGTACTGTGCTGGGGGACATCATGTGGCAATGATTTACATTACATTGGTCTCTCACAGCTCTATACTGTGTGAGTCTGTGTATACCTTTGTAATGGCGAGTCACCTCCAAGGTGAACTTGTTGATACCATTGGGTAATTATTAAGACAGATTCACCTCCCCAGGACCTTGTAGGAGTGGTGGGGGGTGTTGCATTTTAGAGGCAACATTTGGTCCCATTTACGCAAGAAAATAGTGTTTTTTACCCAAAATCTCTTCAAAATTTAAATGAAAAAGCCAATTTGATTGTTTTAGTTTCAAACTTTGTAGAGACCTTCTCGCTGAACTGGGGGAGATTATAGGAGTCAAGGTGGTCCCTTACAGCTCTATTATAACCTTTGTAGAGACCTTCACGCTGAACTGGGGGTAATTATAGGTAACAAAGTGGTCCCTAATTACAGCTCTATTTTAACCTTTGTAGAGACCTTCTCGCTGAACTGGGGGAGATTATACGAGACAAGATGGTCCCTTATAGCTCTATTACTAACTTTGTATAGACCTTCACATTGAGCTGGGGGTGATTTTAGAAGTCAAGATGGTCTCTTACAGCTCTAATATAACCTTTGAAGAAACCTCAATGTTGAGTTGGGGGAGATTATAGGAGACAAGGTGTTCCCTTACAGCCCTATTATAACCTTTGTCGAGACATTCTCCCTGAGTTGGGGTAGATAATAGGTGACAAGGTGGTCCCTTACAGGACTATTAAAACCTTTGTCGAGACATTCTCCCTGAGTGGGGGTAGATAATAGGTGACAAGGTGGTCCCTTACAGGACTATTATAACCTTTGTCGAGACATTCTCGCCGAGTTGGGATAGATAATAGGTGACAAGGTCAGGTCCCTTACAGGACTATTATAACCTTTGTCGAGATATTCTCTCTAAGTTGGGGTAGATAATAGGTGACAAGGTCAGGTCCCTTACAGGACTATTATAACCTTTGTCGAGACATTCTCCCTGAGTTGGGGTAGATAATAGGTGACAAGGTCAGGTCCCTTACAGGACTATTATAACCTTTGTCGAGACATTCTCCCTGAGTTGGGGTAGATAATAGGTGACAAGGTGGTCCCTTACAGGACTATTATAACCTTTGTCGAGACATTCTCCCTGAGTTGGGGTAGATACCGAAACCGAACTCATATAGACAGCAATGAATCTGCCCTTCGCTGTTTTGATTGCTTCATGTTGTGGACTTTTGATATCAAAATTTTGGCATCGATTGAAAACGTCAGGAAGACGCATTTGACCAATACTTAATAGTGATGACTTCCGTGTTTTGTCGTCACTGATGGCTATATTGACGCCTTCGCCTCGGAAAAAAATGTCATGCTTGCTCTTTAGAAGGGTAGCCATATTTGTTGTGTTGCCTGTTAAAGTGAAACAAATAGTACACATACTTACAAGTTTGTTAGTTAATAGTTTACTATGTGTATCCGAAGTATCGCCAGACAGGGGACCGGAATGATGGCGGACATTTTAAAGTAGCAAAGCCCTCAGAGTTCATCTTAAAGGTTGTTTATTTCAAAGTGCTCTGATTTTGAAACGACAACAGCGATTGGACGATGTGACCACATGTTGACAAGACCAACCAATCAGAACCGGCGTTGTATTGGAAAGCATTGTACTAACAGCCGAGCAGGCAGAACCGTATCGACTGTGTACCGTGTGATCGCTCAAAATAATCGTAACCGAACCGAAAAGAAATACTGAGGTGAATCGTGTACCGCAGCGTATCAGTTTCACCCTTAAAGATCAGGCAGCAGAGATGTGCTTTTCAGTATTTGCTTTAGTCCGCTCAATTTCACTTTTCCAACTTAAAAGATTACATGTGGTACTTTATGAGGTGGCTGTTTGAGGCTCCACTGTAGTACGGCTGAGACAAATTAACGAATTGTATTGAATCATGATACTCTCTTGTGTATCGTATCAAATTCATGAAATTAATTTGGGTGGTCAGGTGGTGCAGTGGATAGCACACTTGCCTTTCACCAAGGCGGCCGGGGTTCAATTGCCCGATCGGACGTGAAAAATTATGCGGTCACCTGCCTGACCACGTGGGTTTTCTCCAGGTACTCCGGTTTCCTCCCACAAGAAGACCCCCTGCACGTTGACATCAGGGCCAATAAGCTAAGAGTGATTAATATCAGTTGAAATAACTTGTTTCATAATTATTGTAAAATAAATAAAGTTAATATTCAAATTCATGAAATAATGGTTTTGCATAACAGTATTGCAAAATATATGAAATACTGAAATTATCAATTATTTTTTTATTACAGTCTAAAAATGTTATTATCCTTCAGTGCAATAAAAACCAAAAGTACTAAGACATACAAAAATACCTTTTGATATATTTACTATCAAAAACTATATCCCACACGCAATCATCATAAGATTGATTTTATTAGCAGGTATGTGTATGTCAAATCATGATAGTTAATTGTATAATAACCGTTGTACCCAATATGTATCGTATTGTGTGGTATGTGTATTGCTTCAGCCCTACACTTCAGCGTACATAGAATTTCATGTTGAAACAATATGCATTCCATCCTTCTCGTATAAATCATCATTGGGGAGGCATTTACTGTACAACACAAGTAAAATTACTCTGAACACTTTAGGTTCAATTACACATAAACCTGTAACAAATTCCCAGGTCCCTGTGCTCATATACCCATCTGAGTTCCTTGGTAAAAACTTACCAATATGTATCATGAATATTCTTTCTGTAGGAATTAAAAAAGCGGCTATGCTCCTTTTGCCATCGTTTATAGGGTGAAAAGATCCGCCTTTAGATTAACAATAGACCAATGATTCTTCTAACTCAACTGACATGATGCTCAACAGGTCCAGTACGCTCTGTCGATTGAGCTATATAGCTGTAAAGACCTATAATAGCTCTATTGACCTATCTGAAATAGGTCTTTTCAGCTATTTTCATGTGATTTTCTTTTTAAAGGAAAATGAAACAAAGTCGCATTAGAAAGAAGATTTTATCATTATGTTGATAACAAAAGACATTAAATATAAGTTTTCATTTTAAAAAATAATGATGTAAAAAAATCGAAAATTTTACATTTATGAAAAATGAAAATAAACATCTAAATGTATGCTTTTTGTAGTCAACATTACCATAAACCTTATTGTTTTATGCGACTTTGCTTTAATTTAATGATAATTGAAATCTGAGAAAATATAGCTCAATACAGCTATAATTTATAGGTGAATATAGCTATATAGGTCTTTATAGCTATATAGCTCAACGGCAGAGTGTACTGGACCTGCTCAAGACTTCGCCTGTGTTTTTCGGCAAGTTTTAACTTTCACCCACTGGCACTGTCCATTTTTGTATTGGCACACACAGAGTAACTGTTCATCATTAGAAATACGTACCCGGTACCACACGTGATGCTAAGTAAGCAAACAAATCATCACCAAACATGTGAAACCAAATATATACTATCTACTGTCTGCTGCTTCCAATACACTGTGTATTTGGACCAGCCTCAGCGACCGAAGCACCTCAGATAGCATCATGTTGACATGTTTTCCTTGGAAAATTGAAGGAAAGTCTCGATTCATATGTCGTATATAATGGAGAAATCGACATAAAAGATAATGAATATTAACAAAGATAACTTACCGTCAAGAGAATGACCGAAAATCGCTGTAAGCTCAGGATAATGCAGTCCTCTCTAATCAATGCAAACAAAATTGACATTCGGTATGTGGTGTGCGCATGTGTAGCCGGATGTGAAATCTGTCTCTGAATTTCCGGCCAATATCTTAAGGCTCTATACGGAGATTCACTGGCTGCAGGGTGCAAAATGTATGTCTTACCTAAAGGTTGTAACATTGAATTTCTAAGAAAGCAAAACTTTCTTATATTAAATACAAATAAATTGTTGCATTTGTAGTCATACGACGAAATCCCATAATTATTGCGTTATTTGTTAAATGTGTTTGCTAAATATAATAGTTTCAAAGTTTCACTGTTTTATGATATCTCGTTTACATACTTTTTAGCGTCCCTCAAAAATCACAATATCGTCCGCATTAACGTTTTTCAGAAATGTTGCTAAGCCTAAATATAACTGACTACCGTCGATATCATATGCAAAAATAAATATTGAGAAAAGAAAGGGAAAAAGAATGTCTCCCTGTCTTACTCCGACCTAACAAGGGAAACAGTCAAACATGTGTGACCTACGAATTCATATTGCTGTACATGGATTAGTTTCAAACGGTTTGAACTAAATTTCAGTGAAATATTTGAATATATTATGATTAACGAGAATAACGGTTTAACCATATATCCATCTTATTCAATGGTTGTGTTTGTTCAAATATATAGGCCACAAACGATAAATTGCAAAGAAAGTTTTTTTTTATGTCATTATCAAAATAATGCTTATACAATGCTGTCCCATACCTATAAGTAATATATTCAACAAATATTGAATAAATCTACTATGAGCTACATTTGGAATGTTCAACGCACAGAAGAATTTAATACTCCAATATTGAAACTTTAAAAAAAACATGACAGTGATTCGGACCATTTAATTCGTTTGTGTTGAATTGGGCGAATGATAAATACATTTTTGTTTGGGGATTGAGCATTTTTTTCGGCTGTGTGGTATTTTGGGTGTATATAGGACCACCGATATTACGGTTTGTTATTGAAACTAGAAACACACTCACATGTATTGTAACACCCAACAACCTGTATTGCTGCTATGTCGATCAGTTACTTCCTAAAACGATGGTCTATTTCGAATTCTATCAAAGCATTTTCTTATGTAACATCACGGGAAGTATAATATATATTGACGAACTCCAAATATCCAAATAGTAATTAAAGAATTTAATATCTTTTTCAATGTTTTCACATATTGGGTTGTTTTCACATATTGGCACGCTGCAGCCCTCGCCATAAGAAACATAAATGATATTTATTAGCAGGTGACAGTTGTTGCAAAATGTTACCCAATGAAATGTATTGTATATTATCTTGTAAATATATTTCTCTTTATATCATGTGTTATAAAGATAATATACTAAGTAATTGAACGGCATTGACATGCTATATATATACCCAATGTAAATTATCTTGTAAATATGTTTTGATGTCGGAAAGAGAATACAATGAATGGAATGGCCATGATCTATTGCAAAGTATCTTATAAATATGTTTCTCTATTCAAATTAAAGAATTAAATTATAGATCACAATTTTTTCATGATTACGGTATAAATTATCTCGCAATTAAAGAGAATAAAATTGAATTAAAGTTAATTATATTGTTATAATACACAGATTAAATTGTCTTAAAATAATAATTTAGTTGCAATTTTTTGCCTTTTTGGTACGCACAATCGTGAGTGATCTTGTGGGGCAGTCACCAGGTACTGGCCGTAGGTCGGTGGGTTTTTTCTCCGGGAACTCCAGCTTTCCTCCACCACCAAATCTTGGCACGTCCTTGTACTTAAATGACCATAGCTATAACAAAACCACATGTTACAAGATCTGAGTTCAATTACATTGTCCTGGTACAAACAGGGAAGTAACTCCGTGTGCTGAAGTAGCCAGGCTAGTTATGTCTGACAGGGAAGTAACTCCGTGCGCTGATCATGATGTAGCCAGGCTAGTTATGTCTGACAGGGAAGTAAAACTCCGTGTGCTGATGTTTGTTTGTTTGTTTGAGTGATTTTACGTCCCCTTCAAAATTCACTACCGAGTAGTTCAGTTATCCAGCAGACGATGTGCTAAGTCTTCGTCCCCCAAGACACAAGTATTTACAACCCATGTTCGCGTATCTCCTTGCCAAGCATACACCAAATGCTTGAAACAAGTGTTGGTCACAGAAACCACTGTAACAGGGGGTCTCACTAATTTGCGCCATAGGAGATTTAGCGCCATAGGTACGCCATAGGAGTTTTTGCACGCCATAGCAAAATATAAGTGTTATATCCACGAAATATTTCGATTTTTCCATTGGTATACTCATTTAACATGTTTAGGTGAAGTATCATTTTAAAAAACCGTGTCATTTGTTAGAAAATCGATCTTGATTACCAATCGAAAAATCTAAATATTTCGTGGATATAACACTTACATTTAGCTATGGCGTGCAAAAACTCCTGTGGCGCTAAATTAATCTCCTATTGCGCAACTTAGTGTAACCGGTAACAGGAGAGGGTCCAGTGGCGTAGCATACCTGTAAGCTTGCAATTGTATGCTCAAGGATATACTAAAATTTTCAAGATTTTTTTAATTCATTATTTTTAATTATAAAAAAGGAAAAAACAATTAAAAAATCTTCTTGAAAATTTTAGTCTGATAAAATACTGTTATTATGTTATGTCGATACATATTGACAATCTCGAAAGGGTACGTAAATTAAAAAATCTACTTAGTGAAGTAAAAAAACTAATATTATTCATAAAAAAAAAAATCGGGTTTAAATTAATATAAAAAAGAATCCCAGAAAACGGGAGACTGCTTCTAGGGCAAGTCGATTTTTTTAACTACCATACCCTCCCTCTCCTCCGGCGCCTCGGACGCTTGACCCTTTGTTAGCATACACTCTGAAAAAATAATTTGTTACGCCACTGGCGTCAGACCGGTAATTCGAACCCGGGACCCTCCGAACTCTATACGGATCGGTCTATCAATTGAGCTACCTGGTCGCCGACGATCGACCCAGTCCAGTTCCGCTACAATTCTGTTAAAAAAACACCATTGAGATGTTTCATCAAGGAATAAGATTATAGGCATATAATGTACTTTGCACTTAAGTAGTTTATGTATTTTATCCTAAAACGGCCGCCCATACCAGAGGGTGTTATCTAAGTCCGTGCCCATACCTAGTCCTTGGTTTCACATTTACGGAAACAATTCCTTGTGAAATGTTTTCATCTAGTGTCAAAAATTGAACATCCTCAAAGATTACATTTTTCTAACATTTTTTAACTTACACATACAGATTAGGAGATGAGTGGGTTTCTATACGTTTCTGACATATCTTAAATTGTATGATATTTAAAGGTTGCATTGGAAACTAAATGTAAATGATGTTAATGTTCAACTATATTTCTTATTTAAGAAAGTTGAGAGAATCGTCATTTTTTTAATCAAACTCTTTATATGCTAAACCTGCAACAGCAACTTTACTTTTAGGCCGTGGCCATCACGGAACTTGACTGTTGGCTATTGAGTACCTCTCTCATCTTGAGCCCCAATACATAAAGCGTTATAGTAACGTGGGTTTGAAGCGTTCGTCTGACATAACCAGCGAGGAAGGGAATGCTAAATAGCTGAAAAGTTCTGCCGGATTCTAAGATGTCACCGAATTATACAATGCATGAAGTGTTTATCACTTACAAGCATTAAACGTTATATTTTTCTTTATTGAAATTATATATAATAAATAAGCCATTCACTATATTTTTGATGTGAATGTAATTTCAAAAGTGAATATCATTACAGAAGAGACGTTAACGGGAGGGTGAGCGTACCCAAAATGGAACAGTTACCCAAATTGGAACACTTTTTATATTATTTGATGCAGCATTTTTATTTTATTTTGCATTAAAAATGAATGGTATGTATTCTCACATAAGATTCATATAGTTTTATGCATTTTCAGCATATTTTGTCTGCCTTTCTTTTTAACATTGCTCATAAAAAGTGTTCCAATTAAAAAACCCGTTCCATTTTGGGTACCCTCACCGTAAAGTTAATTCATCTCTGCCTTCAGTAACAAACATCATTGTTAATGTTAATTTCTTTTTTATTAATGTTTTCTCAAACTAGGTGATTCATTATTCAATTAGATATATCAATGAAATAATACACCCCATTCAATAGATTATGTTCAACATGTATTTTTATATAGCTATTTTTAACATTGTATTACATATAAATAACTGTAAGAGATTTTCTGGTTTTGTATGAATAGTTAGCTATAACTGTTAGGTTGTTTCCCAATATATGAGTCTTTTAATGACACAATAGGTAATAAGGAATATATCAGATAATAAGAATTACATAAGATAACACAGATATTTTAAAAACATTTTGTTGATTTCTGATTGACGAAAAATGTGTCTTTTCAATCAACGTCATTCGGTAGGAATTTTCCTGCGCTTAGACTTAGCCATACTGTCACTGATCGAACATGGCCGCCTCCATGGAAGGCGAGGGTGACTTTGGAGAGGATTACTATGCAATGCTTAATATAGATAGACAGGTAATTTGTTACGTGAAGTTGTCTAAAAACACACTTTCATTAAAACTAAACACTTTTGAGAGTTATGATGAACTGAGTGTATAAACGCAGTTAGTATGCAAAATTTGAAATGTTCCCCGTGTAACCGTTGCGTCAGGTTCGGCTCCATCTGTCAGAATTTGTTATTCTTTTTGCTTATATGTCATCTTTGTATGAAGGCAAATTAAAAACCATCAAAGAAAAGTGTTTATTATCGTATGATGCACACAGTATGAATTTAGAATAACAAATTACCAAGTTGATGGATGAGAATGGTCAATATATGGGGTGCATAGCAACCTTGAATCAAGCCCTGTGTCATCGTACATGTACGTACGTTTTGAGCTCAGGTTCATTGGAACGGTTGCTTGAGTTTCAAATATCTTATCATGTCTCTTTTAAAGTGATTAAATAGTCAATCTTTTATTGCCATACATAGTAGAAACTCAAGAGGAAAAATAAAGAAATTTCAGTCCTACTCGAAAGTGAAAGTAGGCGAATATATGATTATAGCTTAAATCAAGACAGTCTGCATGAACATAAACAAACTTAATAATTTTTCTAAAATCCGCTGTTCCCTGTTCGATCTGCATGTCATGTACTTCAAAACTCCATGTTAATACTGATCAATATCATGCAACTTATGTTTGTTACTTAAACTTGATATTTTATTTTGTTTAAGTGTACAAATGCAGAAATTGATGCTGCCTATCGACGTCTCACCAAGATTTACCACCCAGATAGACACTTTGAGCCCATCAGAAAGAAAAAGGCTGAAAACTTGTTTATCAAACTTAAAACAGCTCATAATGGTAAATATTCAATATTTGTATTCATGAATGATTTGTTTTGATAATATTGTCAGTACTGTATACTGTGTCTTTTTCAAAGCAGTTTAACTTCTGCCTTTTTTGCCCTTTGCTATGAAGGCGAATTCAACATGACAGCGAATATCAGTACACAACATACCCTATATAGTAATAACATGAAAAGGGCGAAATTAACACTGGACGAGCTTGTATTTTATCAGTGACATGCAGTTATTGATTGGATGAAAGTTTCCTAATATGCAGTATATGATAGATGATTCATATTTTGATCTGTTTCAGTTGTAAATATGTAGAGAATAGACAATAGGGCTACAATTTAAATTAATGTTTTTTTTCTTTTTTCTAGGTTGTTTGATTTTATTTATTTATAAATGACTTGGCTATCAACACTATACAAATATATACATATACACTAGCTGCCTAAAAACTGAAAGAAAATATAGCGTAGTACTGTGGAATGATTAATCTTTGTGGGTGATTTATTTTTTTGTACTTTGGGCGTTTGTGGCTACATAAGTGATTATCGACCAATTCATAAGAGATGCTGAAGTTATATTCTTCTTTTTTGAAAATAATGACTAATACTAGTGTTGGTATACAGTATCCCAAATTAAAAAAACCTACACAAATTGGTCCATCAAATGGCATATTTCATCAAAACTTCACCAAATTTTGAACCCCATGAAATTATATGATTCACATAACACTATATGGATTATGGCAAAAGAGATATCAGAAGGAAAAGGTTATAAAGAAAAGAACCAGTGGAACTGTGTGTTAAACCTTAATTGCATTGATAATGACATCCTCGATATCCAGAGGTAAGGCTCACTTTCGCTCTCTACACCCCTGGAATATGTCATAGCAAAATTGAAGGCTCGGTGTGTGCACCGCCTTGTTGATGAGACAAGAAGACTAGTTTGATCCAAAAGAATCTCGCGGTTGCTTAACAGTAAAAATTTACAGACTTTGAGGTTGGGTGTTGCTCCTTTGTAATCTTCAAAGGACATGTATACGTATCAGCTTAGCGATTGGTCAGTTTTTTTTTTTTACTTGAGACCTATCAAATAGCTGTCTTTATGCCTTCAATTTTGCTATGACATATTCCAGGGGTGCAGAGAGCGTAAGTGAGCATAACCTCTCGAGTATTGAGGATGTGATCATGAACACCTTATCATAATTAGGGATGTCATGATTATTTTTCTCTAAAATTAAAAAACAATTGATAAGAAGATGAATTGTGGATTTTATTGTGATTGATTATAAAAAAGAGTTTACATACTTAGTCCATGTGCTTTTTTGCCTTACCAGTTCTATCAGATCCGAACAAGAGGCAAATATATGACCGTTTCGGTGTTAAGGGCCTCCAAGTGGAAGGACTTGAGGTAAGTTGTATCATATATATATTGCAACATCTAGATTTAACCTATGATAATTGGAAAATATCACTATTTAATACATTTTCAAATTTCTCCAACTGAAACGAGAGAGGATAACACTCCCAGAACTAAATGGGAAAAAACTTGGTCTTCTGAAACGTTGTCCCTTTATTTTCAGCTGATGACAAGGACGAGGTCTCCTGCTGAAATTATTGCTGAGCTGAATCGCTACCAACAGGAGCAGGAAGAAAGGAAACTTCAAAAGAGAACAAACCCCCATGTAAGATACATGTCAGTTAGGGCTATTCCATAATTAATCATATGGGGGAAATGGGAGTAAGCTAGGGCTGTTCTATAATTAATCATATGGGGGAGATGGGAGTAAGCTAGGGCTGTTCCATAATTAATCATACCGGGGAGGTGGGGGGAAGCTAGGGCTGTTCCATAATTAATCATATGGGGGAGGTGGGAGGAAGCTAGGGCTGTTCCATAATTAATCATATGGGGGAGGTGGGAGGAAGCTAGGGCTGTTCCATAATTAATCATATGGGGGAGGTGGGAATAAGCTAGGGCTGTTCCATAATTAATCATACCGGGGAGGGGGGGGTAAGCTAGGGCTGTTCCATAATTAATCATATGGGGGAGGTGGGAATAAGCTAGGGCTGTTCCATAATTAATCATACCGGGGAGGTGGGGGTAAGCTAGGGCTGTTCCATAATTAATCATATGGGGGAGTTGGGAGTAAGCTAGGGCTGTTCCATAATTAATCATATGGGGGAGGGGGAGGGAGCCAGGGCTGGTCCATAATTAATCATACGGGGGAGGGGGGAGTAAGCTAGGGCTGTTGCATAATTAATCATATAGGGGAGATGGGAGTAAGCTAGGGCTGTTCCATAATTAATCATATGGGGGAGGGGGAGTGAGCCAGGGCTGTTCCATAATTAATCATACGGGGGAGGTGGGAGTAAGCTAGGGCTGTTCCATAGCTAATCATATGGGGGAGGTGGGGGTAAGCTAGGGCTGTTCCATAATTAATCATATGGGGGAGATGGGAGGAAGCTAGGGCTGTTCCATAATTAATCATACGGGGGAGGGGGGAGTAAGCCAGGGCTGTTCCATAATTAATCATATGGGGGGAGGTGGGAGTAAGCTAGGGCTGTTCCATAGCTAATCATATGGGGGAGGTGGGAGTAAGCTAGGGCTGTTCCATAATTAATCATACAGGGGAAGTGGGAGTAAGCAAAGGCTGTTCCATTACTAATCATACGGGGGGAGGTGGGAGTAAGCTAGGGCTGTTCCATAACTAATCATACTAGGGAGGTGGGAGTAAACTAGGGCTGATCCATAATTAATCATACGGGGGAGGTGGGAGTAAGCTAGGGCTGTTCCATAATTAATCATATGGGGGAGGTTGGTATATGTTTAATTATATTATTATTGATTAAACCAGATCTGCCTACAATTCCTACTATTTTTATTAACCACTTTTGATATTAGATGGGTGGTGGGTCTCTGAAAAAGTGCTTCCCACCCCTCCCATACATTTATTCCAGAAAAGCACTTAGTCTTAGTATACGTAATTTGTAATATTTTATTTGAAAAAAAAAGAAACTGGTAGAAAACCTTGGCACCATTTCATATTCTTAAACTATTTGATTGTGAAGCATGTTCTGATGTATGCAGTACTATCGTTATGATGTCAAAACATCAATGCATCAAAATATAAAACAGATTCGGGATGAATGATTTTGTAGAAGATTGTTTTGTCTGTAACAATCGTAGAGCCTGTTTTGTTTCATGGTTTATACAGATTCTGTTACTGTGAAGTTACACTTTCTATTTTGATCTTGGGAGGGAATAAAACTTAAGTAATTTTCAAAGATGAATTTTATAAGTTTTGAAATTTATAGTGGCAACTAGTACTGCATGTGTAAGGTTTTTAGCTCACCTGGCCCAAAGAGCCATGTGAACTTTTGTCGTACTGCGGCGTCAATCGTCCGTCTGTCAACTTTTTAGCTCACCTAAGCTTTAGCTAAAGTGATCATGACCTATTGCTATCCGCCTTCGTCCGTCGTGGTACGTGGTGCGTTAATATTTTACATTTTCAACTTAAGCTGAAATATTGTCGAAGGGATTTCATTGATACTTCATGGGAATGTTACTGACATCTCCCTGACCAAGTGCTTTTATTTTAGAGGTCTATCGGAAATCCAATATGGCCCCCACGGCTGTCATTTTGAAAAACTATTTCAAACTTAAAGTCAAGTTCTACTGGACATATTTAACTGAAACTTGGTTGGAATGATTGACTCGTGGTCCTGACAAAGTGTTGTTATTTTTCAAGTCAATCAGAAATCCAATATGGCTGCCACGGCCGCCATTTTGAAAAACTATTACAAACTTAAAGTCAAGTTCTACTGGGCTGATTTAACTGATACTTAGTAGGAATGATCGACTCATGGTCCCGACAAAGTTTTTTTTCTTTTCGCGCCAATCAAAAATCCAATATGGGCGCCACGGCTGCCATTTTGAAAAAAACAACTATTTCAAACTTAAAATCAAGTTTATGCCGATTTAACTGAAACTCATGGCCCTGACAAACTTAACTTAAAGTTATACTTAACTATTTTGTATTCAAATTGGTAGGGATGATTGACATCATTATCTTCAATTCATATTTCAACAACAAAAATAAATACTGTAGGACTCAGGTGACCGTTAAGACCCATGGGCCTCTTGTTGTTTTTAACGACTTCTTCTGAAGAACTGGAGGACCTGGGGTCATGATAGGTACCTGGGACGGAGTGTTATAAAGTTTCCTCATTAAAATGACCTTGACCTACTTTCAAGGTCACAGGGGTCAAATATGTTAAAATCTTCAAACAACAATATTTGAAGAACCATTTGGACTAGAGTCATAATATTTAGGTATGTTATGTAGACCAGCTGTTTGATCTGTTTTCTTTATTACTGAAATGAGGTCAATGTAAGCCAGAGTCAAAGGTCAATGTTGGTTAAAAGCTTTAAAATTTCAAATTTCAAAGAGCAATATCTTAAAAATCGTTGAAGAGATGCTAAATTGTCTTGTGTTCTAGTTACCAAATTCGGTTTGAAGTTACCTTTATGTCAGTTTCATGAAACAAAAGAAACAGATGAGCGATACAGGCCTATTCCTCATCATAGACTTGCCGTTTGTCAAAGAGATATGATATTAAGCGAAATTTGTCTGGAACTGCTATATTTGACATCGTTGTTTATAGAAAATTTCACGGTAACATGATTCCTGTAAAGTATTCTATTAAAATATAAAAAGTATGTAAGTATAAAAAAAATCTGTTTATGTCTGCAGGGAATGGTGACATTGGGAATCAATGCAACAGATGTATTTGATGCAGATCCTGACATGGACGATGAATTAAACAGTTACAGGTATTAAAGGCAAAACAAAATCTGTATTTCTATTACTGCCACCCACTTTCACTATTTGTAAAAGTTGAAAGTCGTGAAAGTAAGTGTTTGAAAAAATAAACATAAGCCAAAATAAGTGTTTGTAAAAATAAACATAAGCCAAAATAAGTGTTTGTAAAAATAAACATAAGCCAAAATTGTTTGTAAAAATAAACATAAGCCAAAATAAGTGTTTGTAAAAATAAACATAAGCCAAAATAAGTGTTTGTAAAAATAAACATAAGCCAAAATAAGTGTTTGAAATAACTACTATTTGTAAGTTCACTCTTAAAAATAAGTATCCCTTGAAGAAGTATTTGTGGAAAAAGCACACCTATTTATGAAAGTATATGAAATAATGTATTTCTGAAAATCAGTGTTATTAAAATAAAACTTATTAAAATAAGTATTCTTTAAAATAAGCATAATTTCTGAAAATGAATACACCTATTTATGAAACTATGTAAAATATATTTTTAAAAGTGAATAATAATTATTCATAAAAACAAAATTTCATGAAAATAAATGGGAAAATGTCGTGATATGCTGTTGCTATACTTTTGTTCCCGAATCATTTTCAGATCCAGCATACCCAGTATAGAAATCAGTCACATGAGCCTGCACCAGTCGGTGGAGGTTCCGCTCACCAAGAAGAACACCGCAATCATTGCCGGCACGTTGGCCAATCGTAATGGGAATGGCAATGGCGCTTTTACAGCGGTGTGGCGAAGGCTTACCTCAGACAATGGATGGGCAGAGGTACTCTTATAATAATGAGTCAAAAACAACATCAATGGCAAAGTTAAAGCAGCGGTAACCTACAAAATCAAGTTAGGTTTTGTTCCGATTGAATATGTGTTAATTATTGCTATTGACCCTTTCCCCACCGTAGACCATAATGCACTCATCCCCATAAATGCATGGAAGAGTCTACTAAAGTTACCTAGGGGTGAAAGGGTTAATTGGGAAGGTAATTGTCCAAACACTCCTTGATGGTGATCATAAAACACCAGTCCCAATAGTATTAAACCTCCTATTGAAAGTCGATTGTGATCTAATTAGTTGTAATCTAATTTGAACTTTTTTCTAAATGAACATGAAAAAACCCAACTACATAACCATTGTACATTTATAAATACATCTACGTAATCTGTTGACAGCTGGCCTTGTCGTGTGGTGACAATATTGGAACTAGTCTACGAGGGTTCAAGAAAATCAACCGGCGATGGTGGGTATCAAGTTAATCCAGGTGTTCTTGTATTCAAAATTGATTGAAATCTGTCTATAGTAAATTGAAACAGCTAACAGCAAAGTCATTGAGAGATGTGATGATTGGCAGATACTACAAGTCAGAATGAAAAGACCTTTTCAGGGGTTTTTTTCATTGTTGATTTTGGATACGGCCTTTTTGTCTCATTTTGGGAAGAAAATGTTCCATTTGGAAAGGACATATTCAGGAGTAAACTGCAAATTTTGGGATTTTGTCATAAATATGAAATAGTTTCGATTGGGAATGGGGCCCCATTAACAACCCCAAAAAATCCCCAGAAAAAAAACATGCTTTTCCCCATGTGATTCAAGAGTTTGTATACTGAATTTTCTGTGATATTTATGTTGTTTTTATGTAAAATGAGCAGATTCATGTGCTGAAATATCTTTCAATGAATAATATACCACAAATGAAGTTCCATCATAAAAGACTAACATCCATTTCGTTCCTGAAGAACCATCATTTCTTGAAGATAAACTGTAACAAAGAAACTGTGAGGTTGGTGCCTAAAAGTGAACTGTGCTCTGTAATGATTTTACTGTCTCGTTTTTCATTTTCAGCTATTGTACTGCAAATGCCAACATTTCCTACCTGTCCAATAGGGGAAGAAAAGCCATCGCTTTCACAGGCTTCCAGACAAGTAAGTCAGAATAGTAGTCGAGCTGCGGTTTAATCATCAGCCATAAAGGTCAGTAGTTGAGCTAAGCGTTTCCATTTCTACCACCATAGATTAATAGAATCTCTCACCCCCTTAGAGTGAGATAAGGGAAACTCAACCAGAGGGGGGAGATTCTTCAGTTGCTGAAAACAAGGCTTGATATCTGAGTTTTTGGCAACTTAAAAATCCAGAGGGTTGCGATTCCCTATCTCACCTCAAGGAGGTGAACAATTCTTTTTCTCTTAATCTGTTCACCCATTCTGTATCATAAACATAATGTAATGTTACTGTTACAGGCCAAATGCTAGGTTAACGTGATGTTGATGCATTGTTGCCGTGACTCAAATGAATTGTTGATGTGACGTCATACAATTGTTGTGAATAGGGAAATCCCCCCCATCTCGACCCCAGGGTGAGACAAGGATATCTCACACTGGGAAAAGTGTGGAAACACCTGTCCAGGGTAAATGAAAATGTCGTCTTCAGGCCCCAATATCTGAACGGATTGAGTCCGCCCTTGAAGGACAAGGGAAGTAACTCTATGCAGGGAATAACTCCTTTTTGCTGTTCATCATCTTTATATTTAATGAAACATATGGAGATTGGAATAAAAACTCTGAATTGGAACTCTTCTTGGCAATTATAGCTAAAGGATAGCTACCCTTTACCTCAAATAGATCATTTTATATTTGTAGCTGAACTGGTCTAGGTCGATCGTCGGAGACCAGGTAGCTCAAATGGTTAGAGCTTCAGTCTAGAGTTCAGAAGGTCCTGAGTTCGAACCTCAGTCTGGCTGTTGCATTTCTCTTTCTCCTATATTACAAATTTGGCGCCCTACGAAATATACGCATGGGAGGTGGTATAGGGTCTCGTGTGTCTTCGGGGTTGAAGACTTTGTTGAAGGAGAAAGGAATGTAGCCGAACTGAACTAGGTAGATTGTCAGCAACCAGGTAGCTCAATTAGTTAGAGCGTCCATCTAGAGTTCAAAAGGTCCTGAGTTCAAACCTCGCTCTGGCCATTTCTATTTCTCCTATTACATATTCATGGTAGTGGAAATTTGAACACGTTTGTTTTTGTGAAGAGGTGTTTGTGTTTGGATGAAGAGGGTGACGAATCTACTGGTATGGGGGACTTATTGTTCATTTGATAATGCCCTCCACAACAAAATGTGTGGGGGGGGGGAGGGGGTTGCATATAGTGTTGCACATGTCCATTGCGCCCTGCCACGTCCTAATGCATTGCGATACAATGTAAACTTTATACAAAGGTCAGATATGGTAATACCTCGTTGTATTTCATGGTTCAAAGGTCAAGGCCAAGGACATCGTTGTTGCAAATAGAATATCATCAGCTGTTTCATCGTCAGATTTTGATCAAAGTTTATACAGTTCATATTTAAAAGGGGACTTCAGTTGCTATTCATTAAAAAAAAGTTCTCTATATTTCTCCATATATCAGCATGAAGTATGATATTACCTTGTATGCATACATAATTCAAGGTGTCAAGATCAAAGTTGGTGTTACTATTTATAGAACATTATTGAATACTGAAACTTATTTGACATGGCGATGGGGGCATTCATGTCTTAGACTTACAGACATTTTCTAGTTTCAATAAATTTTATTTTCAACATGAAAGGATTGGAGAACAGGCTGATAATTCCCATATCGTTCCTCTCCTAGCCAGATCAAGATATATATAAGCAAACATTGACCTATTTATTGGTTGCTGATATTTGTTGTCCTTGTCAAGTGTCAATAGTTTATAAGTGAACTAAAGCTGGTTTCTTACCAAGTTTGAAAAATCCCTTAATATTTGTGCAAAATTTGCATACAAACCCCGGAAAATTATCTTTTCTATCTCCTTCAGTGATAGCATGTCAGCTGGATTCTCACCTTGAGGGTCGACTTGTGTGGAATGTCGGGCGACCGTCAGCGATGAGGACGATAATAAAATACGACAAAGAGTCGTACATGCTGTTATTTACTGCTCAGGCAAGTTAGACGATATTAAACCTTTTTACATACATGTACATCTCTCACGTGTTCTGAGGAAGTTTAAAACTAACCGGTACTCTGAAAGTAAAAACTTCATGGGAAAGTGTCAATAAAAATAAAAATATTGAATTGCTGCTTATATTGACTTCATAATCTGTTTCATGTGAAGTGTACCCTTCACTAAATAATGTCTGTTATGGTCAGTGATGTCCTGTAGTTCTTGTGCTTTACACAAAGATGACATTTTTCAAATATATTTGATGGCTTACAATTTCTCTTAAAAAACATATTCTGTACCTCTAGCTAGCTGGTCATACAAACTCCAAATGTCATACCGTATTCACTGTAACGTAATGTGTCAGATCTATAAATCATTGGCTGGTCAGCTCTGAGATAAGAATGGGGTTTATATAATTTCAATTCCTCTCGAAAAGGGGAGGGATATTTCTAAACATTTTCTTCAGGTTGGTAAGTATGGATTATGAAGCCAATCAAGATGATGTGCTCATAGACTCTCGCACATCTATGAACAAGTATTAAACAAAGCGTAGCTGAATTGAGGCATTTCGGTACATATATAACAACTATTGTACATACGCTTACAGATTAGCCGAAATCGACAACGATTTTGTGGACAACTCGTACAGATTTTACACCTTAGTGTGCATACGCTTCACTGGTCATTTGTCTGATGAAGGTGACGGTGTACATATCGTACTTTTCATCGAAACGTCACATAGAAAATGTTATTGGTTGTGTAAAAAGAACTTTTCATAAGGGGGAGGGATGCTTATATCTTTGAAGACTGATTCTTATTAAACATGAGAAATTTCTATGGAATTGTTCATTTTTTATGTCACTGTTTATATCGATGTTATAATTTGTGCTTTCCAGCTTGGCATTCCAAACATTTTTCTTCAAACTGTTTTTGTCAAAAAGTTTCCAGAAAAGGATGCAAAAGTTCGTCTTTCAGCAAAGTGAGTATTAATTGTTCACAAAACAGTGTGCATGGTTATATACTGTTAATCACATAGAAACTTCCTATTGTTTTGTTAATATGATGTTATAACTTGGTTTACATTATATAGATAACAGCTGAGGTCTTTGTTTTTTCAATGCATTTGCTAGGGGTCGAACCCAAGACCTCTGGTAAACTATAGTCTTACATTCTACCAAATGAGCTAAAGAGAAATTCTCCCTAACTGAGTCGGTTGGGAAGGGGCTAGTATTTACCAGGGTGACATACTCCCCCTCCAGGAAAGAACTTGTCCCAGTCTTCCAGAGGTCATAGCAATTCTTGTGAAAACATCGCTGACTATATTTATCAATATTTCCCGGGTCCCTACATGGGTGCCAATGTAACAGAGGGCATTATTATTTCAATATCTCCGCCGAGAGTTGAACCCGGGACCTCTGGTCTACTAGTCTTAGATTCTACCGAATGAACTAAAGAGAAATTCTCTCTAGCCAAATCGGTAGGAAGTGGCTGATACAGTGGGATAATATGTCCATATGTAAATATATATCTACAGATTTTTATACTAAAGCTATTTATACTGATTTTCCGAGGTATTTTACTGATGTGTTGTGGTATTTTACTGATGTGCTGAGGTATATATACTGAAATGTCGACCTTTTGATACTAATGACATGGATATTTTATTCAAAGTCTTTCAAAAAGCGAAGATACAAATATTTCATTTTTAAATACAATAGTTCAATACAATGATTTCAGTACGATGATTCCCTAAGAGATAAACAAGAGATGGATGAAACATTACTAGGAATGGAACCAATTAGAAGCCTGTTATAGTTGGGACAAGCCCTGCACATCGCGTTGTATTACATATTATATAGATTACAGATATAAAGGATGTATAGATTTCAAGACCATGGCCAGCACAAAAATTTCTACCATGTGAACAGTTCCACTCACAAGAATTTCCAATGTTACCGTAAGCAGCATACGGAAATCAACTTTCATCTATCTGCTTTCTTTACATTATAGGGTAGGCACCATGGGTGCAGTTGTGGAATACGGCTGTGAGACGAAAGTGTCGCAGTTCAGTACCCTCGGCGCAACCATGGCGGTGGGCACCAGTGTGGGCGTGTCACTTAAAATCAAGTAAGACGTTTATTTCAACCTTCAATCCACACTGTTTCATACCACAAGGGTCTGATCATTTGAGATGTGAAAGTTACAGAGATAAACCCCAGATAAGTGTATACTATACAGTGAAACGTATTGTGACCTTGTGCTTACCATGAAGCTATCATTGCTGTATGCCGGAAACTTATTACCAAGTCCAATATTTGCCCTTTACCAGTGAAATTTATATTTCATCTGTGTTAATATCACCTTTAAGGTGTAATTGCTATAATGGTATGCTATGCTGTGTATTTGCCGTCATGATAAATTCACCTAAGACCTTTATGGAGGGAGAAAATTGCAAAAGATCAAATAAGTTGAACATTTTCCAATACAAAGACATAATTGCCAACTCTCCCTTTTAAGGACTTCCAATGAATGAATACGCTGAACTATTCCTATATTCTAAGATCTAATTATTTTATCTAAAAGAGCGACTCAAAAGATGTCATTTTAAAGGGTTCTTGTGTCCCTAGAGGTAATATACACATATTTTATTTATGTTTTTAATTTTGAGCACGTGGAAATCTCCCCAATGGAAATTCCAAAAGGTTTGCAAGTATGATAATGTATATAATATAACCTATGGCAAAAAGTCATCTTACAATTACGAACATCTATCTCTATAAAATTATTACCTATATTTGTGGATGTTCCTTTCCACAGGTTTATCCGAGGCCAACAGGAATTCTTCTTCCCAATACACTTGTCTGAGAGCATTGTCCCTGAGGCTATAGTGTACGGTACCTTCCTCCCACTGGCTATCTATTTCGTGGCAAAGAAGCTCATCATAGATCCGTACCTTAAATGTCAGGAGGAAGAGTGAGTATCTACGACAGGGATTAAGCTTTTTAAACTGTATTTCTGATAATAAGTGCCCCTCCCCTTTCAAGTGCCCTCCCCTTTTTATACGCCCGTCAAATTTGACGGAAGTATTATGGTATGGGGTTGTCCGGCCTGACAGCCCACGTACACTTTTGATTGTCCAGCAATCTACTCCTACATTTTTCGACCGATCTCTTTGAATCTTGGTATACATTAAAATCATGATATGAAGTTGTGTCTCCCTTAAAAAGAATTTTGATTCGACAATTTTTCTAAAAGTTATTGCCCTTTGTTTATTTCAGTATTTGATTTTTGTCCAGCAATCTTCTCCTACATTTTTCAACGGATCTCTTTGGAACTTGGTATACATTATAATCATGATATGAAGTTGTGTATCCCGTAAAAGAATTTTGATTCAACGATTTTTGCAAAAGTTCTTGCCCTTTGTTCATTTCAGTATTTGATTTTTTTTGTACGGAGATTTTCTCCCACATTTTTTATAGCATGTCAGCTAACCACTCTTAGAATGATGCAGATCTTATTTCAATGTAAGAAAGTATATAACACTATATGGCATTTGACAGGCATATATTGTTCTACCCCGCGGTACTCTTGTTTGAGTAATTACTGGGGTATTGATGATATTTATAATAAGTGCCCTTTTTCCCATACAACCTCCCTCCCTGGTTCTCTCAAGTTAATACCAAATTATAGCACTATAATATCTCCACTTTTTATCAGACACTACAGTATAGCAGTCTAACTCGACTGTTGATAAGCCTTTAAACAGGTCCATATTATGTTAAGAGCACAGCAAGGGGCCAAATTTTCAAAACAAATGCACATTGGCCATCATATTTTTAAACATTGAACATTTTGTGCAGTTTCTATCACGTTGGTCTCTAAGACCATGGTCAATGTTACTTGAAACTGCAAAGCTGCTCATTGGGGTGTACCTTTGAGAATTCCACTAACTTGTTTTACTATGCCCTGCGATGAAGTGTTGAGGGCCACGTAATGCCACCCTTGTCTGTACGTATGTTTTGCCGATTAAGTTTTTGTGTTTAGGTCATTTATGGACTAAGCACTGAAGCAAGGGTCATGGAACTTCACATGCTTATGTGCCTTTATGAGTAGAGCATGTTCAGGATATCTTTGTGACCTTGACCTTTGACCACACTCTCTGTGACCTTGGTAAGGATTTAGGATATCTTTGTGACCTTGACCTTTGACCACAATCTCTCTGACCTTGGTTAAGATTTTACGTTTGGGTCAGTCATTGACTTGGTACTGCAGCTAAGGTCATGCAAATTCATGTGACCTTGACCTTTGACCTTGGCCTATGTGCCCTTTGCCTATGTGCCCTTTGCCTCAGTTATGAAGCATGGGAGTGTGGCATCCATGTCATACGACGCATTCCTAATTTAATATCGGAGAGCAGATCTAAAACTTGAGAGGGAACCACTTTAAGATACGACATACTGTAGAATCATTAATTTCCGTGGGGTTTAAATTTCGTGGTTTTCATATACTAGCCTGTTTCAAGGACATTATATTTCGCTGATTTCTGATTTTCCCCTATGTATATCATACTAAATTTATTTTTTCGTGGGGATTTAATTTCGTGGATTTTTGTTATCAACGAAAAATTTATGATTTTACGGTACTGCATATTCACATTCATTTCAGATCACAAGGAAAGGAAAAGGAAGAGGCAGCCGAGAAAATGGCAGCAAAGAAAGAAGAAGCAGCAGCGACTGTAAGACGCTCTTAAATATAATTAATTTCATTATGATCTCCCGAAGATTCTGTGTAGATGTAATCTGCCGTAAGCAAACTCCAATACTAATGATCTAGCTTTTGACCTCTGTATTTCTGTATCCTGATGCATGGCTGTATAAAAAATGAAAATGGTATCGCGTGTGTATCTTTGGTCAAAATTAACATCTTGTGTAATAAAGCACTGCACCTGTACAATGGAGCCGCCTCCTGTAACGCAAGGCCATTAAATGTGTCGGCCATTACATGTGTCGGCCATTATATATAGTAATAGCCAGCAAGTACAACATGTTGCTGTGTTAACATGGAGATATCCTGCGAACCCTGGCGTGCTCTGTCTAATTACAAGTATAAAGCAAGAACAACCCAAGTAGGAGATATTGCAATAAGGCCAGACTACAACCATTCAACATGTTCCCTGTCATTGGTACGAAAGTCAATAATGGCCAAAGATTTATGACAAAAAAATATCCATGTCATTGCCGTATATCATAACATATGATAGGGCGCGTGATGTTTTTATTTCCACACCTTCATAATTGGATGGAGAGCTACGGCTGCTGCACTCTCCTGTCCTTCGGTACCAATCATCTGGTGATAAGCAATTTGTTCGGTCTTGATGCCAAGACATCTCGCCGTCTGTGGTCTTTGCTACTGCTGCCCTGAAACACATTGGTCTGTTTTTAAGCAAAGTATATTTGCATTCACAAAAATTAGGTACTCCAAAAAATACAGTTTTACAGCATGTTCTGTGGCTGCCTGTTGTAGAGGGTTCGGAGATTTGTTCATGTAAAAGATTTTGTCTTGTATTGAAATAGGTTGAGCTATTGAAAGAGTCTGTGGAACGAAGCATTGAATCGGAGGAAAGAAAACGAGGTCTAGTAATTCTGAAGGCACTGTATGGGAAGCTGATATCCGACGACGAAGGGTAAGATATCAACTCAGAAAGGACTAGGGTTTGATAAAGACATGGTTTTGGCCTGAGTAATAGATTTCTTAATATTCCGAAATAAAATGTAATTACGAATTTAAAACTCTTTAGACAATAAGGAAGTGTTTACATGCTTACATGAAACAGTATTATAATTAACCCTTATATTATATTTGCAAGATTCATTAAGACACGGCTATTTAAAAAAAAAAAAAATGTTCTTACCCAGACAGTTTCGTTGACATTCTGCCAGCTTGGTCACAGGTGACATTAGTGATGTGGGAGTTACTTCCCCTTGTTTACCACAGTGAGTCAGTCAGATCATGTGTTATTGTCTTATTTTTGGCATGAATGTTCATGTGGGGTCTAAGAAGGACAATATGGATTTAATTTAACAAACAAAAAATCATTGGATAGGGTCAAACGGGCGTATTATGCATCTGTTTGCGGTGCTCATGTTTACATAGCAGTGACTTTATGAATCTTGCAAATAAACCTTACATTCCTGCTAAATGAACCTTTTCAGTGATAACCCTTCAATTTAATTTTTCTTTTCTTGAATGCCAAATGTACAAAATTTCCCGTTTCATTCTATTCCCACCTGACAATAAAAGAACCTTTGTTGGCCTGAGAGAACCCCTGATAGTATGGTACTTGTTTTATTCGTACAGAGAACTGCTGGATGGCCAATGTATCGATGTGATCACCCCCGTACAGGCTTTGGTTCGGGACTCCCAACTCATCCTGTCCGACACCAAAACTAAGGTAAGCTGTGAAATATCTCTAGGCCGCTTTCGTTTATTGAGATCCAAACGGTTGGACCAGATTTGTTTGTTTGTTTATGAAACAAGGTCGGACCCAGTAATCTGATGCTGCTTTCAGGCGAGCCTTGACAAAGCCAGTTCTGCATAAATATTCGCAGGTCCGAAAGGGTTTATACCTGAAAATATTACATAAAAAAACAGACAAACTGCTTGTTCCGCATAAAGGAACAGGCCCCTACAGTACAAACACATCATGATCACGATTTACACTTAATACAACAAAATATTCTAACATCAAAGAATCCAACCATTTGTAAAAAAAAAAAGAGAAAAATTTACAGCAATACATATGTACCATGCATTATTTTTGTGAGACCAGGTCACCGTTACTATAAATAGTTTTTTTTTGCTTTTATCACTCTACAAACTTCAAGTTTGATGCAACTGTCTTGAAGGTTTGCATTGGTGCTCACAAGTAATACCTCTTTTATGAGTTGATGTTTTGACCTATGTAAGATCACTGATTACTATACTTAAAAGATCATTTGATGTCTTCACACTAACAACATCATTACTTTTCTGATTATCTCGAAACTTTACGCACATCTTAAAAATGGAACAAGTTTGTGTTTCAGCCTTCCAGAGTCATCACCAATTCAAACATTCTTGTAAAAAGTAACTTTTGTATCGCCACAATCTTCATTTTGTATGGTATTAATGTCACCCTGGTAAGATATTAGCCACTTCCTACCGACTCTACAAGGGAGAATTTCTAATTGCTCATTCGGTAGACCGTAAGACTAGTAAACCAGAGGTCCCGGGTTCGACTCCAAGCAGAGGCATTAAAAAAAATAATGACCTCTGTGGCATTTTGTACTACATGTTATCTTGACGACAGTGATAATTTGCAATGCTTTGTTTATTTTTAGTATTATAGGTATGCCATTGTATTGCTTTAGAAAGATACATGTTATCCCTCAGTATATTGCCCACCCCTGTATCAGGACAATGTTTTGCCAGGAACATGATGGCAGATTAATAAGGTTTTACTGTAGTTGTAGTGTACATTGTGTAATGTGAAGAGTACAGGGAAGGGAGGTAATTGTGTAATATTAAGAGTACAGGAAAAGGTGGTATCCCAATAGTTTCCTTTCTGAGAGATTTCCTGTCACAGTTAATGTTATATGTTGTGTTTATTTACAGTGTGATATACCTGGTTTCTATGATCCATGCCCAGGCGAGACGAAAACACTATATATAAGATACAAATTTAGAAATAAGCTACACCAGGTCACCTTGGCAGACAATGATGCCATCCGACTACCCCTACAGAGTAAGTACACTTATTATCATGGCTACAAAGTAAGTACACTTATTATCATGGCTACAAGAGTAAGTACACTAATTATCATGGCTATAGAGTAAGTATACTTATTATCATCGCTACAGAGTAAGTACACTTATTATCATGGCTACAGAGTAAGTACACTTTATATCATGGCTATAGAGTAAGTACACTTATTATCATGGCTACAGAGTTAGTACACTTATTCTCATGGCTACAGAGTAAGTACACTTATCATCATGGCTACAGAGTAAGTACACTTATTATCATGGCTACAGAGTAAGTACACTTATTATCATGGCTACAGAGTAAGTACACTTATTATCATGGCTACAAAGTAAGTACACTTATTATCATGGCTACAAGAGTAAGTACACTAATTATCATGGCTATAGAGTAAGTATACTTATTATCATGGCTACAGAGTAAGTACACTTATTATCATGGCTACAGAGTAAGTACACTTATTATCATGGCTACAGAGTAAGTACACTTATTATCATGGCTACAGAGTAAGTACACTTATTATCATGGCTACAGAGTAAGTACACTTATTATCATGGCTACAGAGTAAGTACACTTATTATCATGGCTACAGAGTAAGTACACTTATTATCATGGCTACAGAGTAAGTACACTTATTATCATGGCTACAGAGTAAGTACACTTATTATCATGGCTACAGAGTAAGTACACTTATTATCATGGCTACAGAGTAAGTACACTTATTATCATGGCTACAGAGAAAGTACACTTATTATCATGGCTACAGAGTAAGTACACTTATTATCATGGCTACAGAGAAAGTACACTTATTTTCATGGCTACAGAGTTAGTACACTTATTATCATGGCTACAGAGTAAGTACACTTTATATCATGGCTACAGAGTAAGTACACTTATGATCATGGCTACAGAGAAAGTACACTTATTATCATGGCTACAGAGTAAGTACACTTATTATCATGGCTACAGAGAAAGTACACTTATTTTCATGGCTACAGAGTTAGTACACTTATTATCATGGCTACAGAGTAAGTACACTTTATATCATGGCTACAGAGTAAGTACACTTATGATCATGGCTACAGAGTAAGTACACTTATTATCATGGCTACAGAGTAAGTACACTTATTATCATGGCTACAGAGAAAGTACACTTATTATCACAACTGCAGTTTAGTACACTTTATATCAGACTAAATTCTACAAAGTTAGTATACTTTACTTCAAACTTTGCAGTACATACAATATTAGGAGGCACGGTAGTCTGATGGCAGAACGCCGGGCTCGTGACCGAAGGGTTGCGGGTTAAACTCATGTCACGGCACTGTATTGTCTCTTTGAGCAAGATACTTTACTCAGCTTATTCCAGTCTATTCAGCTGTAAATAAGTACATGGTTGGGTAGTACTAGAATTGTTGAATGCTAGCTGTGATCGCCGAAATGGCAGCACCGGCTGTATGCTTGTGAACCACAAATTATTACTATGATTATTATTATTATATATATTTTTCTAAATAATGAAATGAAAATATTTTGTTGTGACAAGTACATTGCATTTTTATGCTACGACACAACAATGTCCATGGTCAGTTGTCCAGTGTCTGTCCATCTTCAACTTTTCATTTAAAACACTACTTGTCTAAAACTGCTGAGCATATTTTGATTTAGTTTGGTCTGGAGCATTATTGGGCCAAGGGGACTGCCTGTTTTATAAATGAAATGTGTTTTACCCCTCTTGGAGAAGAGTGGGACACAAGGGTCTTAGCCCTTGGCTTATAACTTATTAGATAATGGCTATGATAATGAAGAATCCTAGAATCCGGAAATCAACTGCTGTGTAACAGATGAGCAATACAGGCCCAATTGACCTCTTATTTTGAGAATTCCTTTTAATGCTTCTTGTTTTCTTTTCAGAACATCTTTTAAAGGAAGACGAGACTTGAATGAGGAGTAGACAATGACATATCTTTCACAATGTGCTAGCATTAACTCACATTCATTTGCATTTACAAAATCCAGGGGGGATAACTCTGGATCAAGTTTCAGGGTTTTGACCATATATCATGGAAATGTAAAATCAACATCCACGCTGTGAATTTGAATACAAGTCGGGATTGTATCTATGCTTCAATGATTACGAGTGTGCCAAAATCAATTCTGCCTGGCCGGTCAATTACAAGGCGTGCTTTGAGATCACTCGATTTGGCGAGATTACAATGGAGCCGATATTTGTTTTCATTGTTATGAATATTTTTTGTAATTCAGATGATAATAGTTGGGCTAGACACGGAGGTTTCTTAACTGTGTAATATATAAAAAAAATCTTTATTAGATAGCCATGTTTTTCAGATGAATTGCATAATCTAACATCTAGGACGGTGGTTTAAATTGCAGCTATTTATTAAGACTTAATTAACCTCCTGGATTTTTGTTTTCATAAGTTGTGAAAAATGTGAATAAGTCCAACATCTATGACAATCAAATTGACTAGAAAACTAGTATTGTGAGTTATCCCATCCTTATAATCCAGGGGTTGCACTGCAGAGAGCGTAAGTGAGTGTAACCCTGGAGTAACGAGGTAAGAGTTACTAATCAGTTAAGGTTCTGAAGACATAGTGTTTACCTGGAAACTTTCACCCCGTCAAACTTTCCCCTACATCGGTTAAACCCATATTCGCCCGGTGTTTATTTCACCCTTCACGTTTAAAAACTATATTTATGATATTGTTAACTAATCTTCGTTCTAATGATAGATTTGCCCCCCTTGTGGATGGAAAAAATGCAAAATTTAGAAAATGCTTTGGAAATTCCTGGGTTTACAGTAATGTATATTGATAGCATATGTTTCAGTATCCTTGATATCTAGTGGTTATGCTCACTTTCGCTCTCTGGACCATGTCATAGCAAAATTGATGGCACACGGCTAGCTATTTGATTGGTGTCAGGTAAAATACTCTGACCAATCACGAGGCTGATACTTGTCCTTTGAAGATTACCAAGGAGCGACACCCAACTTCAAAGCTTATCAATTTTTACCGTTATGCGACCGCGAGATTCTTTTGATGTACATCAAAGGATCAAACTTGTCTCATCCACAAAGTGCTGCACATTGAGCCTTCAATTTTACTATGACATATTCTAGGGGTGTAGAGAGCGAAAGTGAGCGTAACCCCTGGATATCAAGGATGCTGTTTCAGCTGCCTGTTCAAATAACTGTTCATGTAGATTTTTCTATATCTTTTACGTGTAATGATTGAACACATATTAATGGTTGTAATTGAATGATATCATGAATTTGTGGTGAAAAGGAAAAAAGTGATGGGGTTTTGACATGATGAGGTAAATAGATAAGAAGAATCTATATTTTGTATTTCATACTTACCAACTTTTTAAAATTTATGTGAAGCAGATTAAATGTGCTCTTAATTAAAAAAGCATGTATTGAATATCTCTGTATAAACCCTAGGGGGAAAATATCATTTTGAAATGGCATCTTTTGAGTTGTTCTTTCAGATAGAGCCGTCAGATCTTAGAAAATAGGAATAGCTTAGCAAATCCACTTGTTGAAAATGCTCAAATTTTTTAGGGCCCAAAATTGGGAGTCTCCCTCCAAAATAGAGAGAGTTAACAAGTATGGTATTCATTGCTGCTCATTTCAATAAACCTCAGATACTTGTTTCATAAACACATGTACAGACTTTATCATAATTACATGATTCCCCCAAAAGAATTTCTTTAGAATCATAACAATGCCAATACTATATTATCAAACTCTTTTCCACAGTCTGTAATGCGTGATAAGTCATTGTGTGGATTGGAGATTTCATCGGGTTTCAAGTCATACAGCATGCTTAAGGTGACATTCCAACAAGTTTGTGGTTTCGTTTAAGACAATCTAATTAAAATCAGAGTTCTCATTACACTACATTAACGTAGTGTAATGACAATCTGATTTTAATTAGATTGTGTTTACACTACATTAAGGTAGTGTAATGAGAGATCTGATTTTAATTAGATTGTGTTTACACTACATTAACGTAGTGTAATGAGAGATCTGATTTTAATTAGATTGTGTTTAAGACTTTTTTCACAACAGCCAGTGGAATGAACCAATTACCTGGTAACCCATTCACCCCTGAAATATTATAATGCACTATTCCAACCTTTGAATTGGAAGAGTTCAAATGTGTCTTCAGGGGTAAATGAGTTAAGGGCAGTGACATAATTTACGAGTCCCAACTGAACAGCTCTTTCTGCACAAAGATGTTCTTTTGGTCTTATAAATAACATACATTGTACATCGGTCTGGAGATTTAAGTTCAAATTACTAAGTACTGTATACGGGGAAATATTTGCTGCAGTTTATTTTTTTCGCCCTCAATAATGAGGGTGCATTTATCATTACAGCAGTCAATTATAAACAACATAATATACATTGTCATTAAATGTGAAGGGCAAATTTAATATTAGGCGAAAATGAATTTTATCGGCGAAGGGCAAAAATGTGACTTGGCATCCGGGAATACAGTATCGGCTGTGATTATTTCTATACTATATGGAAGAACAGTTTTAACTGCTTTTTAGAACACACTACATATTGTCCCTCAAAAAGTTTTAAAAACATTTGTTTTATTCTCAAAGGGACAACACTGTGGTAATAGGCATGTTCAAGCTATCTAGCAGCATTACGCTGTGAAACAAGTCGAGATCTCAATGTACAGTTACAGACATGATCAAACATAGTGTCTTGGTCGACGATAAACTCAAGTTTTATAAAACAAGAAAAACTTAAACAGACTCCAAGAAAATTTCAGCCAAGGATATGAGTGATATTTTATATACACTCTTTAGTGTGCAAACACAGATGTCCAAAAACTTTAAATTATTTACAATTTTGGTGCAAGTTTGTATCATTGGTTGAAAATGTTTCTGTTTTTTAAGAATAAAAGATATTTTATGGAAGTGTGTATATATCCTTGTTGTTGTTATCACTAAGTGTATGTGTAAATAGTTTTATTATTGAGCTTGCCATATTCTGGTATCTAATGGAAATGCTCATGCTTTTCATAATGAGTGAATTAGTGGGAAAATATTCACACAAAAACATAGATTATATATATGTTATAGAAAAAAATGATATTTCAAAACCTGAAATTTTACATGTGTAATTCAGTTGAAAGTTGCAATGCAAGGATTTCCACACATGAAAATGTCCACTTCTTTTAGTATAGCCAGTTTTTTCTCTTTCTTTTTCTAGTCATTAAACTTTATTTACTTTAGAACAAAATCTGGTAATAGAGAAGCTAAACATTCAATTAATTTAATCTGGAAATTTACCCTTTTATGACACATTTATGAAGATTGCTTGGTCAACTTTTTTCTTCAGAAAGCATGTTAAAAGGTTGACTCGGAGTGGATGATTCACAAAGACAGTCTTTCATTATAGTTATGGTAACAGTTCCTTCATCTAGAGCTAACCAACTGATAAAGCTTAGAAGAAATATTCAATCTTAGAACATTTTAAGTTAATGAAACTTCAAAAACAAGGCAGAGTATTACAAGGCAATCCAGTCCCCCACCTGTAAAGATTTCTATATTTAACAAACAATACACTTATTTTACGAATTATAGGCAACAGTGAGGATAAAGTGACCTACTTCTTGCACTCCGTCATCCCAAGATGTCCTTGTACACCAACTCTGCTAGTCTCCAGGTGAAATAGTACAGAGATATGCCCCAAAAGTTTAGATCAAAGGTCACAGTGACCTTCTTCTTGCACTCGGCACTCCGTTATCCCAAGATGTCCTTGTACACTTCTGTACACTTCTGTACACTTGTAATCTGGTTACTCCAGGTTAAATAGTACAGAAGATATGCCCCGGTCAAACATTTTCATAAGTGCAGGTCAAAGGTCAAGTCCGTGGTCACAGTGACCTAGTTCTTGCACTCTACAATCTCAAGATGTCATTGTACACCAAATCTGGTTACTCCAGGTGAAATAGTATAGAAGATATAACCCCGACACACATTTTCATAAGTGAAGGTCAGGTCAGTGGTCACAGTGACCTAGTTCTTGCATTCTGCAATCTCAATATGTCCGTGTACACCAAATCTGGTTACTCCAGGTGAAATAGTATAGATGATATGCCCTGGACAAACTTTTCAAAAGTCAAGGTCAAAGTTCAAGGCATAGGTCACAGTGACCTTCTTCTTGCACTCCGCCATCCCAAGATGTCCTTGTACACCAAATCTAGTTACTCCAAGTGAAAAAGTGTAGAAGATATGTCCCGGACAATCTTCTCAGACGGAAGGGGAATGGACGTAGTGCAAACCTATAGTCCACCCTGGGAACCATTGGGGGACTAAAAATTGAAGTGAAGGCAATACATTGTTAAGGAGGTTGAACCCTGGGCCCCTTTCGCGTATTCTGTTCAATCAGTTTAACCAGAAAGAAAACAACAGGCACAGATCTGGACCGAGGCTGGCCACAGGTCTGAACCAAGGCTGACCACAGATCTGAATTGAGGCTGACCACAGATCTGAACCGAGGCTGACCACAGATCTGAACCGAGGCTGACCACAGATCTGAACCGAGGCTGACCACAGGAATATTCGCCAGTGTAGAATGTGGGGTCCTGGTGTGTCTGACAGAAACTTAAATGCTGACTATTGCTAGTTTGGTTGTTTCTTTACAAAACGAGGTAAATCCACATGTAGATTTTGAGATACATTACATGATTAAGTGGATGCGTAAAATAATGACACATTATTCTTGATATATTGTTATTTATTCTCTAAAACTGCATATCTTTTAGCTCTGCCTACAGTTTGGTCAAAGTGTGTTCATTTATCTTGGAATATTTCTGCGCTACTTGAACCGTTTCAACCGGGATATGTGAATGGGACCCAGACCTAAACTCTTGTAGCCCTATTTGTGCTGATTGAGGGGGAAAAAATCTTAAAATACAATAAACAAACAGAACACAGTGTATCTAGAAAAGTTTGTATTTTATTACGTTTGACCTATTTATATCATGATTTTGTCCCCGTAATAACAGCACGGGAGACACATCACAGTACGATAACAGTGCTACACAATAATATAATATCGTGTAACATACATCACAGTCGAGGAATAAAACATATATAACACAAGTCTGGTCCCGCCAGTCAATGTCTGACCACCATTTCTAACCCTATGTTTCAGCAGAGGCTTTATTTTGTTATAATTAACAACTGATTGAAGTTAATTAAAAAATATAAATTAACTCATTCTACCCTGAAGTTTCATAATGAATTATTCCAACCTTTGAATTGGAAGAGTTCAAATGTGTCTTCAGGGGTGAATGAGTTAATAGATTTTGATAAACAAGTTTCTACATAACTCTTCTATTTTATTGACCAACTGATAGTTCAGAGGTTTCAATAAAACCCAGCCAGACATCAGACAATTGAACTCGCACAGACGTAAACAAAGCAAACATTTAAAAATCGCAATCTGATTAAAATCATCTGTAAGGCTCCGTTAGCTTCGTACTACACCTGAGGTAACAGATGATTTTAATCAGATTGTTAAAAATCGTAGACGAAAAGTTCTCTTGTATAAACTATTCTATTAACTAGTTACTTTGTATTAAAGGTTTAAGTCGAAGATCACTTTCAACAAATAAAGATACTGATAACATATTTAATATTAGTGCACTCTATTTCGCTGCACTTGTGAGAATCTTCGTATTACGGTACACGCTTAATGATTTGAGCACTATAGCTATTTATAATATGCAGGCATACTGTAATTTCACATTTAACGGTTATCTTAACCTAGCGCGAAAATCACTTAGATTTGAATATAGTGAAAATCGCTAAAATATGAATACCGCTAAAACCAGTATGTTGACAGTAAATATTGAATATTGCTAAATTCAGATACACATTATCATTAGAATTGGGTTTAAATAATAATGATAAATTGATGTTTATTTGTATAAAATACAAGCAAGTGGAAAAAGAAAAAAAAAATAGGTAAAAAAAAATATTCAAAAATGTATAACTACTTATAAGTAATAATATACATGTATTTATATTTCAGTGTAAAAATCAAAGCTTTGAAAAGAAATGAGAATGATTAAGCATCAAAATAGAAATTTTGGTATAAGGACGGAATGGGTTTAGGACGGAATGAAACATGCAGAATTCTGCCATTCATTTCACTATACAAATAAAATGTATAATGATTTCAATAGTCTATTGAACTGAAAATCAAAATTTCCTTTTGAACAATGGTAGATTGAAATGTCTAAAAAAAACAACTATGGGAGACATAAAGAATTATAGAAACAAGTTTCCATAATAAAAGGCAATAATATAAAAGCTACTAATTTCATAAGAACTGAGGAATGGTTTAATGTGGAAACAGTCACTAATGTACATGTTGACACAGCGTAGTAATTAAAATATTGTTACTTTTTAAACATGATAAATTGAAAATTAAAATGACAATATTATTCTGATATAATCACCCGACACAGTACTTTTATTTGAACACCAGTCAAATAATTTTGAGCAAATCTGTGGCCAGATATACAAAAATGGCTGAAGTATTTACATAAATGGTAAATTTGTGTAATCAATGTAAATCAAGTGAGCTTAAAATATATCTATACATTGTTTCTGCATTGATGTATTTCACGACCTGAATAAATTTTGAAAATTGCCCATTATAAATTAAATGCCCTCAAGGTCAGTCTTCAAGACTAAAGAAAGAGGGGGTAAAATAGTTGGGTCTAACAAATTATCTTAAATAGATAGAGAGGACAGGGTAAGAATTTCACAACTTTTTCTGACTTAAGGATGTAAGCTACCTTACATTTTATATCCATGATTTGTCTTAGAGTTATCCCCCTTACATTTCTGCAACATTACACTCTCGAATTCTCTCATTATTGTGACTTTAAAGATTTGTCATCTATTAATTAAAAAAGTTCAAATTACTGTTATCTCATAATTGACTCAGTCATCCCACAGGACACATTTGAACTCTTCCAATTCAAAGGTTGGAATGGTTCATTATGAAACTTCAGGGGTGAATGAGTTAAGATACTTAAAAATAGAATTATGGTGCAGAACTTTTTGTAGCGGAGATACAGTCTCATAATAGTAGCAATACATGTATACATAAATGTAACTAAAACATGTTCATAGTGCTTCTTTACTGTAGCAGATCCCGCAGATTCCTAATATATATTTCAACAATTTATATTTTCACACAAGCCTACAATTACACTTAAAAAAATCATCTACAATTTGTAGGACTAGTCAGTATTTGCAAATATAAACTTGAACTGGATATATGCTAATTTATCAAGTAATTTAATTAAATAATTATGTACATTTTATTATTTTATGATTAGTTCATATTCTAAAATATATACAAATTTGATTATGTTAGTATAACAAGCCATTGAAAACAATAAAAAATCACATTGGAAAGATCCAATATTTCGTTTTTCGTGACTGGAGGCAGTTTTAGTTTGATATTGTGCAGATTGCATTATCTTCTTCTTTCGTACGAACAACAAATATCCACATTCATATAAAAGCACAAGCAAACAAAATAATAAAAGCAAGTATTACCATTGTGTTGTACACTGTTCCTGTTAATGTCATGCTGCTTAATGCCACATTCCTGTTAATATCATGTGATCACAAATGAACTTCTCTTAATATCATGTCCTATTTTTGCCAGGTTCTCAAAATTTGCATGTGCAAGTTAAACCTGTGAAAATAATAGTGACTTTTGCTTTCAGAGTTGTGTTTGTGTATTAATTATCTCCCCTTTCCTAGATGTAAAACAATAGATGAAAAAACAAGCTTGGTTGTGTCGTAAGGGTAGATTCACATGCAGTATTTGATAAAAATAAAAAATAAAAATAAAAGTGACATGTGCACAGATATCACAATTTTTTATGCTAAAAAGATGTCATTTTCACAGAAAATCAATGTTTCTGTTAATATCACATTTCTTTTTATATTGAGTTTTCTTTTCATAAATGAAACATGACATTAAGAGGAATTAAGTGTTGTACACATTAAGATAACATACATACTTAATACTAGCAACCTTAATACACTGTACCTCCAATTTATAAATAACTATTTTTCTTTTGTATCATTTTATAACGATATTAAATATCAATTTTATATACATGATAATATAAACCTAATTTTCTTCCACTTAAAATATTTCAGGCTGTAGAAATGAAGCATATATGCTAATTCACAACCCTGTCTCAACACTTAACTTCTGTTAAAGAAGTTCTAGTCATAAACAAAATTTTATACAAAAACGTTTAATTGTAAAATAATTTGAACTATAAGTCACCTTAAACATACTGACTTATTGATTCTCTGTCCTCAATTTCTTGATATGATCTTGTTTTGTTAAAATATAACATTTAAGGAAGGTTAAAAAGAATTTATGATTCACATAAAATGAACAAGATTTATAATGATAAGCATATTTCTTTCTGTATTACCATCAAAATATTTTCATTCATCTTTTACACAAGGAGTGACATTTCTAGAGATCGTCAAGTTGAATTAATCCTAATACAAAATGTACTTAAACTCATTCACCCACGAAGACACATTTGAACTCTTCCAATTCAAAGGGTGGAATAGTTCATTATGAAACTTCAGGGGTGAATGAATTAATGCTAGAATGAATCCTTTGACCTTTTTATTCCAACCTCAAAGTGTATTATTACAATGCAGAGCACATTGTGAACGATTCATACTTAATAACGATATAATACTCATAAGATTAAGAGAAAATGCCTCAAAAATGTCTTAAACTTTTATCACACAACCATCCCATGGTTAATTTAGATGAGAGACAACTTGTCCTTGACCTTGAGTTCAATGGTACAAGACACCTTGCCCAAATCCTCTAAAACTACAAAAAGTAGTTCTCTCCATCGCGAGTTGTTCACTGCTGAAAGACTCCTCACAAATAACTCATCTACGCTACAGGAAGTAGTTCTCTACAATTGTTCACTGGTATCAGACTCTTAACCCACATCATCTAACGCTATGAAAATTAGTTCTCATGAGCTGTTCACAGGTACATACGACTCCTCAAAATTAATCATCTACGCTACGGAAAAATAGTTGTAGACTTGTACAAGACTCCTCGCTCACTTCCTCTTACACTAAGAAAGTAGTCCTCACGACTTGTCGATCACTGATGATGCAAGACTCCTCTTCTACATCATTGAACGCTACAGAAAGTAGTTCCTTCACCGAGAATAGAAGTGTACTATATGCAGTATTGCAAATGAGATTTTCTTCTTTAGCAATAAGCACTACTATAGCTAGAAGCTATCTATATATATAATCCTTGCGAGCCTGACGTCTCTATACAAATCTGGTGCTGCTAGTATCCATATTTAAGTTGTTTTATTCATGTTAACTTTCCACAATATCTGCTTGTCTTTCAAGTCCCTGAAAATACAAAATGTCAAAAAAACTAAATATCTTGAATTTTGATAAAAAATACGTTTAATACTAGATCTAAGAAAAGTTTTTCCACAAAATTGGTTACAAGTAATAAGATGATATTTGAAAAGAATTTTACAATAGGTTAACCAATCAGGGCCCAAGGCTGCCATTAGGGATAATGTTTGTTTTGTTTTCTTCATCCGAACATCGCAATAATAGATTACAACAAGAAACAGTGACGTCTTATATAAACAGGTTCTATAACTTACCATGCTATTTTCCAGAGTGGCGAGTCTATACTCCGTATCACACAGAGATTTTTCCTTGCCAACTAGTTCAGACTTAAGGGTATGGATCTCGTAGTTCTTCCTTTTCATCACATCCTTCTGTTGTCTCTTCTTTGCGGCATTCTGTAGTAAGATGATTACAGTTAATAAAAACTTCTCAAGTCTTCCAAATGTTTGGAGGGGCACTCCCACCTTTACTTTTAAAATCAATAGAATTTGCATTATACTAAAATTCATTTCATAAACTCTTCACCCCTGAAGATACATTTGAACTCTTCCAGTTCAAAGGTTGGAATAGTTCATTATGAAATTTCAGGGGGGAATGAAACTATAAAACTAAAAAATATGATTTTTTTGAAGTTTGATTACCCAAGGAAAATCATTTCTTTAAGATTAAATATTTTTAAAACAGTCAATTTATGAAATGGTTTATACCTTTCCCATTATGTCTGTAGATCCACAATTATGACTAGAGTAGGTTGCAGACCGTGCACTGGGGATGTGGGCACGCTCGTTCTCCAGGTGGAAAGTCTACAATATCAAAATTGTCAATATTATATAGTCTGAAAATCCTCTGAAAATACACCAGGTATATTAGTTAAACCACGAAGTAAGTGTGGTTATACATTGTAGCTATATACCACTGTACATACATTCTAATTTACAATATTGTGGTTTTGTTTTTATATATCTGTCTCATCATCAATAACCGGTCTGTACAAATATGTACAACAACCAATTAAAGAACGACCAGCCGAATTATTTCATTGTAGATATTTCCAGAAAGATTACTTAAAACATTTCAATGTTTAAGATATTTAACGCCCCCTTCCAGATTAATNCCCCCCCCCCCCCCCCCCCCCCCCGCTTCATCCAACACACTTTTCACCCGTTAAGAAAACTGTTTTTTAATTAACAGTTCACTGGTGTAGGAAAGATAATTCCAAACTTCTTAACTTCTTAACAGCATTATACAGAATTCCACTTATTGTCACAGGCCCCTTTCGCCTATACGGTTCAACCGGTTTGACCGTTTATAAATGTAACATTTTTCAGGTATAAATCCTAGCGGACCTGCAAATGTTTATGCAGGCCTTGCAAGGCTTTGTCAGGGCTCCGCTGAGAGCAGCATCCGATTACTAGATCTGACCTTATTTCATAAACGAACATCTCTGGTCCAACCAGTTCAACTATTTAGATAGCGTTAAATGCATGTATAGCCACATTTTATTGGCATATTTATACCTTTCTCGTTGACTGAGAGAGTTGAGCAATAATTCTTCAAAAGCTATTTTTTCATTTTGTGGTTTATTTTTTACCTTTCTTTGTTTTATTGCTGTATTCAGGCGCTTCTCCTGGTCGAGTCGATCTCGAGTACGATTAAGAGATTCTCGTAAATACTGGGTCTCCTCGGCTTTTGTTTTTACATCGGTCTGTTAACACAAATCACATAAACATCATTAAATATCAACAACTGATCAGACAGGAAGTCTGCCGTCACATCTCACCAGAATCATGCAAAAATGCTCTTAAGTACCGTATCAAAATGCAACTGAACTGTTTAACAGAATGTTTAAATAATTACCAATAAATACTCATTCAAGCAGAATGTTTTCCCCTTAGCAATACTTGTACTAATATTTACACATAAAACATTACACATAAATCCAAACTATACTAACATAAACTTGTTTAATCAATTTAACTCATACACCCCTACATATCTAAACTGGACTTGCCCAGTCTTTGATTTGGTAAGATTAAAATGTGATTTTAGGGGTGAATGGGTTAAAAGAGACTATGTAGCTGGTATATATGATACTTACCACAAGATTTTCCACTTGTGTTGCTTTCCTGTCTGCTAGTTCTTGAGATTGCCTGTGAAAATATGTTATCAGGATTATAAACACTTAAAAAGGATATTCGGAAAATAAGATTCATTAGTTTGGTATGAATAACAAAGGCTAAGTTTGTCTGTGTTCAAAACAAACTTAGTCTTTACTTTAACCCTTTCACCACTGTAGACCATAATGGACCCATCCATATCAATGCATGGTAGAGTCTACTAAAGTTACATAGGGGTGAAAGGGTTAAAAGAAGATTAACAACATTGAGGAGATCCAACTGGATCCCGTGGATACCAAGTGTATTTTACAAGTAGGTTTTCAATATTTTCCACAAATTCGACGAAACTAATACATATCACAATTAATTTCATCTTACATTTTCACAAATACATGAAATTATCTGTTATAAATTATGGAATTTTGCTTATCATTCCCTGACAATGTCATCACCACAGAAAGAAATTTGATCATTTGTTTAAATAAATTCCATCTTTTATTCACAAACATATAAAATTATCTGTTTTAATCCTTTCACCACTGTAGACCATAATGAACTCATCCATATAAATGTATGGTAAAGTCTACTAAAGTTACATAGGGGTGAAAGGGTTAATCGATGATTTTTTTCTGATCAGTTCTGACTACATCATCACCAAGTGGTCCTACCTCATTTTGACCAGATCCCTCTCGTATCCTTGCAATAATTCATCCTTTCGAGAAACACGCTCTCTCAGCACTTTGATGCGACTTGCTACAAGTTGACAAGCATTCTCGCGCTCCATGATAAGACGCTCTCTCTCATCACGAGGGATATGACCGATTGGACGGAGTCCTTCGACACTGTCCAGCTCAAGACAGCTAGCCACTGCTCGCAGCAATGTAAGATACTGCAAGAGAAACGGTCAGAAAACTGTGGTTACACAACTTTTAAAAAATAAAAATATAAACCGAATCATACATGATCTTCAATTTCATAAGAGGTTTATGAAGCAGTTGAGTCTAAGGATTTTTAAAAATTAAGCCAGTTAAGCTCTAGTAACCTAACATGAAAAATTTGTCACAATTTTCATAAATCTCATGATATGCAAACAAACTGAAGATCCTTTTTATCATGTGATCAAGAATGTGAAAATGTCTGTATTGTGACTCTTTTAAACTGATCGAGGTGGGAACATTTTGGGAACAATGGCAATGTTTCTGAAGTCTATAATTCTCATTTATATTTTCTCACTAATGATACTTCATGCGAAAAATTTCCACACCACGAAAAAATTCCACTTTTACAGTAACTGTTCTTTTTCTTCAACTGAAGAAATCCAGATTACCTCCCCTCATAGCCCCTTTAGAATATTATCATATTAAGATTATCTCCCTGTAAAATACATAACATGACTGCAGATATCCTAATGCAGAAATGAAACAATCGGACCATCACTTACAGTATTCTCACTACTGTCCAGGGCGTCCATAGTCTCTCTGTGGGCGCTTCTCTCCATGTCCGCCTCGGGATTAGAGTTACCCAGCAGACCACGGGCTCGGCTGACTTCACGGTCCAGTGAACCCAGCGCCACCTTGTCTTCAGACAGAGCTTGATTGGCCCTCATTTCAGCAAGCTCCTTCTTCAGCATGATCACCTGCTGTAGTGCGTGATCCTGGGTTGGCACTGTATATAGATAAAGCATATTTTCTGTTAAATCTCTTCAACTATAGTCATGTTCGGGTAATCAAAACGAAACTGTACAAAAACTGATGATATAGGGTCAATTAATTTCATTTTGATTGCATTGAGAAAACATTGAATACTTCTTTATAATTTTCCAAAGCTCAAGAAATTTTTGCTGTCTTCAGTGGGTTGAATAGTCAATATGTTACACATACTCACATTACTCATGTGACTACATAAATGTATTACAAATTCATTAACTCATTCACCCCTAAAGACACATTTGAACTCTTCCAATTCAAAGGTTGGAATAGTTTATTATGAAATTTCAGGGGTGAAATCTCCAGATTTATACTAACATGGTGGTTTTGACACTTCCAGACTTTTGATGCGAGATCTCAGCTCTGCGAGGGCTTCTCTCTGTCGCATTATCACCTGCTCGTGTCTCTCGCCACGACACTGGGCACCAAGGGCAGTCATCTCGGACGTGATTCGTCCCTGAAAACATACATATTTTATTATTCAGTAGATGTGCTTGGCGATCACTTGTTTCCATTTTCAGCAACATATGTATACATCATAAATCGGGACTTTCAACTTTAGCAAAAAGCCAAACTCAAAATGAACCAAAAAAATGAAGTTTTAAATCAACAGGAGGCTACTTCAGCACTGGGAACAGTAAAGAACGAATAAAAATGAGTAAAAACAGGAGCACCACTCAAATGAGTTGATTGGCTTATAATGGAAAATACTTGTATAGCAAGTTTCACTTTTTTTTATAACCTGACTTCTTTTTTCTCAGGAATTATATTTTCTCTATCTTTCTATGCTACAACACTGATTGGATATATGAATATATGAATGTATTGTGATCTATGTAATGACTAGAAAGAATTTATTCTTTTTATGTACCATGCATCAAATGTATCAAAGAAAAGATTGATTTTTGTTTTGCATTGTACATAAAAAGAATAAATCCTTTCTAGTAATAACATTGATCACAATGCATTCATATATCCATAATTATAACTTTGATTATTTTAATGATACACATGCAATTATGCATGCAAACGATATGCAAAATATATTAATTAATTTCATATCAAACCTCTTAAGAGGCGTTACAAAACCTGATGACTGTGTACAACAATGTGTGCGAGACTGAAATACACTGTACCTCGTGATCCAGAAGTGTGAGCTGATTTTTCTGTTCCTCCTTTTCCAACTCTAGAGCTATTTCCAGGGACTTGATCTTGTCCATATTATCTGTCAGATTGGACTTGTACTTCTGGGAGAAAGATTTCTCTTTACTACAACACAAATAATTATGAAAATGAGTCGGGTGATTCTGAAACATTTTTCTTTGTTTACAAACAATATAAATGAAGCAAGGCATTCTACAATTCGAGCACTAGTACTCATTTACAGCTGAGTAGACTGGAACAAGTGGAGTAAAGTATCTTGCTCAAGGATACAACACAGTGCCGTACTATGACTCAAACCCACCACCCTACAGTCATGAGCTCGGCGTCCTACCACTAGACTAACATGCCTCCTACACTGTAAACCAAGAATTTTTCGCAAAGTCAAATTTTTGCCCTCGGCCAGTAAAATCCATATTTGACCTGCACATTTAATTACTGTGTTAATTATGTTGTCAACAGATGTTCGCTGCAATAATAAATTTGCCCACATTACGGAGGACGAAAAAGGCGAAAATTAAACTGCAGCGATAATTTCCCGGTATACAGCATATGTTTAATCGGAGTCCTGAAAAATCTGTCCATTATTCTGAGCCTAAGGTGCTTATACACAAGCAGAATCATTACACAGAGGAATGAACCACAGGTTTTATCAGGCCTACCTTAGGTTGCACTCAAGGGACTTCAGTTCCTCCTTCTGTTTATCTATGATCTTTGAGAGTTTGGCCAACTGTTGTCGGACGTCGGTCAGTTCTCGCTCACGGTGGATAAGCAGCTCCTTGTTTTTCTCGTTCTCACGTTTTTGTGTCTCGCTCAGTTCACCTAGAAACAGGACACATGTTTCACAAACAGTTCTGCAGTCTATCCTATCCTAATCTAGTAAGCTTTTGACATAGTGAACGAATTATCTAATGGATTTGCAAAATAATAAACTCATTTCAGCAAGCTATCAATTAACAATCATGCCATACCATTTCCAATTTTTTTTCTCAGTTTAATTTGGACAGAATTAGGCCTTATTCCCATAAGTTAAGATATTTTTTCCCTAATTTTAAGATGAATTCCAAAACTTTGTTTTCTGATTTTTCTTGTTGATGCTTTATAATGAGAAGAGATAAAGAAAACCTATGTGAATTTATATTCTTCAACATGCCATCATATTTTCCCAACTTAAGGAAAGTGACAATTACCAAAATACAGAGGGAAAATCCTGGACAATGTTCGTTTGTTTATCAATCAGAGCATACAAAATAACACCAAAGAGAAACCTGAATCAGTGAAAATAATGTTAATCGATATGTCTCGCCTATGCCCTGCTTTGACCATCCATGCACATATCAGAGAAACTAACTTAAACGCAAAAGCTTTATGTTGATGGAGATGCTGACAAAGTCAATGGACCATGAAAGGTAGGCCGCATCTAGCAATTGACACATGGGTTGAGATGTACTCCCTAAGATGCATCAATGGTCCAAGTTTGGTTGGTCTAGCACTTATCCTTTCAGTAAAACTTACCTATACGCAAAAACTTAATGTTAGCGGCAAGACATAAATGATGCAGTTTTGTCTGAATCTGCCTTTTTCATCAATTCCTTATGTGCCTACCTGTAATGTCTGACAGGCGAGCGTGAGCTCCAGCCAGGTCTCGCCTCAAACCCAGTATCACATCTTCCTGGCTCTGTATCTTACTCTTCAGCTCCACAGAATCCTTCCTGTAACACAAGGACCATTCACGTCAGATTCTGAGACCGTCTCGTCACCCAAACAAGGCTATAACTATTTATTTAATAGTCTTGGCGAAACAACACCTTAGAACCACTACAGGTATGGATATAATTGAAGAAGGCAACTGTGGCACTTTCGATATTTTGATAACGTACAGGTGATGGATTCTAAAATAATGATCAACATTTGTATAGTGGGCTCAAGGGGAAAAAATTGGGATGGTGTTTGGGTCATAAGAAAGTGTGTCTCTGCCTATTTATTTCTTGAAGAGCAGTAACAATTTTTTACTATTATTTCAAACCAGAAAAAACAGAAAAACTTCTATCGCAATTACAACAAGGAAATTATTTTTTACACTTAATACATGAAAAAAATGAATCTATATTTGAGTCTTTTGCTTTGACTTTGAGCTGTTTGCTCACGAGTTGAACTAGTGAATTTATTGTACTGCAAAAATGGGAACACTGCCGCCAAATTTACTCTGTATACATGTGTTCACGGTAGAACGTTAATCAAGCAATCTCTATTTCATTAGTTTTGAAATTTGATATTTAAGATTATTCCTGAAACATAAGTTACTGTATTTGACTTGTTTTTCTCCCAAAGATATCTGTAAAGTTTGTACTAATTTAATTGAATCACAAAAATAAAACAAACTACTGTAATATTTTTTTTCAAGAAATCTTAAAAATCAAAGTAGGAAGTAATACAATAATAATTACCTCAGGAAAACAATAAGGTTCTCCATTGCTACGTAATCTTCGGATGGTTTCTGTATGATGACTTTCGGTTTGGGAGGCGGTACCGGCTTAGGTACGGGCCTACTCTTCAATGTTGTTAGCTCGCCTCGTAGTTCTGAAAAACAAAATTATACAAAACATAAATCATACAGGACTTTATATCACATAATGTACTGTGTTATCCAATGAATATACCCATGTCATGTTTTTTTGCATATTTACCCTTGTAATAGGACCTATCAGTCCTGTGATTGGTTGTAAGTTTCAATTGTTTCAATTGTGACGTACGTCACGCCTAGGACAAGTACATGATGCACTGGAGTCAAAATGGCGGCTCTTTACATTTCAAGGTATCATGAAAATTGAACACTTTCTTTTTTTTGTGACTTGTGACCTTCAATTTTCTAACCTATGGTCTTTTCTTGTTGTGACTTCTGACCTACCAATTTCTGACCTTTGACCTTTCTGACCTATTTTTGACCCATATTCTCCTTACTTCTGACCTATTTTAGGTGACTTCTGATCTACCATTTCTAACCTATGACCTTTGCTTTTTGTGACCTATGACCTACCATGTATTGTTTTCTTGTACATTGTGACCTCATCCTGATATTCTTTAGCCCTCTTGGTCATTTTGACCAGTCTATCCTCCATGGCGCAGATGGTGACTCCATGTTGTTTATTCTGTTCCTTGTAGGACTGGATATCCTGTTCGTATTTCTTGTCTTGTCTCTGACCCTCGTGGGCCTGCTTATCCTCCAGCTCTGCACACTGCGTCTCCAGGGCCACGATCTGTTCCCGTAGTGACGTCTCCATCGTAGTATATTCCTCCAGCTGCATCATCATCTGACTCGTCTCTTCAGCTTGGGATCGTACGTCACCCTGCTGATTGGTAAATGTCTCCTGCAGCTGTTCCAGGCTCTGTTCTAGCTGTTCTATCCTCTGTCTTTCCACCCTCACTGCATTGTCGAGTTTCTCTTCCTCTACGGCCCGAATCTCCTCCAATGCCCGATTCAACTTCTCTTCACCTGGAAACATAACAAATTACTGATCAGGATCCTATATATAAAATGGGAAGGTTCTATTTCGAAAAATACATTTCAGCCAATATGGGCATCGGCAAGAGAAGTAACTGTTATCTTTAAGTATCTTGCCTAAGTAATATAAAATTCAAAATAAGATTGCTTTAAATTGAAAATATCCACTACGTTTGTAAAAAGAAGATAACACAGTTCCATATAAGATGTGATGAGAATACACAACTCACCAAATGTTTTTACTCCAAACAACTTTACACCAACAACCCCATAATGTGTAGTGCTATTATATTATGGTGACGTACAGGGACAAAATTTACAAAAACAATATTTTATACTACTTTCCACCTCTACTTTTACTATTGATTTCACAATGGTAATATTTGTATGAGTCTAAAAATAATTAACTTTATTTATTTTACAACAATTATGAAACAAGTTAAGTACTCGGAGAAAACCCACATGATCAGGCAGGTCACCCCTATACCTTTTCACGTCTGTTCGGGGAATTAAACCCTGGTCGCCTTGGTGTAAGGCAAGTGCGCTATCCACTGCGCCACCTGACCACCCGAATGAGCATAACATGTCCAGAAAGCAAACCAAAAAATAAAATAACTGTGCATAATACAATGCTGTAAGGTAATGTGTCCCATAATGCATCTGTCTAACTTCCTGTCAACAATATTGTCATAAGATAGTACATTTCTATTTGCCTGGATCCCTTACCTCCAAGGCGTGTCTTTTCGATGGCGTCCCTGACCCTGTTTTCGGCGTCCTCTTCTGCCATTGTACGGTTACGAGCGAGTTCTTCTTTATACTGTGTTTCAACTTGAGTGATCTGTGACATCAGTCTCTCTTTCTCACTGAGCGACGACTCCCACTTCGCAAATAATAACAGGATGTGTTTTCCAGGTTCTGATAGACAAAAATAGTAAATTGTAAAATACGTGTATAATACATTGTATGCTGGATAAATGTAATTCAAAAAAACTTTCTTTACTTTCTTTACATTTAAGATGGTTTCTTAAATACAGGTTCAGTTTACACAAAAATAACTGCAATAGAAGAGTTTTAAACTCTGAATACAGTAGGGTTCAATAGCATGTTTGACTGTTATTCTGAGGTACACGAGTACTTACCATCGTTGGATAATTTGACGTTGACGCCACACTTCTCTAATGATGACTCGATTGTCTGTTCCCATGACAACGCACTTGTAAGGAGGTCGACCAACATGTCACGAGCCCAAACTAGCGTGTCCGATGTCACGACTGAATTGAGCAAGTCTAGTTCCTGCTTCAGTGAAGTCACATTGAATCCATTGGTCTTAAGATGTGTCTGTAAAGGGAGATAACTATTGTCGTTACACCAAACAAAGATGTGGCAAACAAACTATTTTAAGTTTTGAAGCCAAGCATAGGCCATACTATACAACTGTGATAAACCTGCTATTTTTACCGAACAATTTACCCCCATCATGATATATTAACCCTTTCACCCCTAGGTAACTTTAGTAGACTCTACCATACATTGATCTGGATGAGTCCATTATGGTCTACAGTGGTGAAAGGGTTAACATTTCATTTGTTAACTGAAAGTTAAGTGCATTAATTTACATGTGTATTCAACCTAGATATTTAATTGCAATTATCTTGTATCCACACATTGAAACCTCATGTTCCTTGTACAGCATTGAGATTGGATTTTGTAACACACAATGAAATTGTCTCATATGCTCTCCATAGTTTATTTAGTTGTTTGAATTCATAACAAAAGCCTTACAATGACACTTTCAATGTACAGTGAATCAACAGAAATCTATCTTTCATCAAGTGCATCAATTTAAAAAAAAAGTATACTCACAATAATGTTGTTGAGTTTATTGCGTAGGTCTGTAGAGGTCTTTTTGAAACTGTCCTGGGCAGAATCTGTGGACTTGAGCTGGATCTCCAGGTCTTTCACCTTCTGGAAGAATGACGTCCTTTCATCGACAATCTTCTTAAGAGTTTCGATGAGTTCATCATCACCAATCTCTGTCTCCGGAGCTTTGATGCCCGGCGTGGAGTATGTGACCTGAATGATTCGGTTACGGAAGCGCTCCAGCTACAACAGAATTGTCAAAGGCCGGGTTTCAAATTTATGTATATACAGTTTAATCTAATTGATACTGGCCAACTTGTCGAAATTTTTCGAGGGGGAGATTGCGCCTGCTCAGAATAAAAAGCATAAATAAAATGTGTACAATATCTCCAGGTAAAAAAAATCACTTTCAAATGGCATCTTTTGAGCTGTTCTTTCCAATGAAATCATCGGATCTTTGAAGGGAACAATTAAGCTGAACCTTCAAGTTTGGAAACCTTTTCCACACACTCAGTTCATTATATGAAAGATTTGAGGGGGAGGTGCTAGCTACACATTTAAAAGCCTTTTCCATACTCTCAATTCATTGTATGAGGGAGTTAAGGGGGAGGTGCTAGCTACTCGTTTAGAAGCCTTTTCCATACTCTCAGTTCATTTTACAGTATAAGGGAGTTAAGGGGGAGGTGCTAGCTACTCGTTTAGAAGCCTTTTCTATACTTTCAGTTCATTGTATGAGGGAGTTAAGGGGGAGGTGCTAGCTACTCGTTTAGAAGCCTTTTCCATACTCTCAGTTCATTGTATGAGGGAGTTAAGGGGGAGGTGCTAGCTACTCATTTAGAAGCCTTTTCCATACTCTCAGTTCATTGTATAGGGGAGTTAAGGGGGGAAGCACTACTTACCCGTTTGGAGGCCTGTTCAAGATCCACTCTGACCACCCTCTCTGTTCGCTGTACGTCCACAAGCTCTGCTTTGGCCTGATCCATCTGGATCTGTGTTTTCTTCTGGATCTGTTTCTCCTCAAACACGGTCAGCTTCGTCTTCTCCAGCTCCTCCTTGAGTTTGCTGATGAGGTCATGCTGCTCCTGAATCTTGTTCTCTGTCGACTTGAACTTCTGTAAAACATAAGTGTACAACAGTAACAATAGGGAACTATCTATATTAACATTTCCACTGCAAGTTCCTCTTTAAGCATTACCTTGAGAAATTGCGTTCATAGAGCTATGAATGCAATTTGATTAGCGTCATTATGAAGCTTTTCCTCCTTCCAGAATAAAATAAGACAACCGTTAGAATCAAACATTTTGGTGACATTGGGCCGTTCCAGGAATCTTGTTTGTGCTGATGACACAGGCACTTCAAAATTGAAAATATAAGGGAATATCCATATTTAGGTCATTAGCGGGCTTCATGGAAGCTTTATGTAGCCGATTTCCGTTCATACCGGCATGAATTCGAACTTCTGTTAGAGTTAGTTTCATGTTGACATCTATCACAAAAGTGAGCTCTTCTGTAAACTTCTGCAATATCCGAGAGCTCTCATGTGAACTTCAATATTAAGCACACATGTGAATACCAGTAATTATGGTAAGCTCTTTGTGACCTCCTGCGATAAAAGTGAGCTCCCATGAAATCTTCTGTAATAATTAAGTTTTCATGTAAACCTCTGTAACAATGAGCTCTTTTGGAAACTTCTATGAGAAAAGTGAGCTCTTTGTGAACTCCTGCGAGAAAAGTGAGCCTCCTTTGTGAACTCCTGTGAGAAAAGTGAGCTTCCTTGTGATCTTCTGTAACAAGTGAGCCTCTATAAAAGTAAGCTCTTGTGCAAACTTCTTTAACAATGGTGAGCTCTCATGTAAACTTTCATTACAACAGTAAACATTAAAGTCTAAATACGATTATAATAATAACTCATTTCCAAACAATTGTTTGTCAACAAGAGGCTACTGTATTCATACATCAATGAACTATACCTGTCTGAGACTGATGAGTTCCTTCTCACGGGCGTCCCGTTCCTCGGTCGACTTGCCAGTGTCCTTGAGTTTGTTGACCTTGGCAGTCATAGTGCTCACATAACCCTCTTTTTCCCGTAATTCCTTTTTCAGCATCTCAATCTCCCTCGTTAGTTTACTGATAGTGGAATCCTGTAAGGTAGTCAAAATGTATGTTAAGTTTGTACAAGACTGGAAAAACAAAAACCGATTGCATGATTGAAAACAGTTCAAATATAGATAAAGAGAAATAAAAAAGGTGAAAAAGTGTTAAATATACTTAAATTGACAATCAGATTCTTGTGAACTTCATTGCTTGTCATCATTAAGTTAAATGAAATACTGTATACCAGAATTTTTCGCTGCAGTTTAATTTTGTTTTGCCCTTTTTTGCCCTCTGTAATAAGGGCAAATTTATCATTACAGCGAAAATAAGTAAACAGCGTTATAAACATTCCAGTAGTAATTAAATGTGAAGGGTGAAATTAAAACTGTTCTATTATGGATTTTTCCGGCATTGGGCCAAAGTTGGACTGGACAAAAGTTTCCCTGTTATACAGTAACAAGAATAACAGTTAACAATATTTAAATCACAATACTGAATATTCATTTGAAAGTTTAAACCACTGTGGATGTCACAACACATTTTTCTTTACAAGAAATACACAATTTAAGAACACTGCACCACAGAATATCACCTCCACTTCAAAGATAACAAGAAAACATCTATTTATTACAAAACAGACAGAAAATCTACAGAACTTCATGCTTATATGAATAGGAAGGAAGTAATATAATGAAGATAAAAATATATACAAATAAATAAAATAAGTGAAGTTAAATAATGTGAACCTGATTCTGTTTTAAAGTTTGGATGAACAAATTGGCCACATAACCTATATGGAAAATATCTAATGGTGCCTGAATAATCCCAGTACTTTATTTTCCAGGATGAAATGAACAAGGGGGAAATAACTCTTACTGACTTAATTTCACTATACTAATTGACTTTTAAGATGGTAGTTTGTCGGCTGCACAATACAGGGCAAGGACTAAAGTTTTAAATGAGTAGATCACAGATGAATTTCAATTGGCAGAAATTGGCAAATAAATTAAGTTAATTACTGAATTTCTAATTCAAAACTATAGAAATAACATCCACAATAAATGTGTAAGCCAATGGTAAAATCAATGTAGGATATATATATACATAGTTGCCAAGATATTTTCTATAATCAGGCATCCAGAATATAGAGAATAATACATGCCTTTTTCCATATCACACCGAGTATCAACCCAAGACTGCAATATCAGCCCTCGGCTGATATTGGTCGAGGGTTGATACTGGGTGTGATATGAAAAAAGGCATGTTTTATTCTGTTTATTACATACTTACTAATAAAAGCTACTATCTTATGATTTATTTTTCTTTTGAAATATTGAAAAACAAAAAAAAATCCAAAAGGGGTGCGATACAGGTTTTGCGTGCTGATACAGGTTTTTGGGTGTGAAACGGCGAGGGCTGATATGGGTTGGAGCAACTGTGTCGTATCACACATACAAAAAACCTGTATTTATTAGTAAGTATGTAATAAGTAAAAATAATAGACCTGACACTCATTTTTTTTTTTTTTGCACAGTTCCCATGGTCCTGAAAACCTTGTGATGAAATAAATAACTGTATGAATATCAGTGTATGATTTTAATACATCTGCATTTGTGCTTATACATGAACCTGTAAAATTAAAGTTGAAGAAAATTAATAGAAAATAAATACAAGAAATTCTGCATACATCAAATAAGGTTACACAACAGCAATAAAAACAGTGAGTGCATCATCATCCGAGTCAATCAGGAGCTTGGAATCGGAGTGATCAAGGTCACAGAAATGCAGCATGCAAACATTAGAATGAGGTAATAAATAAAATGGGGCAGCTTACAACATTGAAAAACAGCTGTGTCAGTTAATTAGAGTGTAAATAAAAAAAAAAGACAAAATCAGGAAAAATAAATAAAATTGTGCAGCTTATAAAACTGAAAAACAGCTGTGTCAGTTAATTAGAGTGTAAATAAAAATTAAGACAAAATCAGGAAAAATAAATAACAAAATGTCAAATTTATTTGTTGAATCCAGACAGCAATCCAACAAAAAATCCAAACAAACATGACATCAACTTGATGCGTAATGCTACGGATATCCACAATGTCATCATGGACAACAGAAAAAATGGGACTTTTATCATTGTTTACCATAAAATGTGAATTACACTTCTCAGGTATTCAACGTATTGTTCATGTGTTATCCTGCCTGTTTGGCGGAACAATTGTTGGGATATCAATATTGTATCAACTCATTCACCCCTGAAATTTCATTATGAACTTTTCCAACCTATGAATTAGAAGAGTTCAATTGTGTCTCCAAGGGTTAACATGCATGATTATGATTGGGTTTTGAGTTTTGAGTTTGACAAGAAATTTCTTGAATGCAACTATAGGGGCAATGATTGGCTCTTAATGGGGCAGATATACATGTTCATGTGATAATAATAAAACCAAAATAAATATTTTTTAAACAATAAATTAAATAAGACAAACTGTTAAACATGCAATGACCCTAATATTTACACAACTAACAATTCAATAAGATGATTTACTTTATTTGCTGTTTCACTTTCAGTCTTTTTCCGCAGTGTATCAAAGCGTTGATGTGTCTACCTCCCCTTTTCTCCTTTTTTCTGTCTTTATTAATTTTTTACTGTATGATTATCTGAAGTCCTACATGTTATGAAAGTATTTTATAGAAAAATAAGTACACCAGGTTTTGTCTGCTAGAAGCAAAATTTATTACAATTTTGTTTTTGTTTTTTTTTTGTTTTTTTGGGGTTTTTTTCAAATGGGAAGAAACATGCTGGGAATTTGGTCAAATTTTAGTTCCAGACGTTAAGAGAGAAAACCCCTGATTTTTATTTTTATTTTCAAATAAATTAAAAAATAAACAAGAAATAAATAACAGTCAAACTTATTGAAAATCACTTTATTTCAATATGTACATAAAACTCTTACTCGAAGTTGTGATTGAGAGGGTACTATTTTAACAGCGATAGCAATATCTATGATATTCACATTCACCAAAGATTTCGCGAATGAGCCTTCTGAATTAAAATGAAATGTATCTCTCACAGAAATGGAGTGATCTGCAGTATAGAAAGTCTGGTGTGCTATCATACTTGTCAACTCTCCCTATTTTGGATCCTAAAATTGAGCATTTTCAACCTATGACTTCGCTAAACTATTTCCATTTCCTAAGATCTGATGACTTTATCTAAAATAACAGCTCAAAAGATGCCATTTAAAAGTGTTTATTTCCCTAGAATGTACATACACACATTTAAATAATACTTTTAATTCTGAGAATGCATAATCTCCACCTTGGAAATTTCAAAATGGTGGCAAGTATGTGCTATAAGTTTAAGAATTAAAAGACAGTGCTAGGAAATGACAAGGAGGAGTTCTATAGAGAGAATGCAGTGATATGTGAAGGGTGCAGATCATGGGTACTGACAGACAGTGCAGGAACTACAGAAAAATTCTCATGCGGTCATAACTAATGGTCCGACAGAGGAAGAGGCATGCTTGTACTGTTTGTACCAAAATCTTGTACATTTTTCTTTATTATGATAAAAGAAATACCCAATGATAATTCAAAAATATTGCATTATCATATGCAGATATCAGTCATAATAGAATCTGGCAAAGTAAAGGGGGAAAAAATCAGAAATGTTATCAATTTTATTGCATTCATCACGAATAGAGTTACCTCCCTTGTACATATCATGATCATATATATTCAAAGAATTTTATTTTCAAGGAACTTGTTCTACTAAATTTCTTAATATTTCATAAGAATTAAAAATGCAGCAGTAAAATAATTTAAATGCTGTTTTGTTTGTAAAATTTTCATTGTCAAAGGTTGAAATTATAATAATTAAATTCAAAGACCTTTTTTTCTTCAGAAAATATTGATGTATTATAACTTGCAGGATTTCTTCAAGGAAATAATTCTGAACTTGCAGGATTTCTTCAAGGAAATAATTCTATCAGAATTTAATCATTAAAATGCTGATTTCTGGAAGTTCAATTATAAAAAAGTCAAAAAGTACAAGAAATATTATTTCAAGGAAGTTATTGAAGAAATATTTTACCAGATTCTTTTCAGGACTAAAAGAACTGCATTTTTGAAATGATAAAAGATTTTCAAAATTTATAAAAATAATTTTTCAAAAATTTTAAATGTAAAAGATTCAGGTCAGTACAGACATAATGCCTATAGGCCATGCAGGATGAGGTTAGGGTGAGTTCGAGTCCAAACCAAAGCTGGGCCGTCTACATACAGCCAGCGGAAACTTACTTTACTCGACAGATCTCTCTGCATCTGGGTAACGAGCCCTGACGTTATACCCTTGTCCTTCTTAACTCTCTCCAACTCATTTTTCACATTATTTAATTCTTTAAGTTTGAGAGAGAGTTCATCGGTCATAACGGCAGGACTAGAGGGCGTCTCTAACTGGACATTGGTCAACTGTGATAAGGAAGCGAAATCAGACCATGCTTATAATTCAAAAAGTGGACAGGTTTGTGAAGAACCATAAAATAAAGTACACATTTTTTGTATAAATAAATGAAAATCAAAGTAAGAATAAATTTGAGACTTGTATTAAGACTTGTTGCGTGAATGAATGGATGGAAAAATAAATAAATTCCGAGTGTATTTCATAATATACAAATAGAAATAAATAAGAATACAGTGTACCAGTACATAACACCAAAGTATGTGATATTATAAAAGAGGTACAGTCTTGTAGGTCCGATTACATCAATATCAACACAACATAATCACTTTTAAGATAAGAAAACAATGCAATTGTGTTTCACTAAAAGCAGTGTTTTTCCTGTGTAAACTTATTTTAGGAGTTTTCATCTTATTGAAATAGGGAAACATGACATGTTTGTATGTTTAAAACCTTACATTTTTAGTAACCAAAGCTACAAGTGATAATAGTTGATCGAGTTAATAAACGAACAAACAACATTTTTTTTTTCATTTGGACATTTTTTCCCATTAAGTTTTAGAAAAATGTAAAAATATTAGAGAATGAGGTCAAAACAAATTCCAAAGACAGAAAAACACTGACTTGAATTCATGGCAAGATGCATAATCAATAATAACAATGAATACTGCTAAGTAATTGAGTGAAAACTGTAACATCCAAATGAGACGGAAAACAAGTGAGTTTAGGTCAAATGGGCGTGACTTTAAAATTTAAACCTGCATTCATTGATGGTTTACAAAATTTATGCAAAAACTAAACAACGATCATGACAACTTTTGTTCAAATATTTGGGAGGGCATCATAGGACTTACTGTGACGGGGAAAAAGTGTGGGTTTTTTTTTAACAATAGTTGATCACACAATATTAAAACGCAGACAGGTGTTACACTTTGTGGTCTCGTTAAATAATTACCTGAATTGTCCGAAACTGATAAGGGGAAAAGAGCAACAAGGGTTTTACTTAACAACAAAGAATGGAACAACATCTCAATAAGATTAAAAAAAAAAAAAAAAAAGGTAATTTAACTCTTTGTACATGTACACAGAATCATTTCAGTTTTCGAAAGGTAATTCCAAGCTAAATGGCTGGATTATAAATTAATTGGATTATCAAAACAACTTTGAATAGAAATACAAAAAGCTGTCCTCAAAAAGCACTGACTGGATGTTGGGAGAATCAGATTAGAGATGGCTGCATTATTGAGGCTAAGATCTAGATGGGTTTAAACAGCTCATGGAAAGGGAGAACCTAAGGCTTTCATGCTATTTCTAACCTACAGGTGTAGAAATTTGTAGAAATTAAAGTTTCATGCAAACTTGTGCAGTCCCTAGTTTCATGTCTACAAAACTAACTAACAGTCCGCCATTTAACAAGGCACTAAAGTCTTACTATATTGTCATAAACAAAAACAACGGATCAATTCAGCTGATTCAGACAATGAAGGACAATATCCAATACCATAAAGGTCTTTTCTCCTCCAGAACTGCCTCGGACTCTATTTCCCCAAAAAAATCCTACACCCCCGCCCCCTGTGAAACAACAGTATAAATCCAAACTATATACCAGTAATTACCGGTAATTATTGATTACCCTCGCCAACACAGCAACACTACTTACACATGTGTTAAAACTAATTACTGTTGTCTATACAACTATTACTAAGACAACACCTATGAACACAACGACCAGTCCCTCTTGCGTTCCAGTGGCAGATTCAGGGTGGATTCAGGTTGGGGGGAAATACGGCTGGATATTGGCTTATTTCAGGGATGGTTTTAAGATAAAATAGATGGTAGCAGGTTCTAGAAAAATTTAGGGAGATTTGTAGAAGTTACGTAGTTTTGGAATGGAATTTTGATGGATTTAAAAAAAAAAAAATGAAACTAGGTGGATTTTGGGCTGATTAAGTGATTGATAGTCGAAAGTGAACTAAAAAAAAATCAAGTTTGATTTGGGACAGGTTGAATGTGAATTGGAATCGGGTTTGACTCAGGGATTTATTATTTTTCTTTAATGTCCTACTAACAGCGAAGCTTAAAAATGAATTTCAAGGGAGTCAGCAAGGTTTGGGGCAGATTCAGGTTGGAATAAGTATAGAGAGAGGCGATTTGTATTTTCATAATTGTTCAAATTATTTTTACACATGTCTCACTTTGAAACCAGCCTTTGTATCAATCTCCTTAATCTGCCACTGGAATCTATCACTTGTATTCCGTCTTTGCGTATTGCAGAGTTATCTTCTCTTCAGAGCAGGTATTGATTGTTACGTCATTGGTTTGTGTGAGAAAATTACGTCGTTTTCTCAAAAATTGATGAAGTTACTATCACAAACAAATGACGTAACAATCAATCCCTGCTCTCAAGAGAGATAACTCTGCAATACGCAAAGACGGAATAGAGTTGGAAGAGCTTTCTGCTCTGTCCCATAACACAAAGACATGTAGCGACACAATCGGTACTAAGTGACAACTATTGTTGTAATTTACTTGACTTCACAATAAATACTATAAACTTTTTCTAATAACAACTGCTGTGATCATAAATGAAATCAGGAACAAAATCTCACCTGTTCCCTCATCGAGTTCATTTCTTGGTTTTTCGTAGTGAGTTCATGCTCCAGAGCGACCACCCTTTGAGATAAGTCAGCATCTTCCCCCATGATGAGAGGCCCCTGTGTAGCGACACGGTGCTGGAGCTCCATGATCTGTTGCTGCATTTGTTGTAACATCTGATCTTTACGAAATGTTTCTGCCTCCATCATACGAAGCCGTGTCACTTCATCTGAGAGGGCCATTATTTTCTGTTCCTACACAATACGAAAATGAAATTGAACGATTAGATATCTCCCAACTGAATGCTATATATTTCTACCAATTGGTTAACTTTTCTTTTACTCCTGACAGGTGTGTCCACACTTTTGCCGATGTGAGTTATCCTTGTCTCACCCTAAGGTTTGAGACCAGGGGATTCCCCAGTCAAAACAATTGTATGACGTACGTCACGTCAACAATACAGTAACGTCACGAAAACATTGTATTAACATCATGCCAACAATGCACTGAGCTTGTAAGGTCATTGCACTATTTTTAGACGGCGTCAACAGAGCCCCTTTAGGTGAGATGGGGGATTCCCAACCCTCGGGATGAGATTCCCCTATCTCACTGCCAAGGTGGTGAAAGATTCCATCGATCTCACCCAAATTAGTTAAATTTCAAGAGTTACCTTCTAGCTTTTCTCCTTGCCAGTTTGAAACTTTAGAATCAGATGTCCAAAAATCAAAACTATGAAAGTCTATTGAACATCCATAATTTTTTAAGGATCCCTGTCACATTTCACTGTGGTTTTTCCTATAAACAGTTACCTCCCCTTAACTTCCGTCTTGATATAACTGTGGCACAGTTGGGCCAAGACACTTCTGTTGACCAGGTAGCACAATCATTTAGAGCGGTAGCATATCAATCTGAAGTCCAGGGTTCGAATCCCAGTCAAGCCCACTGATTTTTTTTACACTCAAAAACACTGTTGTTGATTATATTTTGTTTATTTCATCTTTATTATTTGTATTAAAAGTCCTGCAAGGTATGATGTTCTTTTCAGAAATGATTTATCAAAGTTATAGTCAGGTCGGGTAGTATCCAACACTTAGTTACAGTTTTTGGCAGTGATGCAGGGATCCTTAACTCATTCACCCCTGAAGACACATTTAAACTCCTCCAATTCAAAGGCTGGAATAGTTCATTATGAAATTTCAGGGGTGAATGAGTTATGCACCTCAGGCCAGGTGACTAATATGATGAATATATTATCTGCAAATCTTAACTTTATAAACTTTTTATCAACCCAATCCCGTTTGTATAATAAATTCAAATAAAAATCAAAAACTATTTCTCGGCTATAAAATTGTTCTTTCAAATTAGATTTTATGGTAACCACATACCTTTTCTTGCAATCTGAGCATTTCTGACGTTCCTCCCATAGGAACCGATACAGGAGGGGTTGTTCTTCTTTCCATTCCGTTGGTCCACCCTCCGGATACACCTATAAACAACAACACAGGTACTTTTGTAAACAAACAAAAAATTGTAAACATTGATACATCTTACACACAATAATAGAATCATATACAAACATAACAACAAACACATTCAGACAACAGCAAAGTAATGCATTAAAAATAGACACAATTGTACATAGAACAGTAAAATAAATAATTGTGACATACATATAGCCAAATCAGGGCTAGTCAATAAGGGTAGCCTGATAGTCTGACACTAGTGAAATCTCCAGCTGCATGGACTAGTGTTTCTAAAAACTGCTAGCCCAATTGACTACCAGAAATCAAAATTTGATATTGCTTCCATGTTGAATCATATTGGGGTAGTTTAAATTTTGTTTGGACTAGTAAAATCGGAAACTATTAGCCAACTGACAGTTTTTTTAAGAATTAATTTCTAGCCCTGCCAAGTAAGTATTATTTTGCATATGTAGTTTAAGACCTGCCTCGAAACAACAAGTTTCCAGGATTATTAGAAGAACCATCGCCATCTGGACCATGGTATCAATGTTGAAACAATACAGAATTTTGTGTTCATTGCATGACATTGTATACAATCATAGCCCTGTCTGGAAGTCAATGAATGGTTTTATTAACCTGAGATATAACTATTAACCACAGGATAAGTAAAAAAATCCTTAATATTCTTTTGTCAGTTTAATAAAACCATGCATTAAAATATTCACAAAATTTGAAAGGATACGTTTTTTCTGATTTTTCAATTTATTATTTTCTGCATTTTTTTTTTACATGCCTGTTCATTTGACATCATTTGGAAGGAATAAAAAGGAATATTCACTTGGTGTAGCTGATACATAATACATATATAACCAATCACTTGAGAAAAAGTAAAAAAAAACCATGACTAATAACTTGAGAAAATGTGAAAAATATGACAAATCACTTGAGAAAATGTGAAAAATATGACAAATCACTTGAGAAAATGTGAAAAATATGACCTATCACTTGAGAAAATGTGAAAAATATGAAAATCCAACTAACCAACAGATCTCTGTGAGGTAACCGGGGACTGTATTGGAGAAGTAAATGTCTGCACCCTGTCATACCCTCCTCCGACCCTGCGGGCTGAGGCCGCAGCTGACCCTGCACTGACAGGCCTGGCTGACCCTGCGCTAAGGGGCCTAGCACGGAGCGAGGCAGGAGGACGAGGCATTGGTTGTGTCGTGGGGGTCCATACTGCAGATGGGATGGTGATGGTGGCTGGCCCTGTTGACAGGTAAGGGAGGTTCATCGACCCCTGGGTCATCCCCTGGGCCATTCCCTGGGCCATCGCCGGGGTCATTAAAGACTGCTGGGTGTCTGCCTGGGTATAGTTCATGTTGTCAGAGAGGAGGGTGAGGGGCTGGCTCCATGCTGGACGTTGCTGAACGGGTGGATACGCTATCTGTAGACACAACATCATACAATGTAATAACATGGGATACACATTTATACAATGTAATAACATGGGATACACTTTTATACAGTGTAATAACATGGGATACACTTTTATACAGTGTAATAACATAGGAAACACCTTTATACAATGTATTTTTATGTTATACAATGTTGCTTACCAATATAATTTAGAAAAGAGCTACTTGGAAAAGAAATAAATTCTTTATAATTTCATTTATCACAAAATGTTTTCAACAAGGGGGATTCCAACATCACACCTCCTGATTATAAAACATGAAACTTATCTGCTATACTCGAAACATGATATTTTTTTGTCAATAATGTTTTAGCAACAACCCTAAGAATGTTTTCTTGATTGTATAAATATAGAGCTTGTCTACCGTAGAAAATTGGTAGAACTCTCTACCTTAATGAAGATCATGGTCATAAACAGTGATGAAAGTGACAGCTTAAGACATTTAAATTATTATCGTTGCATCAAATGCATTTTGACAGTATATAAAGATATGCATTGTCTATAGTACTCATTAACTCATTTATCCCTGAAGATACATTTGAACTCTTCCAATTCAATGTTTGGAACAGTTCATTATGAAATAAAGGGGTGAATGAGTTGATACTTCTATTTTTCTTTTTAAATTCAACTCCTACACTATTAAAATTTATTATAATTCCTGATGTCTTTTAAACATATAGGTCAATGTGAATTTTTAAAAATAATTTTATTAACAGGGATTAGGATTAGGTTGTTTCTTATTATTGATTAAATAATTGCATGCAACAATATCTATATCTATTGTTATTGAACACACTTGCAAACATATTTTCATAATTATTTCCTGTAAAATATAAACTAAGTGCTGTGAATTTACAACATTTTTGCATCCTAATATTGTCAGGTAAATCGTAATATTAATCCATTAATCAAATTATTAGCTATGGGTAACAAGGTAACACTGATCAAATAGACATAAATTCTGAATATCGTGATTAACCAAACTGTACACATAATCTTCCCATACATCTTTTGATATATAGTCACAAATGATTAGATATAAAGATCTGTATTTGAAGTAAACTCCTTGCCAACACAAATTCAGACTTAATTTGAATCCATATTAAAAATTGATTCAACATTTATAAAGGTAAATAAGACATCTCCTTAGCTCAGACTAAAAAGACGTAATCCCACGGGGGATTTAAATTTATCTTTTTGACCTCCTCACTTCATCCTGGTAACCTGCAGGTGTAATCTATCTTCACAAGGCGACTATGTAAAACTTTAATAATATACACACCTCACTAGAACTTTGAGAGAGAGGTCGTCCGATAGGAGGTCTTGGGTGCCTCGTCATCTCTTGTACATAGCTATCAAACTACACACCTTCTTTATAAAATCTTAAGGGGTGTGTGTCAGAGATATTTTGTGATGATCAATTTCCAATATTGTAGCTATACAAATCACGATCCAACACTGCCTATATCATTCAAGGCACTTAAAAGTCAAAGGTACTTTTGAGATATTTGTCGATCCTTTAAGGGTTTTGCATAATCAGTAATCATAAAATCCCTTTCAGATAAGTTGGCGCACTCCTGAGCCAACTTGATTTGTTTAGTCAATATGACTTCCACACAGGTATATAAAAATGTCATTTATATTTTGTCTAATAATGTTCTTATCCTTAACTGTCTTAAGTTAAGGATGTGTCTTATCTGTAGGGTAGCTGAAACAAGTATCTACAGATATCATAAACAGCTGTGAGCTTTATATTCCTGTACTGTCTGGTTCAGGAATCTTTGCATCTGAATTGATGGCAGGCGTCGACCACTGTGTCACATTTTCTAGCTTCAAATTCCTGTACTGTCTAGTTCAATTTTTTTTGCATCTTAATTGATGGCAGGCGTCGCCCACTGTTTCACATTTGGCTAGCTTCAAATTCCTGTACTGTCTAGTTCAGTATTCTCTCAAGTGTCCCTACAATATCCTAAAATATCAGTACCCTGTAGAAGAAGAAGAATATCCTGATCAGTAGCCTTTGTGTCTTATCTCTGATGAAATTGATGATCAGAGTTTATAGGCATCATCAAAAGCTACAATACAGCTTTGTTTTCTACTGTACTGCCTCAACAGATATCTCCCATAACATGAGACAGTAGCTTTAAATTTGTATTCCTGTACTGTCTAGTCCAAAAGACATTTAGATGCGTCTTATATTTATGATATATTTGATGACAAGCATCTACCACTGTTTCACACTGGGCTGTTAGCTCCACATTCTTGCACTGTCTATTTAGCAGTCTTGATGTGTCTTAACTATTTAGACACTTAGAGAGGAATTGAATGTCGTATCTGGAACCACTGCACTTCCACAAGTATATCAGGTGTCTTAAGACACTCAGATGTCTAAAGATACTAAAACATGTCTTCTGACTGACTTATGTGTCTATTCGAATGTCATTCGACTACATGTCTTTAAATCACAGACAGATCAGCAAGGTAGATAGTGCTAACACATCCAAAGAAAGACTCAAATAGCAACATTGGTTGCTATTATATCAGACTACACTTGATGATTATATATGTATAATTATCCCCTGGCTTTATGTCAACTAATTATCAGTCATTTTCCGTGTAGAAATCAATATCGGTCAGAAAATAAGACAAGAGAGTCAATGCTATTACTACCACTACCAACACACACAACTTAATGTACTAACAATCTTAACACTGACAGACAGTGTATACTAAAACGACCAGATCACTAAGGGGCGTAGGTCTGGCTGTGGTATGGGTGACCGAAAACCAGCCTGGGAATTATTTATATATACTCATATGCTAACTCATAAATCATGCTTATTATATAACACAATCAACTCCACGCTGACTAGATCTGTGGACAATATCGGGTGGCAGAGCAGTACCGACAGTCCTGCAGCTAACGGATATCTATATGACGGGGCTGCCGCAGTCTGCGGACTTTTGACAATGGATCTACTCTACCCGATCACCAAGGTTCAGTCCTTGATAAATCAGCCAAATTATTGAAACAACCTATTGAAAATAGGCGTGCGACTAGGATCTTTGCACAGCCATATTAAATGTCTGTTGCCTTCGAAAAAATGTTGGCAGAGTCGGGTATCTACATTGGTGACATGTTATACTGTATCAAATTATAGTCGAATAGATATATCTTCGTACGTAATATTATGTAATTTCAAACTACACTTTAAATTTTATTTCATTTTTAAATACTTTCTGTTATCGGCTACCATGTTCCTTTATATAAATATAACTATCCAGGACCATAGCTTTAATGTACATTGTATGAAGCTTCTTCAGCCTAAATCAATATAAAGGTAACTTTTTTTAAATCAGTGATATTTTCAAAACTATGGATACTGAAAATGAAATACAATGTATGTATGTCCGTGGATTTAATTAAAACATTTTAGGATAATAAACACAAAACTGCTTGCATTTCTACACTCGAGTTTTCAAAAAAAAAAAGTGAAAAAATTGATTTAATAAAACATCAAGCTGACAATGCTGAATACGCCTGAATTTAATTATAATTATATTATGACAAGTATATATATATACACATGTATGACTTTCAAATTTAACTTGTTAAACCTTGAAATATCAAAACATGCAATAATAAATACACAAGCAAATATCTGATATTATTAAATGTTTTAAATATTTCTAATTTTGGAATTAGTTTGTGTACTTTTTTCAATGTGTGGTATAACTGTGACGTTTTAGTGTATTAATGGTAGTAATTTGTGCTAGGAATGTGACCTACACATTGTTATTATGCCTCATTTTAGTCCTAATTCTTCAATTTTTTGTAACAAATTCACAAACTTATATATACATATATATAATACTCCAAGTTGTTTAACCGGCCCTTGTAACGGAAGGGTTAAATTAATACAACCTTGCATTCTAACATTTCTTAGAGGAAAAAAATTAAACCTACGAAATACAAAGGCTGATCGAGTACAAGAATTGACACATGTTTACAATGTCTAATACAGGTTGTAGAATTTTAAACTGAAGTTATAATAGGAACAATAGGGGCAGCGAGGACAATACCGAGTAGTATTTAACCAAGTAATTGTCTGTCGCAGAGCTTAATGGCCTCATGCTATATGAACACTGGATATGTATCAGACAAATCTTAAAAACAGGTTTCGGAGTGCTAGAAGTCGGGTCATCAAATTTTAATGAAGATTTTCGAGAGTGGAATGAATGACAGTGAATTTGTACAGAGCTTCAAAGATGACAAGCACAGACATGTTGACGCGTAAAAACACTAGGTAGCTATGAGCCAGGTAGCTGGGAAACATATACACTGTTGTGTATTACACACCTACACTGCCACCATTTTCCTTTACCAATACACCGCCAATACATACGATCAGTGTGGCTTAAAACATGGCAATACAAAATTCTTTCCATGGGCGTTGCTACTTTACAAAAATTCACTAACAAGCAATTCATTGATGAATTAAATCTTGAATCGTGTTTCAAGGGCAATTTTATCCATGACTAGAGTTATATATTGAGTTTTAAACAGGCAGATATATGACTTATTACTATTTGTAATCCAGTAATTTTCACTGGCAACTTAAGGTATATTGAGCACATATAAAAGGTTATTTAACCTGATTATGCTGGCAACTTAAGTGAACAGCTGAATATATGCCAGGAATTCCAGTTCCAGTGCAGTGTTTAATTTTTGTCTTACCCCATATTTTTCGCTGTAATAATCACTCTTTGATAACTCCATATTGTGACGTATAATTGATATAAATAAACATCCAAAAAATTAATCTGTACTCCAGAATTATAAATCATAAATCAACCACATTTAGATTTGAACTCAATTTCAAATCTTAATCCTTTGAGAAAACACTTAAATCCCAAGGCTATAAAATGTTATCCTCATATACGGCACGGAAGCTTTAATAGTCTGACAAATATGTCAATCGCAATGGAAAGTACCCATGCACAGTAATACTGATATTATGCACATTTGCCATTCCGCGACCTGAAATAATATTCCATTGGAGAGTCCGTGAATTTAATTCTCATAATATGAAACGCTTCACTTATCGTTTTTTTTTAAATTCCCTTTTCACGGAGAGAACAAGACGATGAGATCCTCACTGCAGATGACACGGTATCACGGGTATGACTGAGTTAGTATAATGTTGATGATCGTTACTAAGAGTGAGGTATTTAATCTTTAAAAAAAACCAGGTGTCCCTACAGCCTTGCTCTTGGGGCGTGCATGACAAACAAATCATGTAGACTTTCACAGTTCGTCCTGTGTCGAGGATCGGGTGCTTTCGACTTGAGCATATCTATGTGACCAGGAAAAACTCTATTAGCTATTCGGAGTATAGATCTTTGAGCAAACACTCACGGACAGAGTGGATTGTTCTCCAGTTTGTGTTGGAAACTATCTTTGTGTACATACGGTAGATGTCGGTAATTACATCGTAAATGTAAAATCAAACATTGGGCTTTCGAGCTTACAAATCATTAACGCATTAGCTACGGTTCATACAAAAGCCTTTATACCCAAGTCTTACAGGTCAATATTTTCAAACCTACTTTTACAAACAATTCTTATCATAATGCAAATGTATGCGTTGGCCATTTCTAAAATGGCTTTCAAATTTGAGTCACCATTAGTGGTAACTCTATCTGCAAAGATATATTTTTTTTTAATTTAAATGCATTTTAAATCTTGCGATCAGATCACAAAGTATTTTACTACATCGATTGAAATCAACAGCAATTTTGAGTAGGTTTTTTTTGTAATCTTAGGTACCGACAGGGGGTGCATGATAAACTACATGTTGTACAAATAGATTTGTTGGCAGGGAAGTCATACCGATCGACCGGAGTGTACAGGCGCCATAAGAAATTATATATCACTTTGTTTTGAATAATGACCTTTTTGTTGAAACTGTTGTCGTTCAAAAAGATGTAGATACCTTTTGAAGACACGAGACCAAAGGTATATAATAACACGTTTAAATTATTTGAAAGATCGATATATTTAAACACTATTGTCTTGTTATTGCTTTACAAATGACATGCTATTATATTTATTAGTTTTGGGGTGTTCCGTATTGTTTACACTGTGTTGTGTATATATATAAGTCATATAAGTACGAAATTAGAGAAAAAGATGACACCGGAGAATTTGTTAAAAGACAGAGAGGCATTGATCATCATTAAGATTACACCACACTTACAGAAATCTTTTGTTTCTAAATTAAAAAAGAAATGACAAAAAAAATAGCAGACAATTTTGTCATAATAATAAAGTTATATAACATCAAACTATAAGAACACATGTTATTATACTATCAAAGAAAAGTTCAAGTAAAAGTTTATATTTAGCAGACACATATCTTATACTGTTTGATACATGAAACCATAGAGAGAAAACTTTAAAATTGTTGGATGGAAATAATAAAAGTCATGATTATTTTGTGTACAAAATGTTCAAAAATTGACACAATATTTCAGGTAATTTTATAAAACAAATTGAAAATATCAAATACTTAATTATGAGGTTACTTTGAATATATCTATGGTATATATAATTTATTTAGTGTAAATTTTGTACAAAATGTCCAAAACATTGTACAATATTTCAGCTAATTTTATATAACAAACTGAAATTTTCAAATATATCTACCGGTATATATAATTTCCCTTAAGCTTAATTAAGATTTTTATGCTTCAAGACATTCAATTTTTCTTCTCTTACAATGTTGCTTCAAGTATTTTTTTGTAAGCAACTGCAGTTTTTGTATTTTGTTGATTGGTATTAGTCGGAAACAAAATACATATTTTGCTATATAAGTACCGGTAATCATTATCATATAAGTTCAATTATATTTTCCCTAAAAAATATTTTGAAGGTTTGTATGAATTCTAGGGATTCAAAGATTTTTTTATTTCTTTTTAGCTTTAACTTATAGAAAACGTCACGGTTTTACAATAGATGATTTGATCAGTGTTCAAAAAACATGATTTATCCTACATACAATCTGCTGTATTTTGGTCTACAAAATGTAATCACATGCAAAGAGAAATAAAGAAAAAACCTATATGCTGCATCAAATAATATCCCAAATATAACAGACATTCAAGGTCACTCTCTCCGATAGTGAATAAGACTTTTAAATTTCAATTTTAAAAGTATAAATTAGTATTTCTTGATACAGTATTTTTTTCTATCTGTAAAATATGTTCCATTTTGAAATAGAAAAATATTACCAAACATACATCACTCTTGTAAATGATTTGACTACATCAAATAACCTTTTCTACCCTTTGAAAATGTATCATGCTTTGGGGAAATATAGGCACAATCACCTATGGGTAATACAATTAATCAGGGCCCAATTTCTTGATACAATTAACTCAGACTTTTTCCTTACCTTAAAAGTTAATAAAATTTTCATGAAACTGGGGCCTGGGGTAAATATACTAGAAAAAGACCACTATACAGAGAAACAAGAAGGAATGATGAAGAAAAGAAAAGAAAAATGAGGATTCAAGTAAGTGTGAAAATGTCTAGTACAGACTAAATGTTTGGAAATTAATTTCCCCCCAATTTATAAAAGATATTATTACATGGCTGAATTGATCAGTTTTTGAATTCTTCACATGTCTATATGTCATTGTACATGTCAGTATATACCAAATATATACATCCAATTTTGTTTTCATTTTTATGTATCGTTTCAAATCTTTCCAAACATTATCTATGGTAGTTATAAAGCTGTCCTAGACATTTCGGTTCAGATGAAAGATTTAAATGGCAGTTAAGACTAAAAAAAATTAACATTTGAAAATCTGCTATATGTAATGAGATTTAGTGCAGGCATGCAAATCATTTAAATCCCATAAGAAAGTTTATACATACAAAAACAAGCTTTTATATTTTAATTTTTTGTTTTTGTTTTTGTATGTATAAACTGCCATCATATGACCATTAACCCATTCACCCCTAAAGTCACATTTGAACGTTACCAAATCAGAGACTGGGCAAGTCTAGTTTAAACATGAAGGGGTGAATGAGTTTTTTTTTAAAAAGTCCATATACATAAAGATAGCTGATACCAGTCAGCCCAAGGGAGACAACCCTTTTTACACAAAATTGATTTAACAGCAGATTTTCAATTGATTTGACATGAGTAACAAAATTCAGGAAAATGTAGGCAGCAAATGACATGACAATATAGATGACATGTAAAGGTCAAAGGTTTGACATGTATAGGGTTCAAAGGTAAAAGGTCACTAGTACCTGTTGGTATCCTGCGGGTCTCTCCTGTCGGGCCTGGTGTAAAACAGTGATCATGGTATATTGAGATGATGTTGAAATGAATAGAGTTTGGAGCATGTGACACAAAATATCGTCACAAACTCACGACATGTTGAAATGATGGAGAAATGATTAAGACTAAGGTAAATGACACAAAAGTTCATTACATTATTTTATTTTACATGTACATCTATCTAAATCCCTAAGCAACAAACTTCTATCATTCTATGGAATAACATACAGCAAGGTTTTTCCTGGGTATTTCAGAAATTGATTTTCCTTTAGCTTTGAAAAACACGTTTTTCCTCTTTTCTCTCTCAATCTTACACCAAAGAATGTAGGATTTTTTGAAGTCTTGCTAATGGTATAAAGCTGTTCAATAATATGGACAATCAGAAAGTTAAATTATGAAGCAAAATCTCATTTTTTTTCTTTTAAATAATTAACTTCATCAAATTAAAAGGATAATATCTAGATCTTATTGGGAATTTGGCAAAAGTTTAGCTCTGAACAGTACTGAACAACTTATAGGTGAACATTCCTGATTAATTAAGTGAAAAAAAAAAATCCAATTTTTCTTTCAGACATTTAAATGCCCAAACAAAACATTTCAGCTTTTTATTGTATATTTAAATTGTGAAAGAAAAAAGGTTGCGATTCATCATATAAGAAAAAGACATAAGCGCCCCAAAAAAATAAGTGCATCAATTATAAAATAAAACAATGCAAACAGATCGGTGGGAATAATTCAATTCATTAGAGATTTGTTAAATACGTTGTTAGTCGTTATTAAAAATATTACAATTACTGCTATGGACAAACAATTATTTAAATTTAAATATAATAAACAAAAGTTTGATATCCTCCACTCTAAAACTTGTAAATACTCAGGCTACATCAAAACACACCTCTCTAACACAGCAAATTCAAACCTACTGCATATATATCCTGTTTAATTTGGCTTCTCAAACTTGAAATCAGTTCACAAAATATCAAAACGCTTTTCACAATATTTAACTCTCTTAAACATAATCGTAACATAAAATAATTACTTATCATGGGTAAAATTTGAAATATATAAAATCAATATAAATACAAAAATTCATAAAAAAAATTGTTAAGAACTTGTTGTTATCCATGCAGGTACTGTATTCAGAGTTAACCTATACTCAAATATTTTGTAGAAATAGGATTTTTTTTAATGTGATTTTTAAAAACATGTGACTTTTTCTAGATTTCTTGGCGCTTCAAGAGACAACATTTGTTCAGCTTTTAAAAAAATAATAGAATTTTTTGAAAAATCAGTTGAAAATATCATTCAAAATCTGAAAACTTGAGAAACCAAATTCAATGGGATAATTGACCCAACAACATTATAAATACTTACAGGCGGTGGATTTTCTACGTTCAGTTCAAATGGAACTCCACTATAACCAAATTTGATGATGTCTCCAGGTGCGAGCCTCACTATGGCGTTTTGCACTCGGCAGTCATTGACGTAGGTTCCCTGGGCTGTGTTGAGGTCCTGAAGGACGTAACCGTCCTCCTGTTCATGATACTCTATAACAGCATGCTGTTGGTCAACACCTGAAGTCTGAAACGATAAACAGCAGAATAGTGATTAAAAAACATGTCCAGAAACTATTTTGCTCTATTTATATTTTCAACTTCTTGCATTCTTGACAATGTGTAATTTTTAAAGGTGTCATTAATTATATTTCAAATAACCAATGATAGATAAACAACACTTGATATTTTTTTAATGAGGAGCTCTTTTGAAAAGGAGGTATGAAACAGTAAACATAGCATACACCCTTAACAGGTTCAATTTTTTAGAGTTAAATATTACCTTTGAATAAGTATCATTGAATGACACTTGTTTAGGATAGACTCCTTTCTTCCGTAAAGTATTTCCATCCTTGCGTAAAATGCTGCAGCGCATTATTAAGGTTTTACATTCTAAATACGATGATATTAATTACTTAAATTACTGTACTTATCTATCAATGAATACATATTTCTACATTCACACTTCTGCTATTGGTGTTTCAATTGCCCAGACTGCTGGCCGATTCAAAACCCAGTATGAAAATCAAAGTTGATCTCTCCTAGCTGCCCAACACTATTTAACAAGAACTGGGTCTTCAGAGATGGTTACCAGATTTGACCTTCAGATAACTCGGACTAAAAGCACTACACTTGGAAGTTGGAACACTTCCTTCAAAATTGAAGAATACAGACAAAAGAAAACTATATATACAGTAACTAAAGGCCTACATGTACGTAAATCCTATAATCCATCAGGAAATTGGCACACCAAAAGAACTGCAGACTTCCATATACATATCAAGTAAGAAACAAACCACACTGTAACATATGACAACTGTGACTCTAGGCACCAAACAGGTCCCACATCAATTATAGATATATCCCCCCAAAACAGTATTTCTCCCTGTACAGTTGTCCAAAATTACATAACGAGAGGTATTGATTGCTATTTGTGGGGAAAGTGACGCTATAGCCAAAAGGAAGTTGAGTATGGATTTCCGATTATTGGATTTTCGAACAAACATAATTCGTGTTTCTACACCACAGGTAGTTTCATATAGCTGTATGTCCACTCCGCGGGCCAATAATTATCCTGTTTCAACAGAATAGACAGACCACAGACAATTAATTATCCCATTTCATTTAGCAGAATAATCAAATCGTACCAACAAGGTCTCGATATTGGAGTTAGTTTCATCACATCAGCTTTATAATCCTCACCAGTGCAATATGGGACTACTGACTTAAATGACTTTTCCTTTGTACAATGAAACCTGTCTAATCTAACACCTGAATATTTTGAAACCCTGTCTTATCTTGGAAAAAAAGGTTGTACTCTTATTTCTGAAAAAGATGTGCCAAATAAAATCTGTGATACAGCATTTTAAAACCCTGTCTATTCTGAATCAATAGTTGGATCCTGTGGCCACAGGGTGTCAGATTAGACAGGTTTCACTCTATCTTTAAATAGATTTATTAGGTCTTACTATGTAATAACTTAGCATTGTTCTTCAATAGGTCTGTGCAAAAACACTTTATTCAAATACCTTTCCTTCAATTTTGCTTCCTATTCTTTGCTAGTCATAATCCATCTTTATAACTGCATGCCTTAAACTTAGCACTGGTTTTTCATTAAATTGGTATTGGGTATTTCTGTCTCATTTTTTATACCAATTGGGAAGTTAAATGTTCAGCAGTAAGCTGTAAATTTTAGGAATTAGGCATAAACATGAAATAGTGCAATTGGGAATCAGGCCCATTATATTATCAGCCAAAAAAGTCACCAGAAAAAACTGTTTCGTTAAAGATTTAATGTAAATACTGTTCGGATGGTGGCTGCCTTGTGCAGTTGCAACATCTGGACATGAAAATAAACTGTAAACATGTTTTTAGGGTGACCATTTATTAAGCACATATGGCTTAGCCAGATTACTGTAGCTATATATAACCTTTTAATTATTGTAGTATATAATATGCAAGTATAAAATCCTTAGAGCTTGTTAGATAGGGGCTGTCCCAATCACCTGCTCTCTGGAATGGAACCTGTGATAGTTTGTTTTAACTTATAAATACATTACGTATTATAACTGTTCTTTACAAAATTATGATATGGTCTATATATTTTTACATTAAGATGATTGATCCCTGTTATGTAACTATATGTTTTTATACTGTGTAACTATAAACTTGTACGATGTAATTGTGATATATGACACGTTAACAAAATTGACTTGACTTGACTATATAATAATGGCACCTCTAAAAAATGAAAGGAAGATTGAGACAATTTTTGCAAAACACACATAAATCCCCTGCATCCACTTTGATGGGAATGGAGCTAAACGTTTAATGCAAAGTTTAACCAAAGTCAGTAAAGTGAAAAATATAGGTAAAAGTCAATTGTATTATATACATATATTTGATATCATATTGTTGTAAAACTACTCAAGACACATCCAAAATCACCCCTGAAATTTCATAATGAACTATTCCAACCTTTGAATTGGAAAGGGTTCAAATGTGTCTTGAGGGGTGAATGAGTTAATAATGTTATGGAATTCCAATAGCTTGACATCTATATATAGCTAGGGCTAGTACATTTTATGTTAGTAAAAAGTCAAAACTTTTGATATTTATACTAGGAAGATATTGGTTGGGCTAGTAGATTTTTTTTTAAATCCTACTGTTATACAAAGGTCACCATTGTTCAGAGGTGATTATCATACAGCATTCTTGCCAATTCTTCCGATTAAGGAGGGAGACTCCCAATTTCGGACCCTTAAATTTCTTATGAATTCTAACCAGTGAACTTGCTAAACTATTCCTACATTCTAGGATCTAATGAAATAAGTCAAAATGTTAGTTTAAAGAATTATTTTGTTTCTAGGAGGTATAATATACACACATTTTATCTATGGTTTTAATTTTGATCACACACAATCTCCCCCATGGCAATTTCAAAAGTTAATTTGGCAAGTATGATACAGAGGTGATAAATACACAGAAATGATTATTACAGTAAGTTTTGGGACACAGCTATCAGAGTCTTGGACTCATGCTTTTCCTATGGGACTCCCCCACTCTTTGAGAACCCATTATATCTCTCATACAACATGTACATACTACGTATACAACAATCATTGCCATTATATAGAGAAGTGACCCATATACAAAGTTATTTCTGTAAGTAATTCAAATTAGTGCCTGCAGGAAAGTTTTGAACAGTTCTCCTAGCCCAACCTATATTTTTGTTGTAAATATTTAAATAAAAAATCATCAATGGCCCTGATCTAAAATCAACTGGCCTTGGACTTGGGGCTATTAGAACGGTAGACAACCTGAGAGGTCATATGGTCAGGGTTTTACATCCCATTTTGACTGCAAGTCCTTGGGACCCCCTTGATTAAAAATTGGGGGTCCTAGATCAATTTTTGGGGTCCTCATAAATTGTTATTTTCAGTATTTATTGCTTTAAGCCATATACATCTAAATTTGGAGGCTGGAATTTTCATTTCAGGGGGTCATGGGGACACAGGTGTTCAGAATTTAGGGGTCAAGTAATGGAAAATAGGGGTATTTGAAGCAGGATTTATGGTGATGACCATTATACAGATCTATTGGCGCTTATTACAGACAGGTGACCATTATACAAAGGGGACTTTATACAGAAGTGACTGTTATGTAGAGGTGATCATTTTACAACATTGACCAATATGCTATATATATGCCAGTTTAAGAGACAATGCATGAGTGTCACTGGAGATGTGTCAAGTGACCATGTGAAGAGATGTCCACTATCAATCGAAGATGACCATTACTGACCAGTATAGGAGCCAGAGAAGCTTACAAAAAAACACATGTCTGTTTCCAAAAATATTTGGGAAAAAAAGTATTAGAGGTTTAATTTATTGTTAACACATTCACCCATGCATATCTAAACTGGACTCGTCCAGTCTTTGATACATGGTAATTAAGGTTCAAATGTGACTTTACGGTTGAATGGGTTAAACTTCAAGGGAATGGTATGGTGATGTGTATGGCAAGCCACAAAGCAATTACTATTCCTACCTAGAAATTTACACTTTTTAATGAAAGAAGAAGGTTTAGTGCCAGGGATGGAAAAAGTAACAGAAAAGAAAGAAATTTTAACTAAACCCATCTAAATGAGCTTAAGATAAACACACTATACCTACTTCAGATCTACAATTTGTACTTTTTAACCGACAGACTGACATGTACATGCAGTGCATCAGTTTTGGCAAAGACTAAAGGATGAAGCTATCTTTTTAGTACAATAATATATGCATGGTCAATGAGGATCAACACTGTCTGCTTCTGTTCTGGATAAGTAAATACAAATGTACTATAAAAGGAGAGGAAAGAGGAATGGCAAGACTGGGATTCGAACACATTTATGGGTGCTTTGAAGGCGACCAGGTAGCTTTATTTGTATTATACGCCATATTCCTCCTTCTTTTCTAAGTCTTCCAATCAGAAACAACACTTTTTTACAACCCTGGTATGATTATCCCCCTGCCAAGCATATATACGGTACTTGTAACAAGGGTTCGTCAAGACACCACTGTAGTAAGCGAGGACAAATGTAAGACCAGACCAGGATTGGTTTGGTTTAATTTTGTTTAACGTCCTTTTAACAGCTAAGGTCATTTAAGGACGTGCCTCCATGTGTGTAGTGTATGCATGCATGCATGTGTGTGTGTATGCAGCCTATGCAGGTGACAGAGTATCTATATATAGGCATTCCAACCTAGGACCTCCCAACTCTAGACGGACACTCTATCCAATTGAGCTACCTGGTCGCTCAAGGTTGGATGTTATTCCAGTTCTGGAATGGAAAAATAATATTGGGATAACCCACCAAAGTTGTCAGGGTCATCCCAATAACTTATCCTTTGAGGGTCCACAGGTGGACTTTTTGGAGCTGGTATTTTATATACTTATGCATGTAGATACTATATTGATACAGGTGTAATAGGAGAAAGATAAATGCACAACCTGGCCGGGATTCAAAACCAGGACCTTCAAATCTCTAAACAGACACTCTACAAATGATTTTGCCGATGATGTTCCACTACTTCAGATGTTCTCTGAAACAAGTGAACGCTATTGCCAAATCCTGTTACTACCAGATCAGGAACATCGGCTGTATTCGGCAGTTTCTAACTGCAGATGCATGCAAGATTTTGGTGCATTCACTTGTTACCTCTCGGTTGGATTATGGTAACGCCCTGCTCTGTGGTATATCTGACAAACTAACTAGTCGTCTGCAGAGGGTTCAGAACACTGCAGCACGGCTAGTTACTCGTACTCGAAAGAGAGAGCACATCACACCTGCGCTTTATTCGTTGCACTGGTTACCTGTACGATACAGGTCGCAGTACAAAATTCTGGTATACACATACAAGGCACTGAATGGAACAGCTCCTCAGTACCTACAGGAGCTTGTTACCCTGTATCAGCCGTCAAGATCACTGCGGTCGGAGTCAGAATCTTTGTTGTGTGTCCCAAAATCTCGTACTGTGACCTACGGAAACAGATGCTTTGGGAGGGTTTCGGCTACGTTGTGGAATAGCTTACCATCTGCTATTAGGAAGTCAAATACCCTGGCCAAATTCAAGAGGGACATAAAAACTCACCTCTTCACGTCTGCATTTTAGAATCTTTGCAAAGACGTCATGTAAATACCACCCTTTTATTTGTTCAATTATGTGCACATTGCTTGTTAAATGTATGAAAGTGATTGCAAGCCTTTGTTGTTTGTTTTCACAATTATAACAATTACTATTATCCATATGTTGTAAAGCGCCTTAGAGTAATTTTACAAATTATATAGGGCGCTATATAAATGTTGTATATTATTATTATCATGACTACTACACCCCTTCCCCTCCCTTCTTAAAAGTCTTTGCACCAAAAGACACAACTATATTTACAACTCGAGTTCGGGTATTCCCCTGCAAAGCATATACACCAAATGCCTGAAACAGGAGTTGATCACAGGCACCAAATGTAGTAGAAGAAGAAAAATGCATGACCAGACAATGATTTGTACCCAGAACCAACCAATATTTACATGGACAAGACGTATACCTGGTCACAGACGAGCGACACAGTCCATGGAGTTCCGATACAGTAATATGCTGTAGAAGGACATCAACTGTTACCATAAAGGAACTTATGACAAAGAGTATTCCCTAATCAGGGAGTTGGTAAAATCTCTTTGAAAATGACAATTGTGAAAATGATGACACTGATTGATGAGGCGGCAATGGGATGGGGGTATAAATGATGTTTTGTCGTGTGGATGTTTAAATATCAGTATTTGGGGAATCAAAAGTGAGTTATACCTGTAGTTGAATGTCACATCCTTCACGTCCAAGTGTTGTCACTTTTGGTGACAGTGGAAACACTGTATTGTCACTTCCTTTCAAAAAGGCTTTCATCGTTGACACGGTAACTTCACAAAAATATGGACTTTCTGAAGACGATTATTGACAGGTGCGCGTTACCTTCAGCACATCCATTAATCAAATGAGGTTCCGTTATGTGTAGTTGAAGCAGGAACCACACTTCATTCCGACAAGGTGGATATCTTATTCATCAAAGCATCAATTGTTTATCCCTCATTTGCATCAACAAGTTTTCGTTAGTTTACTGTCGGCGCGAGGAGTCACGCATGCCCAAACAAACATGACAACCAAACAACTTTACCCTCTAACCTAGTGACAGTGCGTAAACATTACATAGACAAGACTTCGATCAAATAGTATATTGTATTTATGTCACTGTTATATTGATTGACTTAAATCATAAAGACTAATCAGTCTGTTATTCGTTATTCAAAAACAAAATTAATGACATTTTAGAGAGTATTGCATCCTCGATCAATGAAACGCTTAATTAAACTCAAGCTTTACAGAGACCAAGATCACTAATTGGGGCACCTTGGCATCGTCTGCAAAGTTTTACTAAGAAATTTAGCTTTGAACTGTTGAAAGTAGAACAATGGTGAATGCATTGGTGCTACTAGCTGAGGGTGCGGAGGAAATGGAAACTGTCATAACCGTTGATGTGTTGAGAAGAGGCGGGGCAAGTTTTCAGTATTAGTAAAAAGCTAAACACAGGGGTTCGTTACAAATGTCTCAAATACAGTGATATGGGTCACTCACTGCACACATAATGCTAATTCCTTTAGGAACTCTATCTAAATCAGAGATTTATCGTTATAAATCTCTGATTTAGATCGAGTTCCTACAGGAATTAACATAATGTGTGCTGTAACCCATTCAATATAGCATATGTGCATTTCAGACAATTTAATTGTTGCGAACCCCTGTGGCCAGACCAGGGTTCGAACCCAGGACCTTACAAACTCTAGACGTTCTAACCAATTGAGCTACCTGGTCGCCGTTGATCGACCCAGTCCGCTACATTTCTCCCTCCTTTTTCTAAGTCTTCGTCCCGAAGACACAGCTATTTACAACCCAGGTTTGGGTATCCCCTTGCCAGGCATACACCAAATGCTTAAAGTAAGGTTTGGTAACATGCAGCACTTTATCAGGAGAAGAAAAATGCATGGCCAAACCTGAGTTCGAACCTGTGATCTTCCGAACTCTAGACGAACATTCTAACCAATTGAGCTACTTGGTCGCCCACGATCAACCCAGTCCAGGTCCGCTACAGTTATAATTATAAAACGCCAGACTCCTTTGATACTAGCTGTTAACTAATATATGTCTATGCACTACAGTATGCACATGCAGGTGCCTTCATCTGCCATATATAATAGCCTGCCTATCCTACTATATGTTTAGTTTGGTAGGCGGGCTATTTTATATTTTCACATATTTACATAGTAAAAATATGAGTTGCAGGCACCTGTTGTATCTGTAAGCTGATGCTTTTTACATTTCAAATTTTATGAGATTGTCATTTCATTTAAAAATGTTTTGAAGTTAATTACTTTGTAATGTGTTACAGATAGAAGTGACACTAGCGGGACTAGCTGGAAGCGATGCTGTACTTTGTTCTAGAAATGTCAAGCTTGTCCCAGACATGAGCTTGGAAGAAGCCAAGAAGTCTGCACCCTATGATGTGGTTGTCTGTCCTGGAGGAGGAGGTGGGGCAACGAAACTGGCTGAAGTAGGTGCCAATTGTTGTCAACATTTTTATACGCCCGTCAATTTTGACGGGAGTATTATGGTATGGGGTTGTCCGTCCATCCGGTGTAAACTTTTGTTTGTCCGGCAATTCCTCCTACATTTTTCGACTGATCTCTTTGAAACTTGGTATACATTACAATCATGATAGGCAGTTGTGCCTCCCTTAAAAGAATTTGAATTCAACAATTTTTAGCTCACCTGGCACTTTGTGCAAAGTGAGCTTATGCCGTGGCGCGGCATCCGGCGTCCATCCGGCGTCTGGCGTCAATAATTTAATTTAAACGACTTCTTCTTAATAACCAAAAGGCCTAGAGTGATGATATTTGGCCAGAAGCAAATTGGGATGAAGGGCTACAAAGTTTGTTCAAATGAATGACCTTCAATTATATTCAAGGTCACAGGGGTCAATTGTTTTAAAAAACCTTTAAACAACCTCTTCTGAATAACCAAAATGCCATGGGTGATGATATTTGGCCAGTAGCATGCTGAGATGAAGGGCTATCAAGTGTGTTCAAATGAATGACCTTCACCTTTATTCAAGGTCACAGGGGGCAAATATGTTAAAAACATTAAACAATTTCTTCTGAATAACCAAAATGCACAGGGCGATGATATTTGGCCAGTAGCATGCTGGGGTAAAGGGCTATCAAGTTTGGTCAAATGAATGACCTTCACCTATATTCAATGTCTCAGGGGTCAAATATGTGAAAAACATGAAACAACTCCTTCTGAATAAGCAAAATGCACAGGGTGATGATATTTGGCCAGTAGCATGCTGAGATGAAGGGCTACAAAGTTTGTTCAAATGAATGACCTACACCCATATTCAAGGTTACAGGGGTCAAATATGTTAAAAACTTAAAACAAGTTCTTCTGAATAATCAAAAATGCCCAGGGTGATGATATTTAGTCAGTAGCATACCTTGAATCATATTCAAGGTCACAAGGGTCAAATATGTTAAAAACTTAAAACAAGTTCTTCTGAATAATCAAAAATGCCCAGGGTGATGATGTTTTGCCAGTAGCATGCTGAGATGAAGGGCTACAAAGTTTGTTCAAATGAATGACCTTCACCCATATTCAAGGTCACAGGGGTCAAATTTGTTTAAAATCTTTAAACGACCTCTTCTGAATAACCATAGGTCCCAGGAGGTTGATACTTTGCAAGTTGCATCCTGAGATGAAAGGCTATAAAATTTGTTCAAAATAATGACTTTGTTCGACTTTCAATCACAGGGGTGAAATGTTTAAAAAAAAAATTACAGGTTCTTTGTATGAATTTTAATCATAAATACTGATATTTTATTTTGCCTGTAGCTTTATTTTAGATCACTTTTAAGGTTACAAGTGTGAGATTTATACCAGGTGAGCGATGCAGGCCCATTGGGCCTCTTGTTCCATTGTTCATTTCAGTATTTTATGTCCAGAGATCTCCTCCTACATTTTTTGACGGATTTCTTTGAAACTTAGTAGGCTAAATAATCATGATATGTTGTGGTGTTTCCGTGAAAAGAATTTTGATTCGACAATTTTTGCAAAAGTTATTGCCCTTTGTTTATTTCAGTATTTGATTTTTGTCCGGCAATCTCCTCCTACATTTTTCAACGAAATTCTTTGAAACTTGGTATACATTATAATCATGATATGAAGTTGTGTCTCCCTTAACAGAATTTTGATTCAACGATATTTGCAAAAGTTATTGCCCTTTGTTCATTTCAGTAACAATAACACTATATGGCATTCGACGGGCGTATATTGTTCCGCCCCTTGATACTCTTGTTTTTTCTCTTTTCATTAAATTAGAACAGGGGAGAAAAATTGCAATATAGGATATTAATGAATTATAGATACCTTACACTTGCTTACTTTAGCCTTAATGTCTCAACAATTTTATTATAGATATCTGAAAGATTTATTATAGATATCTGAAAGATTTATTATAGATATCTGAAAGATTTATTATAGATATCTGAAAGATGTTGGTCTGTTCCGAAAGATATAAGGCACCTATTAGACGCTTTTCATGTTCAATTTGATGTTTGTCCTTTACCTTTTCATTTTCAAATAAAAGTTTGGTCTGGAGCATCCTTGGGCAAATGGGGCTCTACCTTGTCTTTAGAGAGACAGGAGGCAGGTGAAACAAAGGACATTTTTAACAAAGTTTTAATTTATATTCATGTAGTGATGCTGATTAAACATCCTTGAATTTCTGTTTTAGTCAGCTGAAGTTAAGAAGATTCTTCAGGATCAGGAAAACGCGGACAGATACATTGCTGCTGTCTGTGCAGGTATCCAAATCAAGTCGCTAAATGACAGAGCATGGTGTAATGGTGTAAATTACTCACAATTTATTTGGTTTAATTAAATTTCAGATTTCGATGTTACCATGTTTATTCTATTATTTGGCATAGTTTAAGCATACTAACCATATAATTGCTGAATTGATAAGCCTAGGTTGTGTAGGAAACAGAAAGATTTTGTGTTCTTACGTAAATATCCAGGTGAAGGAAACAGGCCCTCTAGGCCTCTTGTTCTTTTATCATCAACAAAACAGTTTCATTTTAAAGGGTCGTATTTTCCGTGATGAGAATGTTCATTCACACAATAAAATAATTTGATGTACATGTATTTATATTAAACTTTGATGTTATCCTATTTTTCGTAACAATATCAGCCACTACATGTATATCAAATTTAAATATTTAATAGAAATCCTTTAAGCAACCATGAAAGACAGTTACTCTTCTGATATTTGTTTTGTCATATTAGGTCAGCCATTGCAGATCTGCCCCTTTTTTTATTGTATATCCTTATTTATATGTTGTAGGACCAACAGTTCTCTTGAAACATGAAGTTTGTAAAGGAAAAAAACTCACTTCCCATCCTGGAGTCAAGGACCAGTTGACAGCTTCTGGTTGGTTTTATTTTCCCACAGTTCTGAAGATATGACATCCCTATGCAACTTGTTAATGTAGACTATGCTAAAATACAGTCTTGCACTGCGCTGCTTTATCACAAATGTTTTGGTTGAAAAATAAGGCCCTATGACCACGGATAATAAGTTGTGAGCTGCTTGGAGACGACCTACGAACTAGGTTGTGATAAAGCGGTATATACCTCAAATTATTACTTTGATTATTATTTTGCTAGGTAAATACATCTATGTAGAGGAACGAGTGGTACAGGATGGGAAGCTTATCACCAGCAGAGGCCCCGGAACCTGTTTTGAATTTGCACTGAAAATTGTTGAAAACTTGAAAGGAAAGGAACAGGCAGACTCTTTGATACCCCCCATGTTGGTGAAGATGTAATTTTTCTCTGACAGCCTACAACTATACAAAAGTTTATAACAAATTTAAGGGAGATAAATCTTGCCAAACATGTTTTTCCATTTATGCCGACAGGATCGATGGCTGGACCATAATTTTAAAGGAAAAGTCAGACTCCATCTTTGTGATCGAATGATCCTTGCAGGAGTGTTTTAGCTTAAGATGTAAAGATTTACATGGATGTATTTTAATTTACTCTTTGAAAAGTTGTTCAAGTTGGACACTCTTTATTTTGGTTGTATTTGCCATTACCTTGGTATATCTGTCATACAGCATGTATGAAAATTATCATTGTTTCCTTCTGTGGAGTTCATGCCCCAATAAGTTTAAGTTTGTGCTGCTGCAAACGCAATTCTTTAAAATCTATACAAAGCTAACATTTTAATTTGTATTAATTAAAAAAATAAAAATCAGTGGGTTTGGTTTTTTGGGGCGACTTTTGGGAATAATGGGCCCCATTCTCAATTAAAACTGTTTTATACTTATGTCCTATTCCCAAAATTTGCAGTTTACTCCTGAAAGTTACCTTCCCAATTGGTATACATGTGTTTTCTTCCTAAAATGAGGCTAAAAGGTCCCATCCCAAACTAACGAATAAAAACACTGCAAATACAAATTTTAAGTTATGTATAATTTGCATTGAGACAACAAATGTCTGTTTTGATTGGATTTCAGTCTACCGTATCTTGTTAAAAACATGTAATACAAAGACTTGAGTGTTCTTGTACAACAATCAAGCACCACTTTGAAACCACATTCTGAAGAGATCGCTCTGTAATTAGGATCCTGTAAAAACAGTTTCATCAAATAATGTCTACCAATTCAGCATCTACTGTCAGATAATAAAATCTTGTGTAATCCTATTTTTATACATTTAGCTCTGGCATACTGTAGAAGCTTATAATAATTTATTCTGTATGTTCAGAGTGGTTGTCTCCCTTCAGTTGCATTAATATTTTTGTCAGGAATGTTGATTTTTGGATTGTCAGGTTTAATAACACATTATGTTCCAGTCAAAACTTTGTTTTGCCTGTAGACTTGGTCAAGTCTTATATGTATTGAATACAACGCTGTTCGTACCTATGCAGGGTAATTAAATACCTTAAGGTCTAGTGCTATTAACTCATTTACCCCTAAAGACACATTTTAACTCGGGTTTCGTTTATCGCAGTCCAAATGGCTGAACCAGATTAAGAAATAATGTCAGACTAAGTAATCTGATACTGCTTTAAGACAAGCCTTGACAAAGCCTTACAAGGCCCAGGCCTGCATAAACATTTGCAGGTCCGCCAGGATTTATACATTTAAAAACAGACAAACTGTTAGTTCCACATTAACAGACAGGCCCTAGCTCAACCAATTCAAATGTTGGAATAGTTCATTATGAAATTTCAGGGGTGAATAAGGGCTTATCAGACAATAATAGCAGCTAGATCTTAAGGTCTGAATCTGTTTCGTAAAATGCTCCACTCTCCTCTAACTGGTCAAACTGTTTGGAATGTTGTAAACAAAATCATCACTGGCCATATTGTTGGGTGCTATCATACTACACATAATTTTGATGTCGGGTAACCTTTAGGTTTTAGGTTACTTGACTTATAAGAGTGATGGTCTACTGTGTGTTATGTTATTGGTAAAATTTTGACTACCATAGAATTAACTAACATTCAGGTGCTTACTCTAAATAACTCTTTAAGTAATCTGTATGGAATATGATCTCTCCTTCAGCTGTGGTTGTTACACAGCAATACAACAGAAGTTGTCTAAAATCTCTTGCCTGTTTTGTGATGTGACTTTTTCTGTATATCTTAAATACATTAAATGTATTGGATCATGGAAAGTGTGTTGGATTATTTGTGGGTTAGTGTAGTACTTTGTCTGGTCAGATAATACCGACTAGATAATACGTACAGTGTAAAGAAATAACCAAGACATTCAACATCTCTGGTAGACCGCCACTTTTATCTTTTGATTGAGTTGACTCAATACATTTCATCAGAAACAATATGCACATACTGTTATTTCTGATGTGCATTTTAAGTATACAGTAATTCCAAACTATCATGTGTGATATCAGATTTGCTTGCATGATTTATTTGTTTTAAGTTAATGGTAATAATTAAATGTGCAAATACAGTGTTGTTTGGGGGCTGATTTACCCCGACGTACAAGTATTTTATAAAGAAGGACGGTTTGTAAGTGGTGTTTCCTCAGAACCTGATTTCTAAATAGAGAAATTATCTTACAACATCTTTAGGTTCCTTTATATGATTTTCATTAGTTATACTTTACAAAGTTGTTTATTTCTCTTTCTATTTTGGGGGGGGGAGGGGGGTAAAGGAATCGCACTGTCTGTCTGTTTTTCATAATCATGATCTTTGTGAGCGGAATTCCTCCTAAACTTTTTTTTAACTTGACTCTGAAAGTACATCAAATGTAGATGTGCATGAATTAGGGATTGGTGATTCCACAATTTTTCCTAGAGTTATGGCCCTTGAAACTAATTTCTGCTCCAGAAACCTTGTAAGTGCAACTCCTCCTTAACTGTTTTTTGTAACCTGGCACACTAAAAGTACATTACAATGCATAAAAGATGATTATTCATGAAATTTTGAACACCTAGATAAGACAAAGCTGGGGGGGTAGTTTTTTTGAACACACTCATAATTTCTCTAGTTTGACATAGAAATGAATACAGTATTGAAACAACTCTGAAGACAAATGATGTTTTTCCAAACAGCACTTTTATTATGACCTTTTTAAACAAATGTACACTTGCTAGTTCTATAAACCAGAAAATAACTAAATTTGAAAACACGTGGTTCAGACTGGCTGAAAAAAATCTCATGTTTTTAACATTCCTATCATATCTGTACAAAACAATAAAAAATAATATTTTTTCTCATACTGTCCACGTAAAGATCTAGTATATTGTAATGTTACATTTACAAACTTATATCAACTAAAGATTCGCTCAACACATTCACCCCTGAAATTTCATGATGAACTATTCCAACCATTGAATTGGAAGAGTTCAAATATGTCTTCAGGGGTGAATAAGGTGAAACAGTTGTCATAAAAAAATAATCATAAATGGAGTGACTGGTATGTAGCTGCCTTCTGCTTATACAGAAAACAAATCTACTTGGTAAATTTTGGAAAAAAGTTCAAATATTGATGCCAATTCATTTTCTTATTCAACAAATCTTTGAGTATTTGTTTTCTAGGTCTTCACATCTTTGCAAATTTTCTTGTTTAACAAGTACAGGTATGTTTTATTTGTATACAAGTCCAAGAATGTGCACACAACACCTGAATGGTCTACAAGTTTCCTGTGAAATATATTTTCATACATAACATCTTCCTTTGACCCAAGCATCTATATATATAGCCCAGTGGTATTTCAACACCAACAAATGCTTATCAAGTACAAGTTACAAAACTGTCCAGGAAAACCAAGATGTTTCAATAATTTAACTGTTTTGCCACTGGTACATAAATTGTGTGGAGTAGATTTAGGTTTTGCACACATGTATCTATACATCACCATTTTATAGCTACTCAATTGATCTCATAATAGTAATCGAAAGAATTATTTGACAGTTAAATGTAAAGAATGTCTCAAAAATAATCCTCTGTAGATAGGGAACACTGAAACACTTTTATAAATTTATCCGTTAACATTTTAGACAAAAAATGTAATCCAAGTGGCCAAGTATATCAATTAGTCATTTGATACTTACCGGTATAGCAAAATTAGTTTTAATTCATAATGCATGAGATGTAAGGTATGATGCATTCCCTATACATTTACAAGATTTACAAGATTACATTCATTTTACATCTTATTGATAATTTGCAGAGACCGACAGATATCATAATGCGTTACTTGTAGTAATTATGCTAAATATATTGACAGAATGGCAGTATGTTGTACAGTAGAACCCTGTCAATTGGAACAATACACATTTTATTTATCCTACTCATTTACCCCTGAAGACACAATTGAACTCTTCCAATTCAAAGGTTGAATTGGAATAGTTCATTATGAAATTTCAGGGGTGAATGTGTTCAGCAAAACCTGCATAATTTAATTTCCAGGACCAAAAAATGCAAAGTTTAACAAGCTTTACTGCATTAATATATAAAAAATTCACAGTAATTATAACTTAATAAAAGAACAGGATTTTATTTAAATTGCAGACTTCTAATAGTATTCTGACATATAAATGTCCACATTTATTGTAAAGATTTACATATAAATCAATATCAGTAAAACTTTCAACAAAAATATGAAATACACAAAGCAGGGAATACATCTGTACACTTTAAATCAAGTTACTGAGTATATTTTTCTTTGATATGAACTCGGTTAAGGATCCCTGTCCCACTGCACTGTGGTTTTTCCCATGTATACAGTAACCTCCCCTTGACATCCATTTGAATATAATTGTAGAACCATTGGGCCAAGACACTTCTGTCACCCAGCTAGCTCATTAGCAGTCTAAAATTCTGTTTGAATCCAGGTCTAACCCCGCGGTATCGTTTTTACACTCGGAAAATGTTGTTGGTTTGGTTTTCTTTTCAGAAACGATTTACCAAAGACATTGTCATGCTGGAAAAAATGGTTTCCAATACTTAGTTACAGTTTTTTGGCAGTGGTACGGGGATCCTTACATCACAACTCAAAGCACCATGTGACAGTACTTTAACCACCAAGACCTTGTATTTTCCAATACCTGTGTAGGCTATAACCACTTCGTTAATTAGCTAATTAGCTACTTAATGCCCCCTGTTGATTTGGGAACAAATCTGTCAAATTATGGGAAAATATATCGACATGGGATAGGGACTTTCCACTCCTAGGTTTTATAATTTGGACTCGCCAAGCCTGGATCTTCTCCGACGTCCAATTTTGAACCATCAGTAACATATTTCATCCTAGTATTGATATACATATCAGTGATATTTATATTTCCAAGCCTGGATCTTCTCCGACGTCCAATTTACATATCAGTGATATTTTGAGCCTTGTATAAATGAAAATTAAAAAAATTTAACTAAATTGTTAACAGTCACTATTACAATCATGCCTTAATATCGGGTCTAAAGTTAAATCAAATATATACTCATACACCCCTAAAGTCATATTTGAACCTTACCAAATGAAAGACTGGGCAATTCAAGTTTAGATATGGAGCGGTAAATTAATCAAATGTTTCCATACTAAACAATTACATGTATCTTGCAAGATTACAGCAAAATCTAGTCCTAAAGAAGGACGGAGTTCACGTAATTAGATCATGAGCCCATGTGATCGTATTCCACGGATGAAGAGTTGTGTAATTCACATAAATGAAACACATTCAACTCTTTATAGTGTTAATAAAAACACAAACTCAACATTTTGAATGTAAATTTTGAACTGCAGATTCAATGTGTGTCAAGAATTAAAGTTAAAAAAGAAAAACATTGAAGAATAACAGAATGGCACAGATATCCTACAGACAACTTAGGAAGTGGTGTACAGATCTTAAATATGGTAAAATCACATGATGAGTTTCCTTTATTTCCCCATCCCGTCACAGTCCTCCACCTCCAGAGGTGTTGCCTAGTACGTACTTGGAATACGCCTTGTTCATTTGTTCGAGGAAGATGAAGGTGAGCACTGTATGAGGACCGAGACGGAAGTAGTAGGGCGTGAATCCTTTCCACAGACTGAAGAATCCCTCTTGTCTTATTGTCTTCACCCATACATCCTATGAAAAGAGAACATACAACTTGTAAACATTATCCGATGGTTTGGTTTGTTTGTGTTTTACGTCGTAATAACAGCCATGGTCATTTAAGGACGCGCCAGGCTTTGGTGGTGGAGAAAAGCTTGAGTTCCTCGAGAAAAGCCACTGACCTACGGCCAGTAACTGGCGACTGCCCTTATCTGATGGTACAGGTTTAATAGCCTATCATGCAGAAGAATTGGGTCATATCTCATACACCATTTCTGTAACCCAACTGATTGTACTGTATATGGCAAACTACTGGCCATATGATTCAGTGGGTGTCCAATTTAACATACTGTAAAAGTAAATCAGAATATTTTCATGCATGTTAAATTTTGCAAATTTCTCGAAAAATAGCTGTAGTTTTATTTTTATTTGTGGTGTTTTGGGATTGTGCGCAAAAAATAGAAGAAAAAAAATAAAAAATTGAGGGTTATTATTTAACACTGAATTTTTTAAGGATTTGGTTTTTGCAAATTTGATTCTTGCACAAAATACACAAAAATATAAACAAAGTAAAAAAATGTCGGGAATTATTTCCAGTATTGATTGTAACCTAGGATAAAGTATTTTGGAAGGATAGAACCTCTCCAACAAAGTGCATCTCTGATTAACTTAATGAGAGACCTATTTCTATATATACAAATAACAAGGTTCGGCCTGTGAAAGAACGTTAGACCCTGGTCACCTCATTATCTGTGTGTACCAAGCGGTACGGAGGGAGACCTTCATGGGCTTGTTGACTCCAATCAATCATTCGTTAATTAATCGGCGTTATAAACATCAAGCTACCTTTGATGCTACTTTTTCAGTTAGATACCGTTTATTTTTAGGATTTTTTTCCAAAAATCAAATCTGACCCCAAAAACGTACCTGCGCACTATACCCGAGTGCACACTATACCCGCAAATTTACGGTATATTAGAATATATAATTGGTGATATTGACTGGGTATTACTACATGTATTTGGTAAATCAGGTCAACATTCACTAATCACTTCACTTCAATTTTAACATTACAATACTCTGCCAAATGCAGTTCTTTTCTCTTGATTCTTGGCTTATAATGATCCATCTTGCTTAATGATAAAAGTAGTGCTGTCACAATATATCGGAAAACAGGTATATCTCAACACACGGATATATCGTATTGTACCACAATACAGAGATAAAATATTGCGATACAACGCAAAAATTTTTTAAAAGCCTATTTTTTATGTATCTCATTCTGCTTGGTGTTTTAACTTTGCAAATAACTACAAACTCTAACAGATATGCCAATAAAAAAAATCATAAAACAGGCTTTTAATAGTGGTGGGAATTAGGTCAAATTTTGTTATCGATAGTTGGTTTGACAAAAATCTTAAATCCATGTGATCCATATTATATATGATTAAGTTTGATAACATTCTGACAACAACTTATTATACAATCGAGCACATCTTTCCTATGACAATATATCGCGATACGTATCACAATATATTCATTCTGTATTGCAATATATCGTGATACACACTTGGCATATTGCGACACCCCTAGATAAAAACATAACAATTTCATACCTAACAAATAGGACTTTTATTTCAGTGAGTATGTTATATGGACCTGAAAAGTGTTAGTGACCTGGAATTCATATATGTATATATTGGTCATTTCTCAAATTAATATAACAACATATTCACCTTAACTAAAGTCCAAAACTGATAAAACACATGTTCATCATGAAGTGAAATTATCTTTTAAATTATCTGACATTGAGTCGGTAACAATACTAGGGCCCCTTCTCCGTATCTGTTTCAACCAGCTCAGATCTAAACCAAGGCTGACCTCAGGAATATTTAGCATGTGTATATCGAGGGGTCCATATGCGCCTTTAGCACTAAAGGCTGATTGTCGCTAGTTTGTATTAATTCTTTGTAAAACAAGGTCGATCTACATGTATATTTTAGGATACGCTATATAATTTAGTGGACACGTCAAATAAGTACATATTATTCATGATATATTGTTATTTATTTGTTAAGAAACTGCATTTTTAGCTCTGCCCAAAGTTCAGTACAAGTGCATTCGTTTATCATGGAATATTTCTGTGCCACCTGAACTGTTTCAACAGGTAGTGGTAGTGCAGTGGATAGCGCACTTGCCTTTCACCAAGAGGACCGGGGTTCGATTCCCCGATCGGACGTGAGAAGGTATGGAGTCACCTGCCCAACCACATGGGTTTTCTCCGGGTACTCCGGTTTTCTCCCACACTAAAACCCCCCGTGGGCTAATTAACATCCGGGCCAACAAGAATGATTTTTATAAGTTGAAATAACTTGTTTCATAATTGTTGTAAACTAAATAAAGTTTATATTTCATGACAAGCTAATGCGACCAAGTAAACACTAGATTTACTTACCAAGGCGTTCTTATATTCTGGTTTTCCATCTATAGTCCTCATGTTCTGGATTCTGTGGGAAATCATTGTTTTAATTGTAAATATGAAAATTTAATTGATGGGGTCACCATCACAAAAATCAAGATTTTAACATAATCTGCCAATAACGATGCAGCATCATTGATTTATTTGGGATTGCGTTAATTATCAAAACGAATTGGAATATTGTATGTAACAAATCCGGAAAAAATAAATCCGAGATGAAACATTTTTGAATTAACAAGTTTCACTGTAGGTGTTTTGATGGACTTAAAATTTATATTTCAGAAATTTATTTACAAACATTAAATTCAAATGAATGTATTTCCACAGGATAGTCCAGATAAAAAAAGAAGTTCTATCAATATTGCAGAAAAAAAAGTTACCATCGAAATCAATGTATTCAAGAAGCAGAACATGTTGGGTTTTCTGGTATGAGAAATCACCCGTACTTATTCAGACTCGAATTATTACCTGGTTTTTGCGATGTCAACCGGCATCGAGGCAGTGGTTGTACAAAATCCACTGAACATGCTGGCCACAAAATGGAGGAATAAGTTTTCGTTGAAGTACCCTGGGGAAAAAATTATACAGAACATGTAAATATAAAATCACGCATTCTTAGCATATCTATCATATCAAACTATTGATGACTTGCCATAGTGGTCACCCCAATAGCAATATAACATAAGTATTTCAAAATCACAATTCTGTAAGCATATTAATTTTAGTGGTATTCTAATTTTAGCAGCTTTCACGCTACCTCTTGTATCTTAAATTATGTCCCCCACTAAAATTAGATCATGTAGCGCTAGCAGTTTATCCAAGCCATAAAATGCTGGACTTTACGTGACTGGTAATGTCAACATCTCACCTGAGCACATACATAGACTCTGTTCAAAGGTAATCACTCGATTTATCTACATATGCTATATTTTTTAACAACCGCTATGTATTAAAACCTATTGCAGAAAATGATATTTGCGAGAGTGCATGAAGTCAGCTACAGCGAGTCCGCTAATTTGAGAGTGCACTAATAAGTCCCAACCCCCTTGTTCTGTTAAAAAATTTAGTGCACTGAAATAAGAACCCTTGCATAAGTTTACATAACAGTTTATCAAAGTAATTTCCCCTTTTACACAAGCTCCTGAACAAACAAAAATTAGCATCATAAGTTGTCAGAATTTTCGAGATTTTATATTCAGGAAAATATTCCAGAAGGTTTTTTTCCCCCGCAGGATGAGCTCAAAAAGACGTGTGTGTGTAATTTACATCAATACCCACCTGTACTGAGGAGATACTCCTTCGCCTGGGAATACGTGGCTAGCTGTACAGCATTGACCACCATTGCTCGAGCCACGGTCGGATAACAACCCTTCAAACATTGAAAAGAAAATCTGGGTATAATCGTACCTTTCAGTTTATATTTCATACACAAGAACAATCAAAAATGCATGTGAATCCAATATTCCTGCTGTTCCACATGAAGCATTCAAAATGAAATTATTGAGCAGCGTGATCCGGAAATGCTGGATTTCAAGGATTTTACAGAAAGACATTGTATCGTAATGTACTATTCCAACCTTTGAATTGGAAGAGTTCAAAGGTGTCTTCAGGGGTAAATGAGTTAAAGAAGTTCAATACAACATTGTGCCCCAAGAGCCATCACCATCATTTATACAGAAATGAACTCTTGGATGTTTCATACCAAACAAATTTTATATGTAACTCCATTTTTCAGCAGTAGTGTTTATCCCTATTTCCCTTATTCAAACATCTGTGAAACTGGGAGTCTTAAGTCACAGAAATAGCCAAAATATAACTTTGTGCTTGATCAAAGTTAAAATATCAATTCAAATCAATACATTCATCAATACAGATGAAATTCCCCATGGATTCTTCGTTACTGCAATGTAACAAAAACAGCAACCATAGTATATATACAAAACAAACTACTTATTATATCCAGTTCCGTTTTGGAAAGCTGCGATTTGGTTTGGTTTAGTATTGTTTAACGTTTTATCAACAGCTATGGTCATTTAAGGACGGCCGCCCCTGTGTGCAAGATGCATGCGTGTAGTGTATGTGTGTGTGTATTGGGAGGCTGTGATACGTTCGTGTTTGTCTCCTTGTGATAGCGCGGAACTGATGCAGACTTTATAGTGCTACCTCAATGAAACCTAATACCGAAGACACCCAGCAGGACACCCCACCCGGTCAAATTATACTGACAAGGGCTAACTATTCGTCCCACTCCTTAATTGCTGAGCGTTAAGCAGGAGTAGAAACGACCATTTTTACAGACTCTGGTATGTCTCGGCCAGGGGACAGAACCCAAAGCCTTCCTAACAGGGGCGAACGCTCAACTAAAGGCCAAAAGTGAGGCATTGTCAAGGGAGACGTTAAGAAGAAGAAAGTTGTTTAGCATGAAGAGAAAAGATAAGATCCCTAATTTAGTCGCCTCTTAGGATCATGCAATGGGGGCAGCAAGTACAATTATTACGCCCTACCTGCAGGGACGGTAAGATGTGATATCCGGAACCAAAATGGCGGACCACGATGTCCTGTCTGGGATTATGACTGGTCAAACACAGACTCGTATCTGGTGATAACCCGCCCCCTACTTTTGACATGTTATCTTACACAGACGACTTGGGTTTATCACTGGTAATAATACAATTATAAGTGACTTACCCTCCACATGGTGAGGACCCCCTCCTCAGTTGAGATGCGGTACAGAGCGTTAAAAACACTTGAGTAGCCTCTCCTCTGGTCTACAGGTAATCTGGAAACAGAAAAAGAATCCTTATGTTAAAACCTGATGGACAATTCATTCAAACACTGTCAACATGCACATTTTTATGCAATCCAACTTTTAGCACAAAGTATTGAACAAAGCTATTAGCAGAATAACACACCTATAATATTGAGCATTATTACAATAGAGGATTCTCATCTTCTATGGCCATTTCAAATCAATTTGTACATTTTGTAAAACATTTTTTCATCAGTTCAATATTTTTTCTTTAAATGCTGAAAATCTTAGCACTGAACTTGAATTAGCACTTCCCAAGATTGTGCAAAAATGTTAAATTGAGATAATAACCTCCAACTTTTACAATATTCTATTCAATAGCTATAACTTTTTTATAGAAAATGCTCAAAATCTTGGCATTGGACTTGAATTTGCACTTCCCAAATTACAAGATTGTGCAAAAAACACTTAAAGCTGACAGTGCAAGTTTACCCTTTCACCCCTACGTAACTTCGGTAGACTCTACCATGCATTGATATGGATGAGTCCATTATGGTCTACAGTGGTGAAAGGGTTAAAAAGTTTTCAGTTGAGATTAAAAAAGAATACTGGGTATAAGAATACCGGGTATATATTTTTTCCAAATAATTTTTTTCAGCGAGACCCATACTCGTTACCAAGCAAGGACAAACTAAAATGTTGGCACTTCCTTAGAAACGGTAGTCAGAAGAGATGGGGAAGATCTCAAAACTAGAGAAAAAAAAATGAAAGCTTTTTAACTTGCACTGTCAGCTTCAATTAAGATTACCTCTAATGTTTTCAGCATTTTTATCAATAGCTTAAGATTTTTACTTTTAAAATGTAGAGAAAAATCTGTTTCGGACAAATGCCAGATATCTTGTGATGAAAATTTAAATAAACTGTTGAATGAAACATTATAAATTAAAAAATTATTTTATAGGAAAGGTTTAAATAACATTTATCAAATTACCTCAAGCAGTTTGTGACGTTTTCATGCATATGCACAATTTAATTTAAATTATCATTAATTTGACAATTTACTTTGAAAACTTTTATTTTTTACATCAATTATGAAACTATCTTCAATAAGATTCCACAGTTTTGAAATATATCTAAATAGATTACTGGAAAATCAGGAAAACTCAAAACATGAACTGAGACGAGGGGGGAAACCAGCTGAGTCATCTTTATGACCCGGTACTAACCTAACAGGAAAGGGGGCTATATTTACAACCTACCAGTAACCTATTTGATACAGTGTGTATATACTCTCTTTCGATAGGCGAAATGTCCCCGGTCGAGTGACATATGAAATATACAATTTTGTCACATCGTTGTACAGGTTAAGAATACAAACAGTTCACTCAGTTGAGTCATAGCTTGACAAAGGGACCAGTCGGTTTTGAAACGTTGTGACACATTAAATACATACATTATTTGTAAAACTTTTATAATTATGAAATAAGTTTTTGATTAAGTAATATTTTAAGCCAACATTGGCGGCCCAGATGAATGCATGCAAAGGTCTTAATGAGTGGGAAATGGAGTAGAGGAAATCCATGTCATTGGTAATTTGGGTAATTTTGGAATCAGTAATAAAGTGTCTTAGTCCACTTGTCTACTTTTTTTTATAAAGAGAAAAGAATTTTGAGTTTGTTTTTCAAATTGAAAAGATTTTTTTTAAGTTAAATTGGGAATGGTGGAAAAACCCTGCTCCTAAATGCATTTTCAGAGTCACTGAAAACATCAATCAACCCTTTCACAACTGTAGACCATAATGGACTTATCCAGATCAATGCAGGGTAGAGTTCATTAAAGTTACATAGGGGTGAAAGGGTTAACCTCTCTTTGTTTTGTGTATGATAGAATTTTAGGATCATTTAAAAATTATGAATATATCTTTCAAAAAAGTAATCTTCTATGAAAAAAAATCTTTTAAAATAAATGTAGACAACAATCAATCAAAAGCGAAAACAATTTCAGGTACAATTCATACCTCCCATCGGCTGTCATTCTGATAAGAGCAATTTCTGCAGGGGTCCCCACAAAGGCACCGATTCCCCCTGCTGCAATGCCAATCATACCCTTCATCGCAAATGACGGGTTTACACCATCTCTGTAAAACATGATATTATTGATTCATAACATTTCCTTCACCCATGGTATGTCGTACAGTAAACCTTTGACATGGTTTTTTTTGTATAATCACAAAAATGCACATTACGTAAAGAAACATCCCTAAATATACTTCATGTCTGTTTTCAAGGGAGAAACAATCGCTTTAAATCATGAAATCACAATGGAAGATGATGTCACAAAGCAGTAACATGTGATGTCATATTTAAAAGATTTGCCAATGAAATCACATCCAGGGCATTACCCACTAGCAGGTAACCAAAATTGTATGTAATACCAACTCCTAGCAGGTTTATCCAATGAGCAATGAGTAAGGAAACGCATAGTGATTGTGGGAGAAAATTTTAAAAATTCATAATAACAGGATATCAGAGTTACGATATACTGATCAAGAAATTGCATAAAATTGTAATATTATTTGCTTAAAGATATACATTTTGAGACAGAAAAATGCCTTTCTGACCGTGTCAATACAGGGTTTGATACATACTTGGAGAAGTGTGCGAACAGTGTCGTGTAGATTCCCAGTCGTGTCGTTGTGTAAGTGGCTTGTCGCAAGAGGCCAGCTGATAGCCTGACGAGGGGAAAAAAGCACAAGAAATGGTTAGTTTTAGGGCACAATCAGAAATCGTTGATAGACACTAAAGTATTATGCCAGGAGTTCAGCATAATTATGGCAGGCAATTTGAACAAAAACAAATTTGTAGGCATATAAACTAAATTTGCTGATGAGATATGGTCTACACAAGCATTTCACTATTGACAGGCTTTTAAAGTGTGAACTTTGACCCTTTAACCCTGATCGACTGACACCAAAATCTATATCAGGGGTAGAACTTTGTAAGGTATACACATAAACTAAATCTGTTGAGGATTTTGTTAAGACATCTTTTATGTATTAAAGGTTTTGAATTCAAAGTGGTCAAGGGTGACATTTTAACCCTTTGCCTTGACCCCTGATCACCAAAATCAAATAACTGTATTACCATACTTATTAAGTGCAAAATGAAATAACGGAGTTTAACCAAAATGTCATCAATACCAACAGAAATTCCAAGAGGCGAACACTTGAAGAAGAGTATACAAGCTCTGTCTTCTATCGTCATCAAACAAGAGTTCCAATTTGTATGGCACCACCTTATTTGGAGTTGCTTAAAGTTGTGCATTTATTCAAACAAAGAGTTATACATGTATATTTGACTGAAATATATTCATCCTAATTTCCTTTGAAATAAAACATCTCTGCAACAGACAACGTTTCTCAAGGGATTAACACTCACTATCGCTCTCTGCACCCCTGGAATGTGTCCTAGGTAAATTGAAGGCACGGGGCTAGCTATTTGACTGATCTCGGGGAAAAAAATCCTGACCAATCACTAAGCTGATGTCCTTTGAACTTTACAGAAAAGGGAAGCCCAACTTTAAAGGCAGTCAATTGTACTGTTATGCGACCACGAGATTCGTTTTGATGTACATCAAAGGATCAAACTAGTCTTCTCGTCTCATCCACAAGGTGGTGCACACCGAGCCTTTGAATTTACATTGACATATTTCAGGGGTGCAGAGTGCGATTTGTTTGTTTGCTTGGGTTTAACGTCCCCGCAACAGCCAGGGTCATATGTGGACGGGTGCCTAGGGAGACAACAGCCGAAGTCATATGAGGACGGGTGCCTAGGGAGACAACAGCCAGGGTCATATGAGGACGGGTTCCTAGGGAGACAACAGCCAGGGTCATATGAGGGCGGGTGCCTGGGGAGACAACAGCCAGGGTCATATGAGAACGGGCGCCTAGGGAGACAACAGCCAGGGTCATATGGGGACGGGTGCCTAGGGAGACAACAGCCGAAGTCATATGAGGACGGGTGCCGAGGGAGACAACAGCCAGGGTCATATGAGGACGGGTGCTTAGGGAGACACCGCCTGAAACAGGAAGTAGACAGAAAATAAAGAAGACAAGAAAAACAGGAACCGATAAAGATCCCAAGTGTTGCAATCGGGGGCAGCAGATTAATTTTGGTCTTTCCCATGTCCCCTTCGTAGAAGACAAAGAAGAAAACCCCGGATTCTGCAGGGGGCCCACATTAGTTGCAATTTACTATTCACATGTATTGGGATACACAGGTCCATTCTTGATTTCTTCAATGTCCCCTAAATAGTAGACAAGGAAGAGACCACCCCAATTCTGCAGGGGGGGGGGCCCATTAGTCGCCTCTTACGATCATGCAGTGGGAAACAACAGGCCTTTCTTTCATCCAACCTACAAGGATTTGCAGAAAATGAAAGTGAGCATAACCCCGAAAGTATGCATAACCCTTGGAGTATCGAGGATGCAGACATCAGATCTGTGAGCCCCTTGACCAGTGTTTACTGTACTGGACACTTGATAATGGTGTGTTATTATTGAGCACCCATCTCTTACCCTGTATATATTCCTGTAACTCCCTCATTCCTGAAGATTGTCCTCAGTGCTTGTAAACTGTTCTTGTACTCTTTCGTCTTACCACCCTCACCTTCAACAGAAAGTGTTCAAAGTATAGTTGGTGCAACAACTGATTCTAATCAATGGTGACTTTATACAAATTAAAAGTACTAAAACATTTCATTTTTCATTTCTTAAAAACATGTAGCAGGCATCTTTCCAATAATATCTTATTTTTAATTCAAATAATTAATTGTGTATTACCAGTACGAAAATAGAGTTTCCTCAAATATTGGTGATAAGCTATCATGTTTATCTAACACTCGTTAGTTAATTAGCAAATTGGATAAGACAAAAGGTTACCAAATGTCTTTTACAATTTGAAAATTAACTAACCAGAGTTTGATAAACATGATATTCAGCCATTTATTACTTGACATCATAATTAGCAGATTGACATATGAAATAATGTCCAGGATTTATTTTTAAGCATGATTACGTTGAGCTTTTTATTATATTTACCACTCAACTGCATCCGGTTCTTGACCAAATCCAGAGGCTGTACAAAAAGAGTAGCAGCCATCCTGAAAAGAACAAATTCTTTACAGATTATCAAGTTATATCAACATATAAGTTCTCAGACATCAGGCCGAAATGTCTATATCTAATTTAGCAAGAAGTTTTAAATCATCTTTTTGCTCATGGACTTGTACATAATATGTTGTATAACATATATCATTTGTTCTGATTAAGGCTATGAAAAGAACTGTTTAGCAAGACATCTAAAACTCTATTAGTATAAATTGTTTTTCCATTTGGTTTTTTAAAATCTTTTTTTCTAGTATCGAGATCTTCCCCAGAGGCTATTTAACGTTTCTAAGGAAGCGCAGACATTTTAGTTTGTTATTGTTTTGGAATGAGTATATCTCATGATCAGTGCATTAAATGTCAAACAGGTTATCATTCTACAACTGACCCTCTTGCGGTTCAATACACTGCGCACCCTGATCGGCAACCAATATCAAAAGTCAAATGCACTAGCCTGAAGACTTTGAAACAATGCCAAGCTTGCTGTTACTTATGACACGTTCTCGGAAATTGTGTTTCCAAAATAAAAGATATATCACTGAAAATACTTCAATAAATCCCATATATATATCATCAGTCTTTCACAGCCCACACATGAAAACTTTATTATGAACTCTTAGTCTTTAAAATCTGTCATGTACATGCTTTACTAGCAAAACGCCTACAAAATGTGACACTCCCAGCTAGGTGTGTAGTCAACAATGTGAAGTTTTATAATTGAACTGTTCTCATGGAAATAGTTGGAATTAGTATTGGTTTCACACAGGATGTTATTACTATTTAGATATCTAAAAGGTAGGCATCAGCGTTAAGTTTNTGGGGGGGCAGGGATTGTGCATTAGACATTTTAATTGGTTATATTTTACTATTATTTCTAATTTTTTTTAGTTAATTGATATCTTTGATGTGTTCCATTTCTATTTCATTCAACTGATCTTATAAATAATGGTGGTTCAAAATCGTGAAAATGTTTTATTTATATTGTATAGTAGTGTCACCTTGCACATACATTGAACAATGATAAACAGTTTGACGGGTAATGTGTTTTTTATACCTAGGGAAACTCCTACTCGTTACCACGCAAGTCCATTCTAAAATGACGATGCTTCCTTAGATACAACAGCTTACTGGGAACAAACTCAAAACCAGAAAAAAAAACACTTTTTTATTAATCGTTTATAGATAATTAATTTTACACAATTTCAGCATTTATCAAATTGATATACATTAATGCAATACTAATCTATGGCAATATCATTTTTATTGACATTATTTTGCAAAACATTGTGTTTCATTTTTTTTTCTTCAAAATTCACTCCTTTTTACATAAATTTTTCATTTAAAATCCTTAAAATTCTGACAACCTAATTTTTTTTTGTGGCAGAATTTTTTTTTATATCTACAAAATTTGAAGAATTTCTACTGAGAAATGGTGACACAAAACTATTACCTTAAATGATGGCATAAAATGTTTCTAAATCTACATTTTGCCTTTTATTTTGTTTCAGTTTATTTATTAATGTATAAAGAATGCATTTTTCTCTCCTTTTAACAACAAGCATAAAAATTTATATTTTTAGGAAATAAAATTTTGTTCTGTAAGGAATATTTTTAAAATGTTAAAGGGGCTGGTCGGGGAAAATTGTCATATTTGCTAAAATGGCATACACATGTTTAAAATACCTTCTTATGAAATATACCGATTCAAATTTTGCTGAAATTCACTCCCTAAGAGTAAAAATTACAATTATATTAAAGAAATCCTAAATCGTCACCTGACAGTCTAAAACTCTCAATTGACCCAGATCAGTGATGTAATTTTATCGCATGGGCTTCATCAACAAGACCAAATGTAAACATTGCGGCGAAAGAAAAAGATGCATGCAAAAGTCATGACAGGCACGAGGTATCAATTCCGTTATATATAACAACAACATATAGGTAGGAATACTACACTTGCATCATGCATGACCTTTGAAAACAATTATTTACGTATAGTATTGTTGTCTTGTCTGCTAGTTGAGTCCGACATGGCTGATAGACGGCGTGCTATTGTTGTTAGTTCCACATGACATATATAAATAGATCTGCGCTAAATTTACGCCGGGCTTCCCCGAGATTTTAGTGGTCAAAACTGGACATTGCAAGTAGAACTCGACCATCATATTGCCGTGGTATAACTTTTGGAAGGCCAGAGAATGCATTGAGACCCATTTATTTTGTAATTTTTTCCCCGACCAGCCCCTTTAAAAAGATTTATGGCAATTTCTTTATCAAATCAAGAATAAAATATATATATGATACTAAATAGTGTTTTGTGTGGCTAATATTTTGATATGTTTCACTCGTGCTGCGCACTTGTGAAAAATATCAAAATATTAGCCACACTCATGAAATATATTTGTTATTACTTAAGACACCATTACATTTTCTATTTATTACATTTTTAAAAGAATAAAACATGAAAAATGTAATGCATTAAAAAAGAGCAGGAATCAGAAGCGTAATAATTAGCATTAGCTATAATGACGTCACGCTTGACAACAAGGCTGTGCGCCATTTTGAATGGGATACTCAACGCAATTCTGATGTTTTCTGCTATCATCTGGTTTGATTGCTTATGAAAATGTAATTAATTGTTAAGTGTGTGTACCAAACATTTACCATAACAACCACTTATTCTACCGTCATTTGAATCTGACCAAAAAAATTGCTGCCTTTGAATGCAGAGAATAGAAGATACCTTATGATTGGTCAATACCAAATGTCATAGTGTGAAAGATATCAGTTTTATCAAGTTGATAGAATCCGATATATCACTGGCAAAAAAGTAATAAATAGCTCTAACACCATTTCAAGAAATGGGGCCATACTTCATGTATATATAGAACCTGTTTATTAAAACTGTCAATTAAATATACGCTTGAAAACAGAGATATGATCTTTTCTTTTTATATATATATCTGGTTTAAAACATGTGCATCGTGCACAAGTCTCTGTCACAGTACAGCGCATTCGGAACGCAAACGCACAAAAGCCGGATCTTTTTCACCAGGATAATATAATACTTTTTTAATAGCAATGCCAATTTAAAATGCATAGCGTAAGCATAAAGCAATATTATTTTTAATACTTTCTACGGATAATTATGCACCAGAAGTAACAAAGAGTATGGTATCCCATTATAAATATCACTGGAATTTCGTCAAATGATCAAAGTATCGAAGCCTAGGCCGGAACTTTTTATCATGGTGAAAACATCGGCACACACAGTAACACAAATGCACAGCCGACAACAAAAAGCACTTCCAATGGCGTACGCGGAATGTTGCGATGGAACTACAACACACTTTAGAAAAATACACAAGTATAGCACATTTTTATATAGCAAGCACTGTCTTACCCAGCTGACCCCCCAAAAAGGAATCGGATGGAAATTGGGGGCTGCTGTGGAGGTGACTTTCCACTGGAGGCAGACATCTTGGATTGGTGACCTTCACCTCGGAAGGTCGATGTTCACGTGATTCAGTACAGGTCGCCGTAGCTTTTCCAGTCGTCTGCTAGACTCGATAGTGACGCGCACGTAACAATATAATTCCGTGATATAGCTTCACAATATTGGATGAAAATTATACTTAGACCTATATTATCCTCGGATTACCGGTTTCCGCGCACTTAAGAAGCAATTTCCGCGATTTCGTACTCATATCGGCAGAAAACTACAAGGAAACAAAAAACTCAGTAACGCAACATTCAGGTATTTTAAAAAACAACAGAAAAAACATTATTTATTATATTTATTTTGTTATGATATAGATAAAATATGTTAAAAAAAATCTGCAGTCTTATATCGGTTTTGTTGATGTAAGTTATTTCTCATTTTGTTCAGTTTAAAATTGATGAAAATTGGAAGTTCATCAGTTGCATTACAAGGTTTACGTTTCATTGAAAAAAATCAGCGAGGAGATGTGGCCTCATTTGCGTGCGACATTTTCATACGTTTGTCAGACTATAAAAAAGACTGGTTCATGAATGAAATACTGATATCACCGTTTTTTCAGGTATGGGCTCATTTTGAGCAAGATAAAAAGTGCATTAAGTAAAACTGCATATTTATGCGTGTTTTTTTAATCATTGATTATTTCTTATGTTTTTCGAACGAACTTCCGGTAATTTTTGTGTCAGTTTACAGACGATGGCCAAACGTCAAAAATATCGTAAATTAACATTGTCTTGGCGATAAATTCTGTCCTCAGTTCCAAGGAAAGAAAACAAACTGACTAACACATACTATTATGATTAACATTTAAATGTTATTGACGTTCATGATCAGTATAGAATTTAGATCTATTACAAGAAATGTTTTGATAAAACAATTATCATTCACAGTAGCTCCGTGACTGTTTCGGCCTGATGGCATTCTTCAATGGCGATTGTCAACGCTAAATGTAACGTCATTTTTATAAAGTAATCGGCGTCGACTTGCGCCCTTGAAGATAAGAAGGCCAGCATTTTGGTACTGCGAGTACGGACTTAGGTCTAATCTTATTTCGTGACATGAGTGACGATTTTTTAATAATTGATGTTTACGTCGACAAACAAATATTTTGATAGAGACCCTTTGACAAAACTACAACGGCAAAGACAGGTATTCTGTGTACATAGTTTAGACCTAATGATTTAGTGAAAAATAAACTGGTGACAGACCCTGAAAAAAAATCTGGATCCGCCCCTGCGAGTTATATATGTAGTTCTCAAGCATAAACTGTGAAATTATAGATATAGTATAGTAACACTGAGAAATCATGAAAAATTATTAAAGGATATTAAACCACTTGATATCGATGGAAATTGTGAAAAAAAATGTCATGGGATAAACGTATACAAGGAAATCATGTGGAAATTTCCACTGAGCTTTATATACAAAGGGACAGCGTCTGACCGTCTACGACCAGTAGACCTTTATCACTGGGTCGCGGGTTCGAGCCCTACGTGGGTCAGTCGCCAGGTACTGACCGCAGGGACCGCGTCTGACCGTCTACGACCAGTAGCCCTCTATCACTGGGTCGCGGGTTCGAGACCTACGCGGGACAGTCGCCAAGTACTGACCGCAGCTAGGAGGAGGGTTTTTTGTCCGAGAACTCCGGATTTCCTTCACCACCAAAACTTATTAGCCATGATGTGATCATATAGCCGATAATACAACGTAAAACAGTACAAAAACAGGTGTATATTATAAAGTAATTATGGATCAAAGAAGTACAATGTAATATCACGGACTTAGATAACTAATCTAATCCAGGGGTGCAGAGAGCGAAAGTAAGCGTAACCCCCTGGATATCGAGGATGGCCCGACCTGTGATTCCTGTCAATAATAGGATATGTAAGTTGTGCAATAATGGTGCAGAACATGAGTACCTTTTTTAATGGAATATGTGTTTTATGCTGATCTTAGATATGTAATTTTATCTAACGAAATCAATGTAAACATTTTTTTTAATGATATGAACAAATCTGAACAGTTTCGAAATGTGATGTATAAACCAGATATTCAAAAATATTAGTTTGATTCCCTACTTTCCCTTATGTGAGGAGGAGAACCATGTTTCTCCCATAAAATGTATGTATTTTGCAGGTACGGGGTGGGGATATATAACTTGTCGGTAAGGACTGGGTCAACCACTCTTGTATATATATATCTCACCCCGTATAGTGTACACGGTGATACCATAAAATATACATACAGTCCGGCTACTAGCAAGTAACATGCACTTTTATCATCAGCATACTTGTTTTCAGTCTTTGACAAAAACTTGTAAATGCCATTATATATATTTACAATTATTGAATACAAATATAAATTATTGCACATACATATTTACAATTATTGAATACAAATATAAAATTTCGAACATAAATATAAAATTATTGAATATTGCAACGTTTGACACGCCATATACATGTCCGAACTGAGTTCAGGTCGTATTGTGATTATTTTTTTAAAAATATACATAAACAGTGTGATTGTTGCCTTAGCGTGTCTAATAAGTCATTTTGGCTGGACACATTGTATACACTAAAATGTTGATATGTAGTGTGATTTTATGAATATTATGTTTGACAAGATATGAAATACTTTGAACTATAAGAAATATAATAGGATAAAGTTAATATTTTGAAAAGAATAAAGCCCCTCGGCTAACGTTGATATAGTGTGTGTGCGAACAACGACAAAGATATTAAATATTCCGGGAAAACTGAAGCGTGAAGTTGCTGAAGCTGGAAAAATGACACGACGATTCGTCCCAAAATGATAATTGGAATATGGCGTAGAAACTCCCGAAAACTCTCGAAATATTTTTAGAAAGATCAATATGTAGTAAACATATGTTTGTGCAACAGATATTTTATCCGAATTAGTGAGACATTGAATAACTTTAATTCCGCATAAGCTATAAATCCGAACGGCAACCAAGTTTAAACTGAGGAAAGTGACAGAAACTTTATATTATGATTTCGGAAGCATTCGCTACTAGCTGGAACTCGCTGAAACGTACATATCAATTTTCTGTTCCGTTTCAAATGCGGAAACCCATGTTTTTTTTCCCACCCAGTAACAAAAGAAAGTTACCGAATTTAGTCAACTCGACCAATGATGCTACCGAATGCAATATATAAAATTTTGGAGTGTGTACGTGTGAATAGATAAACGGTAACGTCCCCTTTCTTTTCAAACAATTTAGAATCCCCAAAAGCAAGTTAACGAAGGAAACTGAACGTCAAATTATTTGCGTATCTTATTTTGTTATAAAGTGATTCATCAACAAGCTCCACGGTATAAGTAAAACGCACAACTACCCTACTGTTTGGTAACTTGAACCTTCCCGGAAGGATCCTCGACAGACGGACGATTCCATTAGCCTGTCTGGGGAATAACCGGAGGATGCTACCATAAACACAGGGGTATCATATTACACGTCTGCTACTGTTGCTGACTAGAGTGGAGTCTGGGGGAGAGTGTAGACATTTTTTTTCACTCTCGGATAATTTTAAAACTTGAAGATGTCTATCACGCTGTATATGACGTCAGTGTCTCCAAACCGAAAGGTACGTGCTGTATTTGTGATAAGGTGTTTACTGAACGCGTGTGCATGCACTAATGAGAACAAATAGAGAGATAGGAGATGCAACTTTAGTTTCACAAGTTTCTATCTGGAACCACTTCCGGCATTCTTGAGTCGCGGTGGTTAGATATATTTTAGTTGGTACATAGTATAACAAAACGTGCCTTGTACTCGTATTTATAAATGTGTGTGGCACACATGTATTGTACACACGTGCGTTTCCATGCAATCTATCCAGGGATGCTAAGATGAATGTTGTACGAAGCAGTCGGCCATCTGTGTCCGAAACTTGATACTGACCGAAGTGGTATTTGTATTGTAAAACTCGCCGGGGAGGGGGTGTGGTCAAGAGGAGGGGGTCTATAGGATTACCGAGGTCTTTGATTTTGTTTGTCATAATCTCTTGTTGTACACACATAGGGCAACCAATTCATTGTTATTTAGAGGATGAATCGCATAAATCGACCACCATCCTTAAATATACAAATTGCTTGCACTAGAAATGTACTTTTTGCCCCTACTTTTTTCTACTATCAAAATGCGCATGCATCATGTATAAAATCATTTTGATGATATCATAGACACATTAGTCAAAATTGTACATCACAGTGAAAACTTGACCTCGTAGCGTCTGAAATATCGTGATATCCGGGTTTAAATAATTAGGCATTCGACTCATCCAAGTTAGAGTTAGCCGAATTGCAGTATACAAAACTCGTATATGTATTTTCAATAAGAACGCCTCCCTGTTGTATGATCTTTGATGATTCATGAACATATGAGCGTACAGTATGGTGCGCACACAACTGTCCGTGTCCATCTTGTACAGAAAGCATGGTTAGCTTAACGTACAAATATAATATGTGATTTAATTCAACATTTACATGTTAACATTTTATTTCCATTTATGAGAAATGTCATAATGCATTAATACAAGTTACTTTGTATTAATAATGCAGTTTGTGACATAAAATCAAATATGAATTCCTTATGTATAAAATGGTTTACTTTATTACCAGCCTGATAATACTTATTAATTTTAAAATGTATGTGAGTTCAAAAGTTGCTAGTTATAATAAAAAGGTATGAGAAATGATCTTCGTCAGGCTTTGTACAAGATAAAGGGCAGACTCATTCATTCGACGAAAGGAACTTTCTTTAGGGACATCCTGCCTGCCCTAGATTCTACTGTCGATTCAACCCTAAAGCATGTATGGTCAGCTTTAGAAAACACTGGTAGAGTCAGGACCTGTGCCCCATAGTCAGATTCAATGTAAAAAAAAATCTAAACGTAAAGATAGCTAATGTCTACCTACCCTCATTTTTCTGCAGATATTGTTTTGTTCGCCTAAACAGAAATCCTTCTTTCAGCTTTGTATAAATG